GTTTGCTCTCTGATCCTGTGTTTCAGCATTGCTTACCTTGCTGGTTATGGGTGAATTCACAATAAGGAACTGGTGATGCTCGCATGCAGAGCGCTTGCACATCCTCTGCCTTGCAGCCAGATTTGGGTGTGTTAGTCCTTAGAGGGGGAATCCGCCTCCCGCAGTTGGAGTGAGCTGTAGCCAGATGCATTGACACATGCCTTTCAGAGCCCATTGCAGTGTTTCACAGCTGCTGGTTGACCATGTCGGAGACTGGAGTCCAGCACCTGTGCAAGTCAGCAGCTGAGGAACACAGCAAGAAGAAAACACTCAGCTGGCCAATGTGGCTGTGTTCAGACAGCGACAGGTTGGATGCCACGCACTGAGGCTGATACAGACACATCCAAACTGGACACACAAACACACACGATGTTTGGTATTTTAAAGGCTTGCAGAAACCTGCTTTCAGCAGCCTAACTCCTTCCTTGCTCTCGCATCTTGCATGAGCAGCACGCAGCTCTCTGCTGCAGCTGGGCAGGCGTGCCAGAGGGACCAAAACCAAAAGGTCCAGGCTCATTGAAAGTTAAACAGAACCACTTCTCCTCCAAATTCCACTGCAAAATGAAAGCTACAGGGAAATTAAGACATTTCTGCTGGCTGGCAGGGAAAGGACAGCTCTTTGTTCCTGATTTACACCATCTGAAACAATTAACTTGTAAAGCTGAGATACCGCTCCCCCTTGGCATCCCCCGTTTGTTATGCCTCAGACCATTTCAAATGAGCACTTGAGAAAGGAGAGAGCCCCTCTGCCTCCCGTCACTTGAGGGAGGGGGAAAGTTGTCCTAAGTGGAACAATAGCCTGTCCCTTCTTAATGCCACTTCAAAGCTCCTCGGCCAGGAAAATTGATAATTGCGTCAAGCGCAGTTTTTCTAAACTTCATCATTTAGCACTGAAAACTGGGCTATTGAATTCATATAGTTCTTTGATCAAGACCAGTTAATTAAGTTATTCCCTTGATATGGCTCTTATCATTTTAGTGCCAGACCTACATCACACTTACGCAATTCCCATACTAGCTTTGATATGCATCATGTAAGCTTCCCAGACCATCATTGCTGGGTTTCTACAGAGTCACAGCTACCTTACCAGTTCCACCTAGCAAATGGGGTCAGCCTGGGAGTTATTAAATGAGAGATTCTACAGCCCAGAAGGCTCCTGGACACTGTGCCAAGGGAAGTCATCCATGGGCTGAAACCAGAGTGGCAATTTCTCCCAGAGCTTGCAATTTCCAATTAGCACTTTGAGTTCAAAACTCCTGTCGTTCCTTCACACCTGATTCCTCCCGATCCTGCCTCTTCTCTGAGCTCCTCCATCCCACCCAACCGTCCAGGCCTCAACTGCAAATCCTCTTCCTCCGCATTCCTGCTTTCCATGGAAGAGTGACAAGCTCCAATTTAGGTCTCCACAGTTTTTCTTGGGCTTATCCCCTTAAACCGGATTAGTGAACGTCTTAATGCCAGTGACACCAGTCACAGCTCACCATCTGATCCTGCCTTTCAGGATTTGCTGCATCTCTGCACTTTCCTCTGCTGAAGGAGATCCTGTGATCTCTCCTTGCAATGCCTCCAACTCCTCACCACCAGCAGCCTCCCACCCCACGGTATTTCTCTCATCTCGTAGATGTCCAAATATCCTCATTTTCTCACCTGGCCCGTCTGGGGTCTCTTTTGGCACCTGAAAGCCTTTGTGCTTTCCTGGTTTTGATACCTATGGGTTTTTCCTCCAAGCGCTCTTCTTCAAGATGCAGCCCTGCTGGAAAACTCACAGCTTCCTTCCTTACATCTCATTTTCCTTCGCTATCAGATACAAAACACTGAGGCAAACAACTCAAGGTTGTGTTTCCATTCTTCTGATCTATTCCCATATTGAGTCTGCCTGTGGTCTCCCATCTTCCATCAGGACTCCAACAGCCCCTGACACTCCATCCTTGGGCTCTGCCTGCCCTTCCCAGCTCAGCTTCCTTCCCCACTGCCCTTCACACAGACCAGCCCACATGGTGACTTCCTCTCGCTTCTCCTCAACCCCCTCTATAGATGAATGTTCCTCCCATGCCTGCTGCTCACACTCCATTCCCATCCATCTCCACCATGATGAGGTAACACTGCTGCAGAACTCTCCCACTTGCAACTGTGGGGAAGAGATGGGGTGAGCTGCAGCTTGATCCTTCCATGGATATGACAGAGGAACCCCTGTGAGCAGCATGGAGGTAAGACAAGCCCTGCTGGGCTCCAGCTCTGTCTGCCCACCTTCATCTCCCATCCCTGTGCTCCCCAGCATACCACAACCAGCTCACCATGAGATGCATCCTCTCCATCAGCACAAGTTCCCTCTGTCCCCTCAGAACAAAACCCCAGCAGAGCAGAGCCACCAGCTGGAGTTCAATTTCCGACTCCAAGGCGTATCTGGAGCCAATTTGCAATGTGCTTACTCCAAAAATCGCCCTCCCCTGTGATGTGTGACAGCTCCAGACCACAGTCCTGCGCACGGCTCTGAAGGAAAAATGTTTTAATTTGTCACAAACCAATTATAGCGTCTCATCTATCCCTGAATTACTCATCTTGGCTACAGTATAGGACAAAGGGCCCCTCTGAGAGGAGATTAGACATGGATATTAACAAGAGAAAAAGTGTCCACTGTCTCACCTTGCTGGGGACGCGGCTTCGACAAGACAGGAAAAGGAAACCCCTCCTGACTGACAGCTGGAGGGAGGGCTGCCATCCCGCCGCAAATCCCTCGCTTCACGCAGAAGAATAGTCACGACAAACTCCGTATTACCGCGCATTCAAATAATATTCATGCATGGCAGATAACAGAGTCACGGCTGGCAGAGCTGCCACATGAATATAAATAACCTGTGCTCCTCTGGTTGCTATCGGAGATGCTCTGCCACTGTGTTGGAGCATGAGTGACCGGGCTGTCAGTGCAGTGTGCGGGGACCCGAGGGCTACGGATGCTTACATGGGTGCTTCGGCTTCATCATTCAGCAGCCCTGAGCCTGTGCTTCGCACCAAACCTAGTTCTCAAGGACCCAAAGCCTTCCACACATCAATGCTCCACCCCTCCCTTCCCTACAGTGCTGGCCTCAGGCATCACCCTTCATCCTGAGGCCAAAGACAAGGGTGGCATCTCCACATATGGTTGGGTTGGAAGGGACCTCAAACGCCCTCTTGTTCCAACCTTCCTGCAGTGGGTAGGGTTGCCAGCCATTAAATAAGGCACAAGCTGAGACCCAGATTTGCAGGTGGTTTTGGTCACTTCGAACACTGAAAAGTATTGCCTGAAGCTCCCATATTCAAAAGGCACTTTACATTTACAGCCCCAGCTGTGGCCAGCCCTGGCCACTTAGCTCAGCAGCAGGTCTGCCCTCTGGCAGCTGGATGAACAGGAGTGCTCACTGCTCTGTGTCAAGTTGATTCAAGGCATCCAAGGGCAGCCTATTACAGATCATCTTCTTCCTTGGTGGAGAGGGAGCTGATGAAAGCCAATTTCCCTTTGTACTCATCACGAATAATTTGGAGAATTCCCCTTGTTTACTCAGAACTGTTAATGATGCGTCAGAAATTACCTCTGAGATTGTAATTAAAGAAAACGGCAGAAGAGAGAGAGACACACACACATACACACAGAGAGCCTCGTCACAGCTTCATCTGCAAGTCAAGAAGTGCTGGAGCAGGCAGCCACCTTCCCTGCATCCCAAGCCCACAAAAGGATCCCCCAGACAGCCTTAAATGGCAGAGACTCAGAAGTGCAGCCCCCAGACCCAGTGCAGCCCCCACTCACCTCCATTTCTGCTATGAACAAAGCAGCTGCAGTACTCCTGGGTATCCAGGCGCCAGCGAGGCCATGAACCCAAACAGGGAATGAGTAGGAAACTCAGTCCTCCTAAAAGTGGAGCAGCTGACCTAGAGCAGCAATTGAGCTCTCAGTCATTACCAAAATGCAGACACCCACATGACTACAGCAACCATCAGCCAGCCCCCTGCCAGCCTGACCTCGGGTCTCAGCGTCTGGTGGGGTTTGAGTGGAGCACAGACAGCCCTCTCCCACGGAGACAGGAGAGGAATTTGATTCCTGTTTGATTACAGGAAAGTGCTCAAATTGCCCAATTACTCAGGGATGATCATTGCGGGGGAGAGGCAGCAAGAGCTGGTTACCCAACTCCCCACTCGGTCCTGAGTAGTGAGTGCCTGTTTTCTGGCAGCAGTTGGCCATCTCACAAAACCAAACCCTATAGGAGGTCATAAGTTTGTAACTTAAACACCCAGTGATCACATTCCTGTGCAGCTCCAGTTCCTACCTGCCTTCAAGATAGGTGAAGGTTCAGCTGAAGATGGAGGGCTTGCATGATGATTTTGCCACTTTCAAACTTGCAGACACTAAATTTCTTGAGACTGAGGAATCAGCCTGAAAAGACAAAAGCAGAGCAAGAACGACAGCCCAGGCTGAGACAGTCACAAGAAAGGAAGAGCTTCACAAAAAGCACAGCAGTCCCTGTGGCCAGAACATCCCTCAAGCCCACCTCATCCTCCTCTCTGGGTGAGCACAGGCTAGCACGGGGCACACAGGGACAGAGATGAATCAGCAGCTTAGCCAGTCGAGTCACCAGTATGGCTGTGTTGGGGTACTGCAAGGCTTGGGGATGTGTGTGAACCTAAAGCAGCAAGGGAGAAAATAAATGTACTTATCCATCTGGGAGCCAGGGGGAGTTGGGCATGTAAAGGACATCATGGAGGAAGCTCTTGGCTCTGCTGCTCTCCTAGGACCTGCAGCTGGTCTGTGAGCTCAGGGAGGGATGCTATTCCATCACAGGTGTGCAGAGCAGGACCAGCTCTCCCGCGTGTCCCCTGCTACCACCAGCGGCTCCAGACATCCTCATCCCCAGGGAGTGAGTCAGTGTTTGTGGCAAGAGGAACAACCCACGGCTGTAACCCACCCCTAAACTCACACTGGGACTCCGAAATGTGCACCAGCAGCTCTTTATTGGACAAAAACATAGGCAGGTACAGGGCGTCCCAGAACATACACCCTCTGGGGGCAGCGATAAACCCCTTGTGCCCTGGGCACCCCACCGAGATCACCCCTGCGGTGCCCAGGGCAAGCTGCCTTGGACGGAGAGTCCCACTGCCACCTCGTGGGTGAGGGACGCATCGCCTCTCCTCTGCCACCGGGCAAAGCAGGCAGCAAATCCCCCCGCTGAAAAATCCCAGGTCCTGCTGGATAACAGGACACAGGGAAATCGTGAAGTACCCTGGCACGGAGGGAGGAAGGAAGCACGGGGGAGCGCACACTAGAGCTAGAGGCATCATGAATTGTTCTCATCTTTCCCTGCCAATCTCTATTCCTACTCCAGAGGTCGACTGTGCAAAGGCTGATGCCATGTAGGGCAGCTGTCTGGCTGCAGTCACTCTAGGGTGAGCGTGGAGGAGAAAGACACACTGCCAGCAGCCCAGCGCCTACTTTGCACTGCTCATTACTGCCCTGGTTCCACCAAGGTGAACCATGGCAACCCCTGAGGGCTGCATGTCCAGGGACAGAGACTCAGGAGATGAATGCTTGTCCCACATGGAAAGCTGGTGGGCAAGACAAACCCAGTTATGCACTTCTGCTCCCTGTTAGCATAAGGCTGTTAAAAGCAAACTTCTGTTTGTCTTCAGCATGGTGGGCCACAAGCAATGAAAACCATGCTTTGCTGCGCAGTGAAACAAGCAGTTAAAAATCTCCCCCATAGAGGGAATGAAGCAGTGAGCAGCCCTTCATGGCTCTGAGAAACCAGCCTACAGCAACTCCCACAGGGAGGTCTGGAAACAGCACTATTGCTGAAATGTCTCTGGGTCTAGGACATCCCAACCCACAGGTAATTCTGGTGTCTGCTTCCCCTGGCTGTGGGGGCTGAAACTCCAGTTTGCATGGGTGTAAATAAGGGGGAGACCATTGATCTCTCGTGACCCATGGTATCTCTCTTTCTGCCAAAGGAGATGCAGTGAGGGAGAAAAAACTACCATTTTGGAAACCAGCACAGTACCCTTGGCATAGCCCTGGCTGATGTGAGGTGGCACACAGTGCCATGCTACCTGATTCAGGTCCGTAATGACCTAAGCAGTGGATGGGCATACTGAGTTCTGTCCTGCTGAGCTGCCAACAAGGCTGAAGCCAGCTCTGAGCTAGATTCAAAGAAGGAAAATCTTCTGGGAAAGGTGTGCCTCACACCAGTGAGAGAGGACTCACACTGTCCCTTTGATCTGCAAACCTACAGTCTCCGTATCAGAGAGGAAAGAAGCCTCGTCACCATCCCGCACAAGTCCTGGAAAGCAGCAGCAAGAAAAGAACATCCCTTTGACAGTCCTCTCTGCACCAGCATGCAGAGTAACATCACTCCTGAGTTTAACTCTTATTTTTCTGCTTCCATATTTTGGACAAGCGGAACTTGTTCTTCTTCTTCTCTGGTTCCTGGCCCTCGAGAGATCCATCTACAGGAGAGGGAGCAGATGCAAAGAATGTTGAGACCCACAGCCCTAGCGTTATCTAGTGCTGCTTCTTAACAGCAGAAAGGGTCCTTACCCAACTTGCGGATCATGTCTGCCAGCATCTGGTCCTCCTCTTTCTCTCTGTAAAGGAAGAGCATGGTATTAGAAAACTACTCTGTCTCATGACAAGGTGGTAGACACTGCAAAACATGTAGAATCACAGCTACTGTCATTCCCACGGTCAGAAGCAAGCAACTCCCTGAGGGCAGGAAAAAAACAGTTAAATTCCTAGACATAAGCAAATTACTTCTGGCCCTCTTTAAAGCAATAAAGAGTATGGGGATTTCCAGATCACAGAGGTCCATTGCTACAGCAGCCAGGCCCTCCCTCAGCTGGTATGAGAGTCATCTGAGTTCACTGCGTTGTGAGGCAACACCACACCCTAGGAGATGAATAAAGGTTGGGACACCAGCAGCCCACGGTGCTGCAGAGGTGCTCACACCAAAACACTGCTGTCAAAAACACTCTGCTACTTCCTAGAGCCTGGGCAAGGCCAGAGCGGAAAGCCAGGGCATTACTGGAACCCTCAAGGTAGAGCTGCTGCCCGAAGGCAAGAAATGGAAACTGCTCTCAGCAACAGGAGACACACTTCCTACTACTTGACACAGCAGCCTTCATTTGAACTTGGAGAAGATCCAACTCTAAGCACAATGCTTACAGCTGTTCTTTTGCTTTAGCAGACGAACACACACCTCGCTTCACGCTCCCACAGTCCTCCTGGGGTTCCCATGCTGCTTCCACCTCCCCATCTCTAGCTTTTCTTTCTCTTTCCCCTGCCTTATACGTTTTCATGGCCCTTGCCCTCAGAGCAGTATTTGCTTGAGAGAGCACTGAATATGACTGCAGGCCTGACTGCAGTTTTCTAACAGCTGACAAGGAAGCAATGGCAGCAGCATTTAAGACAAGATGTTTGGTGACAGGTCACCACCCACCTCTCATGGAACAGAAGCAGGGATAATAGCCATTCATCCAACCCTGCAGTGGAGCAAGTACAGTGCAGACCACTCCTTGTGTTGGCTCATCCCCTGCCACCCAAGCACCCTCACCTGATTCTGTCCTCATCCAGGCACTCCACAATATTATTCCGATCATTGACTGTGTTCAGATATGAATCCAGCAGCTCCTTTTCACGTTCCTTCTCTCTGCGTGTCTTCAGATACTCTGCACAAGACAAGAGAAGTGTCTCACAGCTACAGGTCGGTACCTCCCCGCCCATGGCTCTGCCTCCTCCCTGCTCCATCAAGTCCCTCTCAAAGGTCTGAATTCAATTATCCTTGCACTCGGGGGTAAATCCTACATCCCTCAGAAAAGGTGAGTGGGTTGGATGTTATGGGGAGCCTGCACCTGACAGCTTAGCCAGGAGTTTCCCAGTGAAGCTTTGATACCTGGCAAGCAGAGTCATTCAGATCTGAAGGAGATCCTAGGGCTAGGTGCATAGAGTGCAGCACTCTGCACAGCCAGGGACCAGCAGAACTCTCAGTACAGCTCATTCTCACCTGGCTTGTCCACGAGACGTCTCAGCTCCAATTCAATGTTCCACTGCTGCTCCTCCAGATTCTGCTGTTTCATCCTGGAAGAGTCCACAGATGTGATGAGTTATGCCCCTCCACAACCCAGGGCTGGATTCTTCTTATGTCATGCTAAAGCTTCATCTCTGCATGGTCACCACCTGGGTAGGAGTTGATGGACTGGGAGAAACCTGCCTCCATCTCATCTGTAAGGCTTCCCTTCCCACAAGCTCATCACAGACACTGAGGGCTCGTGTATCCATTCAGTGCTCAAAGGCCCAGCAGCTAATACCTCAGGATGCTGGCAGCTCTCCTCCAGCCTTCCTCACCCCACCAGCTAGCACATAATTTTGTGGCCTGTCACATTTCCTTTCCTTCACTGCTTACTGCTCACAGGTGAAGAGTGTGGAGAGAGAGAGGTGAATTTTGGTTCTGCTTACTTGTACATCAGCTCTGACTCCTGTCTCAGCAGCAGCTGTTTCTCATGGATCAGTTTGAACCAATCCACCATGAGGGCATCCTCAGACTCATCTGTGAAGATGACAAAGAGTGAAATAAATCCAAAAGCTGGATCAGTTCAGTTCCTTCTGGCACAAACACACAATCACTTGAAGGACAGCCCAGAATAACTTGTATGAGCCATAGGCAACCTCCACTGAAAACAACTAATCTTTGGAACTCTGAGATACAAAGGAAAGGAAGCACACCACCCCCTGTAGATTCAAGGAAGCTGCTCACAGATACTCTGTCATAGGGCACCCAGTTCATTTGCCACGTGGCTGGCTCAGCTTTGCCATTCTGAATCCACACAGAACTGGAGCCAATCGTGACAGTCAGTCTGGCTTGGTATTCAAAAACCAGATCAATAGCAGTCTTCCACTCCCCAAACTCCCTGTTCTTCAGCCAAATACACACAAGCTCAAACAATAGACTAGGAAACAGCCCTGAATAGGTTCAAAATTCCCAAGGCTTTATCTTGCTCTACCAGCTACTTTTGGTAACTTGGTGTCTCATCTGTAGTATGAGCTTCTAGAAGCAGAGCCAAGAATGCCCAGGGGTAGGATGTGAGCCTCACACCTCTCCACAGTAACAGAGCTGACCCTCCCATTTCTTTTACCTCCTTCACAGCCACGCAGCTGCTTCTCCAGATCCACTCCTTTCAATTCCAGCACATCCAGCTGCTTCTCAATGTCATGTACCTTCTTCTGGATTTCCTCCTCAGGGATGTAGTCTGGGTGCAGCTAGAAAAACAGATACATCTTAGTGCCCTCCAACTGCCTCTTAAAGGCACAGCCCCAATAGAAATAGGAAACAACCTAAGGAGCAAAACTGAAGAGCCATGCCCTGGAAGGGCCAAGTAAGCAGACATGCAGAGATGGCTGTTCACAACGCTGTGGTGGCCACTGAAACATTACAGTGGTATGCTACATTCTTTGGATGGTATCTACACACACTTGTCAACGCACAGGCATTCTCCCCCCTTCTTGGTTGGAGCAGACTGTGTCCACCAGAGTTTTATTACCTATGGCTCTGTCTTGTTCCAGCCTCACTGTCCCCTTGCACAGGAGATAACCGGCAATCTCTCCTGCTCATCTCTATCACAGAATCATACAATCTTGCCTGAGAATTCAAATAAACCTTCAAAAGAAGACAACCTGTACCCTGGCAATCACATCAGCGGGATAACCAGCAACACCATTCTGTGCCCATTACACCTGGTTTCCAGCCATACCTTGATTGGTGATACTGCTTCAATGCTCTGGATGCTTTTTGGAACAGAGGATTCAACTAGAATGAAAAAAAGATAAAGTAAGAAAGCCCACATCAAACTTTAAATAATTTTGTGCTGAGGGACAGTACCTACACCACATGAGAGCACAATGGGTCCCTTCCACCCAACAGAGGGCTCTGACAATATCCTTGCTTTGGCAAACCCTGACTAAGGTGAGAGATGTATCCTCAGGAAACATCACAGCCCAATTTACTCCTTGCTGCTGGACATACTCCATGATCTCAGGGCACTGCTTTCCTCCTTGGGGCACTGGCAAAACACATCCCTTATTATGCTTTGAAAGGACAGAAAAGATGTATTGGGTTACTGCCACTAGAAACAACAAGTTATATTTTAAAATGCCCTCCAGTGCTCTTGTACAAATAAGTATCAAATAAATACCAATGAAACAAAGATAGTCTAGGGGAACTTATCCTAGGCATCAGGAAACTAAGGTTCAATTCCTTCCACAAAACACTTCCTAGGTGAGAAGTCCCTATGGCCCAGCTACACAGCATTATTTAGGCCCTGGACACCTATTAAAATCAATCCTTAAGCAATGTGTGTTTGTTCCACTGTGCCTCAGCTTCCTCTGCCCACCTGTGCTGCGAGGATAACTACAGGAGAGTGTGAGGTATTTGGATACCCAAGGGGCTGGGCTGGATAATTACCATAGAGAGAGAATAAAGCCATATGTAGATGATGTGATAGGAAGGAAAACTGCAGTATTAAAAGAGCAGACCTGCAAAAAAGCAGTGGAGATGAAACACATACAAGGAGAAACACAGGACAGACAGGCCAGGGAGCCTCCTGAGAGTCTCTCTCTACCACGCTGACTGCTGCTGATGAGAAACTCGTGGAAAAACTCAAGGACATCTCACAGATTGACCAGTCCTTGTTCTAGCAGGCTTTCTAGAAGACTGCAAAAGGAAAAGATGCTGGGTACTGAACTGCTGTGTTGTGGCTCACTTCCTGAGAAAAGATTTACTGCTGAGCCTTGCGGCAGCAGAGGCATGCTGAACTTCTAAAATAGACAACACAACTGGAGCTTCAGTGCATCTTAGATGTCAGATGTGAAGGCCAAAGACAGTGCTAATCAGCTAACAAATAATAACACGAGACCACCAAGCTGCATGGAACCATCTTGCCTGCTCCAAGACAAAGATCAGCCAGAGCTGAGCCCTGCTCTGAGGACCTTCTAGTCCAAATAGGTAAGACAGAGACAGACAGGGTAAGGAGAGGAGATAAACAAGCTGAGCACACAGACCAGCAGCAAACATATGGAACGTTAGCTCCATAAGATCTCACTGGCATTATGGTGAACTAAGTAAGAGGGAAAGCAGCAAGGACTTCAGGATAAAGGTATACAGTAGCACTGAGGTAAAACAAACAAGAGAAAGAAACTGGATTAAGAGTAAGGACAAATGGATCAGAACTGGTTGGGGCATCTTTCAATGTCCCAGAAGCAGCAGCCCTGGCTGCTTTCCACAGTGGGAACCACCAGCTGGAGTTTCTTGCTGACAGTTCTCCGCATTCCTTTCCTTTTCCAAAGCCACTTATTTGGAAAGGAACAGAGACATCATCTAGATCCCAGTTCCTCAAATCAGGAGACGGTACCCTTCATAGCTTTGAGTCAGTGACCCTAAAAAGTCCTTATTTTAATTTCTTCCCTTCCCACTGAATTCCTTGGCCTGGCTGCTTCCTAGTTAATAAAAAACTATTGACACAAATTTCCTCCCATGAAAACAGTTACAGGCTTGGACACAGAAAACTCTGGGACATGCTTCCCACACTGACCACTGAGGCTGTCCCCTGGCAATGCAAAGCAGAGAATGGCTTTAAGTAGGTAGAAGAGATCTTACATGTAACAGTGTTTTGGTTCAACTGGTGGTTGCCCTCTTCCTCCTTCTTGGCAGAAACCCCATAATCTTTCCAGCCTTGAAAGCTCATAAGGTCTGAGCTGGGGATCAACTTCTTCTTAAGGATTCCACCAGAGGAAGCTAAATTAAGAAGCACAGACAGGTCTTGGGCAAGAAACTTCGAGCCTCATCTCACAAAAATCCCTGTATCACCCACAGTCTCTGGCATTCACCACTAGCTGACATCATTTCTAGTCCTAACCCTCCTCTCTTGATAACACTGAGGGGCGCAACCTGAAGAAAACAGGCAGAAATCACCAATCAGAAGACCACAGTATGAAAGAAAGGTGGAAGAGAAGAATGGAAGGTGAGGAAGTATCAACAAGATCTCTCACCGTTATATATTTATGCAAGGCAGAATAAGTGAAATCTTGCTAGCTGTCCTGCAGAAGAGGAGCATACTATGAAGACAAAGACCCTCTCCTTGGGGAAGGACAGCTCTCCAAATAAAAGCAGAGCCAAGGCAGGTGTAGAGAGCAAAAATCCCAGAAACCAAGGCATTGTCTTGACCACCATATTCCTCACCCCCCTGTGCATTGCAGTACTAATGCTTGTCCCCTGCCTGACCAGCAAAATGAAGGCAAAGCTTGTATCCTTCGTACCGGACTCCTGCTTTGCTGATGGAACAACTAATGGAGTTGGCTTTTTCTCCTTCTGTGTTGGGCTCCCTGTTCCCACCTGTGAGTGATCAGTAGGCTTCTTAGAGCCAGCCTGGTCTCTGCAAAGAAGAAAGACAAAAGTAGGAAACCATGCCTCTAGCAGACAGGTCCATAATAAGATTTCTGGACATCCTGGGCTGGGAACTCCAGCCAGGATGGTCACACCCTTCTAACCAGAGTCCAGCAACTTGAAATGTGCTCTCCCTTCCCCAGAAATGAGTGTCTTTGACTTTTCATTCAAGTAGTTGAAAATAGAAGCATTTAAACACAATTTATCCCTCCTACATGCACACAGACCTTCAGTATCAAACACAGCCTGCAGACATGGACATTCCCCTACAATTCTCACAGAGACCCACAGATTTGAAGACACTCACTTGTTGGCCACAGGCTTCAACCGAGATCTCCAGTCTGCTGGGCTCTCAGACTTATCCTCACCAGCATTCACAGTTCCTAAATGAAGACACATGGCAAGATAATATCAAATTCAATAGAAAGATACCAGCCAGATCTGCATCTCAGAAGGAAGAGATAAGCTATGCACACAGGTAGATGCTACAGTGTCTCTGCAGCAAACTAGCACCAATTCAGTAAGTTCAACATGGACAGATTCATATACAATTAGTTGTAAATAACCTCAGTGCCATTTTGCCTCTTTCAACTCAAATGCTCTAAAATCTATGCAGCTACAGAAACACAGTAGCAGTAGAAATGAAGACATTTTTGAAAGCAATACAACAAAATCAGCTCAGATCTTAGAGAGCAAAAGATGGAGGAGGGGGAAGACAGAAAACAACCACACAGAGTCACATCAAACTCCATACAAATACTGCACTCAGCACTGCCCCCCTCAAAAACAGGCCATAAGGAAGTGGCTGAGACTCTAAACGCTCCCAAAACAACATCCCTTGGCCTATTGCTCAGTCACCATGATGGAAGATCAGCTCAAAACAGACAAGGAGGCTTGGAAAGCCCCGGCTGCAGCCACAAAATCATCCTGAAGTTGTGGCAGTTTTCCACCTGGAAAGTCTGCGTAAGCCTCAGAAATGACAATCTCAACACGTGATGACAGCTAATACAAATTCAAATACCTGGAGGTCATCTGAGAAGAAAGAATTGCCATGCTAGAGGGAGCAATTGGACAGGGACAAACAGAAGTGCGTCAATCTCCAGAAGACAGTAAACCCTTACGTGGTAATACAGCAAGGAAGTAGAGGAGCCACGGACAGATTCATTGCAATGGCTCAAGAGAAGGGCACAAATTTGGCTTACTGTGTCCAGGCAGAGCTGTATGCAAATCAGCCATTCTCACCTTTGAGGCCTTTTGACTCTGGCTTGTGCACAGATTCAACAGGTTTGCTGGTAGCCTGACTCTTGGGCAGAGGTTCTGTGATCTTTTCCTGTTTTGGTGCTGTGTAGCTTGTTTTGCTGGTCTGTGCTTTCGGAGCTGGACTCTGTGATTGGGAACTGGAAGGAGAAAAGTTGCTACTGCAGAAAAAGAATGATCTAATGAATTTTGAAAGTCTGTTTCCAAAGACTCAGATGAGTCATTTTATTTGTCTTTAAATCCCATCCAAAAAAGCAGTCAGGGAAAGGGAAGAAACACACTGAGACTTTCCCAAGTTATTCCAAGGTCACCTTGGGAATAAAGAAGGAAAGGGAAATAGTACCTACCTACTTGATGCTGAAGAACCAGTGGAACTGAGTCCTCCTGGCCTGCTTGGAGAGGTGTTTGATCCAGCCAAAGCCTGTATAATGTGGTTACGTGCCTGAGCCTTCTCGGTCTTTGCTGGAGTGACCCCAGCAGCAGTTCTGCCAGAGGAAATTTTACCAGAGCTATGAGAAGGGTCGTGGTTTTTAGCATCAGAGGTTTTATTGCTGAAGGACTCTAATGACTGAAAAAAATTTTCACGGGCCTGCTGTGTTTTTGTTTTGGAGGTTGTCCAAAGAGGTCCTGACGTGGTACCTTCACGATGATCTGTTTTATTTCCCAATGGAGTACCTTTGCAGTCTTCTGATTTATTTACAGCTGAAGACGACCATGGAGTATTTAGACTTCTGAAGCCAGAGCTTCCAGAAGATGAAACAGATGGCTTGGTTGAATTAGCAAGGCCTTCCTGGCTCGGTTTCTTCAACACCTGCTCCTGTTTCTTGGGTTCTGCTGCTTTCTGGAATGCTCTGGCACTAGTAGGGGCTGGGGTGCTCTCAGGTTTGTTCCGGGTGCTGCTGAGCCCAGAGATCTGGACATTGTCTGGCTGCTGGTGGCTGGTGCAGATGAATGTACCGGGCTCAGGCCCAGCTTTGTAGCTTCCAGGAAGAAGCACATTCCAACACTCCCTGCACCTGTGGGTAAGAAAGTCTCAGAACACATCCTTCAGAGGATGGGAAGGTCATTGATACAGCTGAGAGTGCAGGCACAATTTCACTGCCAGCACAGAGAGGGCAAAGTCACCACACTGGCAGTGAGCAGGCTCCTGTATGCATGTTCATAAGGCACCAAAACAGGAGCTGCCAATTACAAATGACCTGAAGCAGGAAAGGTGTGGCTGAAAAACAAATTGTGCAAAGAATTCCCTTATGCACAGGTCAAGAGAAGGCCCAGGCTGCCTCCACTCTGACGGAAACGTTTTTCATGCCTCACATCTCTCCCTCCAACCCCAAAGGAACAGGATTGCCCCAGAGAAACCCACAGGCCTGCACCCCTACTTTGAAGAGCCATACCTGAAGCAATTCCTGTGATAGAGCTTCCCATCAACCAAGTGACGCTGTACCAGGTGGACATGGTTCCCACAGATACCACAGCAGCTGCTACGGATATTCCCACTCTCTGTCAGGACACCCTTCTGTAGGAAGCAGCAGTCGTGAGCAGGCAGCACTCATACACCCAAGAATCTCCCACACAATCAAGTGTCTGACCACAGCCAGTTGCTGGGACAGAGAAGGGATAAAAGCAAAATCCTTGCTCTGGCTAACCCCTATTTTATACAATGCGGAACCAGGGTGTTAGTTTGCATGCAGGAAACTGAAGTTCAAAGGTCTCTGAATCTAAATGGCTGGAAAATGTCTTTACTCTAGTAGGAGAGAAACTTCCTTTCTTCCACTCTGATTTCATTCCTATTTTGCTTTGAAACTATTTCTAAGAAATTAATCAGTGTTTTCTAGAAAAACAAAAAACAAAAAACAAAAACACCCACAACTTCTGTTAGAAATCCCCATCCCCATGGTCTACTGGCTGGAAACAACACAGCCATGTCCTAAAATACCCATCTCTTATTCACCACCAGATGATTCACAGCTCGCTGATGTCTTCCCAGTGACTCCCACCTGAATATGTGCAGTATCCAGACCTCCGGATTAAATCCTCCATGCACAGGAGTTAGAGTCAGAGTTAGAGGAGCAGAAAGTTAGAGACGGAGTACTGACGACTAGCTGCCTTGAAATAGCATAATACTCCCAAGTTCATTGATTAAAGACAGAAGGAATAACGCAAAATCTTACTGTGGTGACTGGGGAGGCTTCTTTTGGCTTAGCTTTGGCTGGTGGGTGTGCAGAAGGCAGTTTTGGAGACACTGGCTTAGGAGGCTCTGGAACAGCTTTCTTCCCAGCAGGCTGTTCCTGAAGTTCAGAGGAAGAACGCTTGATTCCAGCCATACCTCCAACTGGAAGAAAGGAAAGAGGGAAGATTTAAAAGGAACGTAAAGAAAACCTATGAACTTAGGAGTTATCTACAACAGAAGAGCCAGAAGTGCCTGATGGATAACCTGCAAATGCCATACAAGGAGACACAGGTTTTCTTCTTAAGCAGTTTGCAGTGGAACAAGAGACAAGAGGCAAAAAGTGAGCTTTATCAACATACACAGGAATAATTTGGCAGATTAAACAGCTACTTTTTTTCCTTCTGAGAGAAATTCCATAGAAAATATAAAACGCTGTCCTTTGACAGTGTGAACAAGACCTGTTTGTTCCCATGTTTGTACCTGGCTCACAGTTTGGTTGCATTTAATCACCACCAAAGTTGGCCCTGCTTTTACACATCACAACTAAAGCAGCAAAGTACGAAGGGTTTTATTTCACTCACGTTGCTGCACTCCAGACTTCCCACACATCCTCACCCCTCGCTGCTGTGGGTGTGCAGCCCACGTCCCAGCTGGGGCACTCACTGAACAGACAGACTCGTCAAAGAAGTCTGACCTCTAAATATGGCTAATTCTGCAACAACAGACACTTGGATGTGTCATGGCCATGCTGATGCAGAAACCAACATGACTTGCCACAAAAAGCCTGCAAATGCCCAATTCTTTCTTCACTGCAGATTAAAGACAATCCCTCTAAATTCACAACAAGCTGAGAAAAGAGAATCACCATTACACTTCAGCCGTCTGCCCAGCATGAATTCCCCATGCTCTGGGAAATGAAGGTAGACTTCCCAGGGAAATAAGGTTTCGTGCACAGCTCTGACTGACAAGACTCCTCATTTGTCTCACTGAGATGTTATTTTTGTGCCACTTCCCATTCTGAATGTCACTGCATCCCTTGTGGGAACTCAGCAGTTATCTGAGCCATAGCTCTGCTTTAAGAGCAACCAAATGACCACCTATCTGAAAACAGATTATACCCTTCCCAGTGAATACAAGGGGAGTCTGTGCAGTCTGTAGGGAGCAGACAGGAAGCCCAGTTCCCAGCAGACTTCTCTCAGCTATCCAAATCAAAACCCAGGGCTCTTCTAACACAGAGCCAAATCGGACTGGTGACACCAGAACCAGTAAACATGTTAGCCCTGGTTTGTGGTCCCATTGCCTGCTTGTTCCACACATACTGAGCTCCCAAAGCCTGGCACAAAGATGGGTGGCTTCAGCTCAACTCTTCTATCAATGTCTGACTTCAATAAAATATTGGCTGCTCACCCTTTCTGGCCTGCATCTTGCTTATTTCATGGTCCTGCCTGAACCCATCTGGAGGGCAAAGCTATAGTATTAGGAGCCCGCTCAGTGTCAGAGGGCACATTCCTGCCTGGGCTCATTTTCAGACACACACATTCACCCCAGCAACAGGAATGCAATCAGAGCATTTTGTTAGACACTAGAGAGTATAAAAATGTGCTGTGCTTGACAACGTGGTAGGCAAGATGCTGGGAGGGAGGGAGTAAAGGCCCCAAACTGACCCAGATTCCCACAACTTGGCACAAACACGATGGAATTTGTTTCAGCGTGATTTCAAAACATGAAATAAAAAAATGAAGGGGGGAAGGGAAGAGGTTGTGGTGGGAAAGAGAAAGCCTGCTTAATTGTATGAAAACATGGAGAAGGGAGAAGAGCTTACATACAAAAGACAGCTCTCAAGAGTGAATTATGCTTTCTTTCTAAGATGTAAGATGTTTTCGTATTTCTCTCCTCCATCTAGATTCACCTTAACCACTTAAGTCATTCATGTTCTTATATCAAGCTCACACTTAAAGCCAAATATAAACCAAGCCTACAACAGCACTCCTGTGAGCCCAGATAAACTCTCCAGTACATGGGTACAATGTCTTGGCAGCTCCGTGGCCTGTTTTATGCTTGAAAGTATTGCTACTGCAATTACGCCAGTTGAGGGAATCATTTTTTTCTGCCTCCTATACCAGTCTGCTCTGCTGTACAGCCTCCACTGTGGATGCTGTTTCGTTGGCAGAGACTCCAGGCAGGCTCAGCATTGTTAGACTCCATGTTCCTTCCAGTGTGGCAAGGACTAGAGCAGTGATGGAGCTGCTCAAGAAAGGAAAGCTGTGGTGTCGATCATGGAATTGAACTGTCTGTGCTCTTATCTGGCTGTACCATAAGAAACTTTGGATCAGATTTTAAATTTTAAAGCACAAGTTTTGAAGATGAAGCACAGCTCTGTGCCCTTCCAAAAGCACTGTGCTACTCCAACCAGTAAAGAGGTCAGATCCCCTTAATGAAACAGTTCTGGTACCAAAATACTTCTGAGCGGTCTGTTTTGCCTTTCTACGTTTGTTAGGAGGATCTGAAAAGCACAAAATTAATCCCCAGTCCTGCCCACCTCTACATGGTGTATGGTACTTACTAGGAGAACGTCCATGGAAGTAGTTATAATACTGGGAAACGTAGGTAATGATGCTCAGCCTGTCTGGTACCCTCAGAGCAACCATATCCTCTGCATCCAGCAAGGCTGGGATCCCCAGCTGCTCTGATGCCACTTGAAATGCCTAGGGAAGGAAGAAAACAAAGAAGTGGGGGGTTCTTGTCCAACCCAGGCAGCAGAGCTGCTCTGCATCGAGAGAAACTGCGCGGCATTCAGTCTCATTCAAATAATAACTCTACTGGGGAACAGCTGCACCAGTTTAACTCCTACATCGTACGGCCGTTACAGGAACCAACAGAGTCGTGGCTTCCAGCCACCGCGTTGAGAAATTCAGGCAGGGAGCCAAAAATCTGGCCTGGCAAGCTGGCCGTAGCTCATTGCACAGGAACTCACCTGGGCTTCCCCTGCTCTTCCTCCAGCCTGCTTCTGTCTGGATGTGCACAGCTGCAGTGAGCGAGGCCTGGCAGGAGGGGCCGTGTCAGTCCGGGCTGGCAGGCGTGCAGCCAGGCTTCCAGCCCAACCTGGGGTGCTCTCCAATTAACGGTGAGCTGGTAGGTGTTTGCAGGCAGCTTTCTATCTCAGAGCGCTGCGCAAATGTTAACGCTTCCTGCTAGCACATGTTTTTCCCCCATTTGAAAGTAGGGGGATTTGTTTTTGGGAAGGAAACCATCTCTCCCAGATTAGAGAGTGAGAAGAGAAGAAGGAAGAAGAATTCCCGATACCTAGCTCTCTCTCAGCTTAACCATTTCCATGCTGACACAGCACGTACTGGGGGCAAATACTCCTCTTTGTGGTCTAAAACTGCAGGATCAAAGTCAGACAAAGGACAGAAAAGCTATTTTGTTTTGCCATTGAAGGAGAGCCTTTTCTAGAGGACACACAAACAAACAAAGTAGCATCCCTAAAGCAATGGTGCCTTTGCCTAATTCACCATAGGGCTTTTGTTAGAGACCTTCTCCAGCCCTCTTCCTTCCTGACTAATGAGAGAAAATCCTTTCCCTCCCCCTTCGGAGCACTCCTTTGGAAATGCCAACAGAGCAAAGGGAAACAGCACCTTCAGGAGCAGATGCACAAAGGCGACCACTGAAACCCACAGTGAAACAGTTAAAGCAAGACTTGAACACATTAAACCCCTCCACATCTGACCTCTGGCATGGACACACAACAGAGTTGATGCACACGCCAACAACTCCCGCCTAGAAGAAACAAACAGCCACTATTATTTAGCAAGATAATTACCATTTTTTTCCATTGGGTGTCCCAGTAAAAATGTAACTAGGCTGACATTAAGCACGCTTTCAGCCAGTCACCTCCAGCTGTGTCATTCCGGCTGCCAGCCCAGCCTGGCACTTGCTTGTCTTGTAACCTGGTACTTAATCCATTCCGTGGAACACTTCCTACGTACTACGTTCCTACAAACGTAGGCTGCCCAACAGCTCTGACCAGTGGGGTTTTCCTGTTCCTGAGAACTGCTCTTGCCTGGAGATCAAACATCCCTGCCACCCAGCGCAGCCCAGTTGCTTCGCTTTACCTCTTGCACCAGGCTGACCTCTAAAGAAGCAACAACATCTTTCACCAGTGCAGCTCCAAGGTCATACATAGGAGGCAAGCACCACTGCTTCCATTTCACAAAGGCCATGGAGGAGGCAAAATAATACTTGAGGCCATCTGAGCAGGTCAGACAGCTTTCCTCTGCTGTACGCACTGTACCATGCCATCATCCATTAGCACTAAAGAAACTGGATGTCAAGTCTCTAGAAACCTTTCTCACATTTATGCATGAGAAAAAAGCCACCAACAGTAATTTCCTTCTTTTTTTCTTTTTCTTCCTTTTTTTCTTTTTTTTTTTTTTGGCACTTGAGGAGTGACACATTCTTTCTTGGCAAAATGACCTCATAAGACAAGTTGCAGCCTGGACAAGATATTTTTTTGTTGAGTAATAGGGCCCTTGAAAAAAAGATACTGAACAGTGTGTGGCACGAAGGGAGGTCTGAACAACAGCAGAGAAAAAGTGCTGGGAGAAATCAGACTGCTCACATCCCAGGGAGACCAGCCCAGGAACCCAGTGCTGTGCAGAGCTGGAGGAGAAATCTCACATAGGTGCCAGGCCAGCAGAGTCCAGCAGTGAAAGGGTAACACAAACAAGTCATCCTCCAGCAGAATAAGGGAGAGAAGGCAAAATAAAGGACACAAAGCAAGGAATGGAGGAAAGAAAGGGAAAGAAACATAGTCTGACTTAAGAATTTAGCAACTGTTTTTTATGAGAGGCACAAAGGAGCTTTTCATTAGGAAAAGCAGTGGAGGTCGGTGGTACAGCTCATTTCCCAGAGAAAAACAAAGTCACCAGCAGAACAGACACCACCAGACAGGCGTGGGGAAGGAGCAGCACTCGGGGCTCACAGCACTCAGTCCAGGACAAAGAGGCCCTCATGCCTCCCAAATATCAAAAAAACAATGGCAAAAGCAGTCTGCACCTCACCTAGAGGAGAAAAATGTGCAGGACTGAACCCCAGAGTCTGAACACAACTGCTGAACCTGACCAGGGCTGAAAGGAAGCTGAAGCAAAGGAGTGCCTGGAGGAGCACAATGCACACAGGATCACTGCTTTTAGCTCTCCTGGAATCAAAGACCACCTCAGGCAGCCCACTGTGTCAGAAGGTATCATTGCTCCAGTCCAGACAGGAGGAAGCTGCAGGCAGTTCCTTTACTGCCCGGGCTCTGGCCAAGCAGCCACGAAGCTGTGTGGAGCGATGCCAAGGGAAGAAGTGTTTTAATCTGCTGTTTCTATCCTTGCGAGAGAGAGGGAGAGAAAAAATCTTTTGTGGAGCACAAAGCCTGTGTTCAAGTTCAGTGCAGGAGTGGGTTGGCCTGTCCAGCTTTCTTTGTGAAGAGAACAAGAGAAACTGAAAACCCATCCTGGAGTGATGTGGGAAGACGAGAAGTTAGAACTTCTACACTTTGCAGAAGCAATTTCCTGCACTAGAAGCAAGAAGTGGGGGAACCCCTTACCTTCCCTTCTTGCACCATCTCCTGCTCTCTCTCTCATCATGTACACAACATGTCCACATCTACGTTCTGACCTCCACCATCTGCAGCCAACTCCAGCCAGGCAGAGGGATACAAGAAACCAAGCTCACTGCCTGGGCCAGCTGTCTACTCCTTCTCCTTGTCAACAGCAATTCTTTCAATACCATTTCCCTAAATCCTCAGTTATCAAACTACCTCCCCTTCCTTTGTTATTCTCACTACTGAGGTCTGGTCAGGTTAGGGTATGAGAATGTCAATTTCTACCAAAAGTAAAGCATTAAAAACCACTTACCAACTTGTTGTTCTCGTACACATTTTCTTTACTGAGGGAATTGAAGTCTCTGAAACACAGAAAGAAAAATTTCAGGTGGTGACAGAACAAGCTGCTTCACTTCCAGCTTCTCAAACCTCTCTGAGCCTCCACTCACGTGGGGGACAGAGCACCTTCTCCCACTCTTCCTTTCCAGAGACACAGCAGAGGGAGCAGTGGGGCAGATCCCCATCTGAGCCTGCAGACGGCCACAGATCTGCTGCACCTCCTGGGGCAGGGGTGGGCAGGAGACCCAGCAGGCACAGCCATCTGCCCATGGGCAGCACAACACATTTTTGGCACAGCTACCCTTGCAGGGCTGACTTCCGCAGCCTCCTGCAGACAGGACGTGCCGATGCCCTGCAGATTCAGGGAGGTTGCTGAAACAGCCAGTAGCAAATTCTAACTCGTGCTTTTGATTTGTTTTTTTCTTTCTCCCCCCCTCCACTCCCCCCTCTCCCCACAAAAAGCTTTGCTTCTTTCTCACCCCAAGAGAGAGAGGATAAACTATGGCTGCCGGACAGACTTGCAACACTATTTCCCTAGAAATACTTTCCAAAAACAGACACATCCAAACTGCCTCCAGTTTGTCTTCCCAGGGGTTGATCTCACACACTGGAGAAGGGCTGGGTAGCTCCAATGCTGCGTGCATCTCACACTCCTCCAATGCACTCATGTCCTCTGATCTCAGATGCTGCTGGTTCCACCAGTACACAAGTTCTGGCTTCAAATCCTTTCCTCCTCCAGTACCAAGCATCTGCATGAAAAATACCTTTGCCCCCAACGCAGTCCTGCAATTGGTTACAGCAAAGCTGCTTGTAAAAATCTAGTTCTCCTCTCCCTGGGTCTGTCACCTTTGATTTGTAATCACAACCAATAACCAAAAAGGAAGAGAGAATTACTGTCTGCAGTTACAAGCCAAAGTCAACAATCCTCCTCTTTCACTGGCTCTGGACACCACCTCCCTTTTCCTGTCTCCACCACTTGCTCCCCCCCAACACGTGCTCTCTGATCCCAGGTGCCACCAGGCTATGTCTGGAACTTGAAAACAGGGAACTGGAAGGAGCATGGGGTGCCCTGGGAGCAGAGCCCACACAGCATGCTTTCTCACTCACAGCAAAGCGTGTCCCTTTCTTAGGAAACGTTCACCATCAACTTGTTTTAAACTTATCATGACTGCTAACCTGAGGCTACATACTGACTTCTGCTTCCAACACTGCTTCCTCCTGCCCAGGCAGTGCACAAGGTCAGCTCCTTTCCAATAATCCAGTTTTGCTTCACAATCCTTGTACTTGTTGGCACAAAGCCGAGTGCAAGGCTTTTATCAGCAAGGAAACTCTCACTGACAAACAAGTGCTACACCACCAACTTTGCAGGTTTGTATGCAGTCCTTCTGTAACTGATGCTGTTTCACCCCTGCTGGCCTCACCTCCAGAAGAGTGTGGGTAGCAGTGCTAAAGCCAGGGCAGAGCCGGCTCACAGCAATCTATTCATGAGGCAAACACATGATCCGCAGTGCAGCAGGGGAACTTTTTCCACTACTTGTAACAGCAAGGACCGAGCCAGATGCTTTATCTACTTCATATAAAAAGTGGAGCATTACATTATAAAGGCAGCACCTACAAATCTCATGCACAGCCCAGGACACCTCCCCTGCTTCCCACATCGGGGGCTGCTATGCTGGATAAAAAGAGAACAAACAGGAAGCAGCAGAGCAGACCCAGAGGTCAGACTCCCCCAAGAAGCACATGAAGACAAGGCACATCCCAGCTTTAAATCACATACTCTTATCCTGTGCAAATGCAAAGGGACTCGCAGAGGCTTTTCACCAAGCAGTGATCCTGCCACAAGACTTCCCTTGCCTGCGATAACGGATGAAAATAACTGCAAGACAAAAAGTTTCATGGAAACAATAGATACAATCACTCTGTTTTGTGTCAGGCAAGAAAATCAGCTTTTTTAAGAGCCAGCTAAAGGAAGCATTGGAGCTCTCTGTCTCACTGCCGGTTCCGCTGCCAATGAAGCCTCTACAGCATGAACATCCTGAGCACAGGAAAACACCTGCAAGGCAGCAAGGAGCTGCAGCTTGCTCAGCCATGCAGAGGTGTAACACAGCACCAAAAAGGAGAGGACGGCAGGACTGGGAGTAGAGCACACACCTAAGGGCTGGAAACACAATGCCACAACAGGTCGTGGCTCTGCTCTGCATCAGCACATCAAAATGCAGATGTGGGACAGGCCTGAAGGAGATCCGTGCCAGCTCAGTGACAGCACTGACCTATTTATTGCCAGTCTGTGGCCCTCACACCTTGCTGAATGCTGTTTGCAGTAGGATTGTTTGTTCAGCCTCCCACTTGTGTGGAACAGAACAGGGACCTAAAAACCTGACTCTCTGATGGTGAACATTTGAAATCCCCTCCTGCTCCCCAAGGAGAGTGCAAACAACCAGATCCCTTGGTCAATTCAAGAACTTTGTGCCCTTACAGCTTCTCTACTTCCCTGGCTATTTGGGTGAGTAGTTTGCATGCAGTATTTCTTCTGGAAGTTGATCTTGCTGGTGCACCCCCTACCCTGGAATATCAAAGCTCTCCAAACCAATGTAATTCTAAGAAAGCAAAGCTAATAGAAATGGAGAAGTAGGAGTTCTCCGCTGAGGAAACACAGGCAACTGAATTAATTGGAAGAGGTGAGAAACATAAACCTGACCCAGGAGAGTGCCTCCAGTGCTGGAAACAAATCAGAGTGGAGTTCACCAGCAAAGGAATAGAAGTTAAGTTTTTAGCTCTCTAGAAAGTCCATCTCTTAGCAAAAAGTGGCCAAGCATTTCCTGCACCCAAAAATCTCTGCGACCACCCACTGCTCCAGCTGTGCAGACCCAGTGCTCACAAAGCATGCCACAGACCTCTGCAAGCACGTGTGCTTCCTCTGTGTTGATGCTGCACTCACTAAGAGCCTTCACCTTGGAGCAGACTGAGAAGGGAAAGTCCAGAGGCTATCAACTCCCTGGCCATACTGGCAGCTCACAGCTTCATCCTGCCTGGCTGAGCTGACAGCGACCCAGAAAATGCTGCTGGAAGAACGGGTGCACACAGCTGCTCTGTTCTGGCCACCAAACATGCATGCCCAAGCGTACAGCTGTCAAGGGGGATTTCACAACCATCCCATTCCCAGAACGCTGAGCTAAACACTGCCAGCACTCTGGGAGCAAGCAGGATCCAGGATGAAGAGAAGGAGCTTAATCAAAACCTTTACTCGACATCTGGCATCGATAACAGATGAGTGTGGGCGGCTCCCCTGCTGCTTTTAACTCATTTTTCAGATGGGGAGCAGAGAAACCTCCAGCCAGAGCTGGCTCAGCCAGTGCCATCACACCTAGCAGCTGCAGAGCAGGGCACACTGCTGTGAGGCTGCGTGACCTCTGACCAGAGGCACTTCAGTGCTCTGCCACCATTCCCAGAAAATGGGCTCACACCCATGGCAGGGTACCACGCACACTTCATCTGGGATGAAAGAGAAGCAGATTTCCATGGTGATTCAGTGTGTGCCTCCGCTCCCCCAGAGCTCAGTCTGTCCGCGCATCCCTGGGTGAGTGGGAAGTGAATTGGAAATGGGTTTCTAATTTTACATAGCCTGCCCTGCTCACTGATAACATACAGAACTGGCTAAGTCTGAGAGGAGTTATCACATTGTCCGTATGTTTCCTGGCAAGAAAACAAGAACAGGGAAGAGCCCTGCACCAACCTGCCCTCTGACCCATGGAACCCACAGGAGAAGCACGTGATTATTACCAGACTTTGTAATTGCTTCAAGTTTTCCTGTGAATTTATCAGGCTCTTTCAAGGAGAAATCACCTCTCCATATCGTGCACTCCTCAGCCCAAGAATGTAAACCAAGATGGAAAACACGCTGTTACAAAACTCTGCTGCCATGACCGCATCATGTCCTGCAAGCAATTTATATACAAGAGCTGCAGCAAACACTGCCTCTCCAAACACCAGTTACTCAATTCTGGTTTTGTTTTCAGTATGATGCATTTAATCCTCAGCTTTTCTAGGAGCAAGGAGGAGCTCAGGACAAACGACTTTGAGCCCCCAGGAAGCAAAAATCACAGCCACGTGTACACCCAGCTGCCAAACTGCCAAAAGGGCTTTTATAGATTCCCAAGGAAGCTGCACAAATACCCTGGGAGCTGAGGTACACGTGACAGCCTGAAATGATGACTATTTGAAAGTATAATTTACTTTCAACAGGACTTTGTCCAGCCAAGGGTATACCTGCTGATTTCCTACAAACACCACTGACAATGAGGAGGGAAGTCATACCGAAAGCTTCTCTTACTTTCACCCCCAGGCAGCCTTGCTGAGCTGGCCCAAGTTAAAAAGGGTTTCTGCAAAGTCCTTCAGGATTTCCAGCGTGAGAGGAGTTCAGCAGGATCAGAGATGCTGCAGGGATCCTTTCCCCTCTCCAGCACAGAAACGTTTACTTTAGGTATGTCTACCTACAACCCTCAGCGCACACTTGTAGGACTGTAACAACCCACTAAAGAGGGTCAGCTTGATGATCCCAGTTCCCAAGCTGCTGAGCCCTGCTCACACCCACATTCTGCACGGGCTGGCAGCAGAGCTGCCCAGGAAGCAGCCCCAGGCCTTCCGTGAGCACCTCCCACATCAGCCTTTCTGCTCTGATATTTCATACCTTTGGGACTGCGAATGAATGGAAGGAAGGGAAATATCTGGAGCCACGTGGATGTGACAGCACATCAGGAAGCCACACACAGCAACACCATGGTGACAGCCCAAGCATGGGCAGGGAAGGAAAGGCAGAGCGGGCATGCAGAAGTTCCTGCAGCCTCTTCCAAGTTTCAAAGCTATAGAGAGGAGTGAGTGCCGAACAGCAGCTTCTCCTCATGCTTCCATCAGCAGTGAGACACCTAGAAAAGATCACTACACATAAGGAGGTGTCATGCTGCACTGGGAGACCAAGGGAAGGCGGAATTCAAGAAACAACTGGAAAACTCCAGTACAGAACACACACCCCAGTCAGCCACGTCTCGCTGGGAATGACCTAATGCTTAAACCAACACACCTGGGCTGTGCTGCTGTTGCCTGCTCCCTCCTCAATCCCCCACCCTAAAGCGCAATGAGACAAAAACAAAAAGACGACAAAAACTAGGATGCTTCCTAGTCATTTTCCAATTTCCTTTAACAATTCTCATACCCAGACGTTACATTTGGGGCAGAGGGGGGGGGGTCAAAACCCACCGGACGACAGCAAAGGAAGCAGCAAAGGAAGCAGCAAAGGCTGGCAGCGCTTCGCCTCCCACGGCCAGAACCGCGGCTGGGAAAACGGGAGGACGCAGCGCCCGGCCGCGTGCCCGCTTAGCGAGGACTCAGCAAACAGACAGCGAAGAACGAAACCCCAAAGCGGTGCGTGAAGACTCTGTGCGACGGAAAGGACATTTTTAAAAGGTTTATCGTACAGCTCCCTGCAGGAGGAGGGAAGGAGGGAAAGCGGCTCGCTGCTCGCAGACTCTCAGAATCGGTGCTAAAGGAGCGAGGAGCGGCTGAAGGAATGGGATGGACGGGACGGGACGGACGGACGGGACGGGCTGCGCCCTGCGGTGCCGGTACTCACATGAGGTCGGGGCGGTGGCGGTGCAGGATGGCACAGAAGGCCAGCCCGTCGCGGAACGACGTGGTCATGTTGGTGATGCTGACATCGCGGTAGCCCTCGCACTGCTGCTTGCACCACAGCTGCAGGTTCTGGATGGCAGCCATGGCGCGGACCCGGGCCGTGCCGCCTGCGGGAGCCGCGGGCGAGTGGCGGACGGAGGGAGGAGAAGGAGGAGGAGGCGGGGAAAGGGGCGGGAGGCGGCGGTTCCAGACGGCCGCCCTCAGCCGGGCCCGCCTCAGCCGCCGTGCGGGGCGGACGGACGGGGCGGCTCGGCCACGCACAGGGCGCTGATGTCCGTCGGGCGCTGTGTGTGGAGAACGCGGCCCGATGGGCGCGAGGAGCCGGGATCCGCGCTGCAGTGTGAAATCAGTGCGCGGACACCGCGGGCGCTGCGGCTGCCTCTACCGAGCCCGGCAACACCCCGGCCATAGGAACTAAAGAGGGCAGGTGTAGCGAGATACGAGGAAAACGTTTGTTACGCTGAGAGCGGTGAGGCCGTGGCACAGGGTGCGCAGAGCAGCGCCCCGTCCCTGCGCACAGCCCAGCTGAGGGGACCGGTGTGAGCCCTGATGGAGCTCGGTGGGACCGAAGGGTTCGCATCCCTCCCGGCTCAGAGCATTCCTTGAGAGACTAAAAGACAGCGCGAGGAAAGCCTGTGCTGACCTCAGCGTGGCTGAATTGAGGCTGTGGAGAGGCAGGAGTGGGGCAGCTTGGTGATGCTGCCCAGGTGGCACAGCTGGGGAAAGAACCACCACGGTGAATTTATGCCATCACCCACATCCAAGTAATAACTCACCAGATAGACTCACACGTGGCTGCGGAAGAGACGAGGTGACGCTTTAGAAGCTGCCTATAAATCGGGTAAAAATAATTAATAATACATATAATATAATATATTAATGGTATTTCTATGACACGATATGGATAATATACATTAATATATAAATACCTTACAAATAATTCAGTGTGTTTCCATTTCATCAACAATCACTGGCCAATGTATTTACTTTATGGTAAGGATTATACATTTCATTATAAATGGCTTGCTGGGCATGTCAGCAACTTTTACATCTCCATTCACTTTATTATTAATGGTTTCCTGAACAGTAACGGCATAATAACGCACACAATGCAGCATGAATATTTGATGTGGCATCTATAGTCTCCCATTTATCATTTATAACAGGCTACAAAAACATTATAAAACATTTATTACAAATTTATAGATCACTTTATACTAAAACAAAGTTGTGTTATAAATACATTATTAATCCTTTATGCCATTTATAGGAATCTCTTGTAATAAGGCCTTAGCATATGTTGCCACACAACTGCAACAATAACAGAGCAGTGAGGCAAGTAGGAAATCCAGCACAGTAAGCCTGCTCTCGAGTACTGCGTGTATGCTGGGAAGGATGGGACAAACATCTGCACTCAAAATTAACCAGACTGCCAAGGAACCAATCCAAACAAAAGCTAGGTTCACTCAAAATAGTTTCTTTTTCTTCCCCCTCAGGAAAAAAAAAAAAAAAAAAAGAGGCTTGCTTTCTCACAAGTTGGAAACTACTGTGCTGGAACACTGAAAGCTGAGCTGTCCTGGTTTGTTTCCAAAGCACCTTTTCATTAGATTGATGAAACTTCATGAAAAGCAAGCTGGCTAACGATGGGCAGATGGGTCCTTCCTATCCTCTGTCATCAGGTCACTTAGCGAAGGGGCCTTGTGAGAAATAAAAAGGAGGTGATGAGTTCAGGAAATGCATTTGGGGGGTTTCTCTTGTTTAAAGTCCCAAATACTGTTTTGTTTAGCAGTATGCATCCCCCTGCTGTGCTTGCAACCTAAATAGAGCAGCACTGGGAAATGAGGAGACAAAATTGATGTTTGGAAATGGAGTTGTTGCCAATCAGTGGTGGAAATCAGCTTCTGAGCCTGGCTTTGACACAGCTGTAGTTGCCCCTTTCAGATTTAATGGCCCAGATGGGGCACAGCACAGCGAATGATATCTGTTTTTTTGTTTTTTTTTTTTAATATATTTGTTTAACATGACAATCTGTCTTCTAACAAACCCAGCTTAATGAGTCGATGTGGTCAGTGCCTTCTCATTACCTTGCACTTTGGGAAGGGGCAGCTGGGGCTGGGTGGCAGGGGACACAGACCCACAGAGCGGAAAGCCAGGCTGGACTATGAGAGCAGCTGCTATTTTCTGTATGTCACAGGACACTACATGTCACCTCACTCCTCCCCGTACTGAGCCCGGTCATCTGTGTTTGACCGAGGCAAACCTATCAGAAAGGCATCCAGGCTTGCAGACACCAAAAGAAGAATCTGTTAGTCATTGGCTTCAGGCCGTGCATCCCAAGAGAGCAAGGCTGGGGACACAGCCCTTGCTATACCAAAAGAAGCGGGTTATGCTAAGGTGATTAAAATGACATTGCTGAACAAGTTAGCGAAAGCAGTCATAGTATTATTACTGCCCCAATAATGGCTTTTCAAAATACAGACATCAGCAACTTGTGCAGCATTCTTAGTTGGTGATTAAGAAGAGCTCTGCAGGAGTTTATAGCTATGATGAGGCTTTAATGTACCAACAGGTAAACTAACAACCACTAGAGAGAGGAACTGGGGAGGACGGGAGCAGAACGGCCTTACAGCTGCTTACCCATTACCAACAACTGCTGTTCTCACAGGACATTCCTTGCGGAATGAAGCTCACAAACGTTTACTCTGGATTGCATTCTTCCCTTTTACGTTTTTTCCTTGGAGGTGGCTTACATGTCCTCATCCCCATTTTGTGCACCTTGCCTCCATGCCTCGCAAGGTGTGTTCAGACGCTTTTGGAGCACAGTAGGCCACAGATAAGGAGTGATTTATTCTTCTGTACTTTCAGACATTTTTTCCTTCCCTCTCACTCCTTTTCAGCTCTCTTCCTAGATACTGAACTACAGCAGAGAAATGCTGAGTGCTTTTCGACAGTCCTTAAGACTAGTGGGAATCACTCTCTGATACCAGCCCTTAAATTCATCCTGGCTCCCATATGCAGTATCCTGGGTTTTACCATTAGTAAAGAAGGAGCTTAATATATGACAAGAACAACCCTAAAGCCCAATGAAAAACAAGCCAACATTTGTTACTTTGAGGACCCGAGGAAGAAGAAAAGGGTTGATTCCTCATATCAGACAGCACGGGGCCTCAGCTAACACTTCTCATAAGAGCACACGTCATAGGCTGAAAAAGCACATCTTTTAACTATTGTGGGAAATCAGTAGATCAAATTGAGCTACTTCATAATTTTGCTGCAGGCTGTACACAGGGCTGTTCACTCTCAACAATAGGAAGTACGTGCTGTAGCCAAGAGCTCTCATACATTCCCCTGCCAATGGCTTACATTAAATTGAGGGATTCAAAACAAGAAGGAAAAAGCACACGTCTCATCAGTAACATGCCTCATCAGCTCTCTCTTCCCAGAAGGCAGCCAGGCTGACTCCACAGAGACAGAGAGGCCCAAACCAAAGGAAAGGAAGCTTCTACAATTTCACAGCTACTAACACAGAAATGCTTCTGCATGATGCTGCCTCTCCGTGGAGCCTGGCTAGCTTGACCTGTACTGCAAGAGAAGGAAATTATTAAAAAATTCAAGTCTGAGCACGAATTTCCACTGAAAGAAGATGAAAGTGAAACATGAAGTTGCAGAGAAGGGCACTTTGGTAAATCTCTCCACAACACATGCCACTGAGAAACCTGTAAATGGTATATCCATTATCTTAAAGCCTCAAAACACCGAAAACACTGCATCAGAGTAAAGTGTGTCCTGCCACCCAGGTGAAACACAATGCCTGACTGAAAAAAAAAATCCACCACCAAGCCTCTCTCTTATTATCCATTACTGGCAAGCTGGCCTGTTGGCTTTCCTGTCCCCAGCATGGAAAGGCGAGGGACAAGCAAGAAATCCATCTCAGAAAGTCACTGCCAAGCAGTAAGGATAGGAAACTCCCCAAAACTACCCACCTGCTGCATCCTTCCCACCAGGTGAGAAGGAAAAATGGAGAGAGATAACAACTGCTTTGTAGGGCACCAGTGAAGTTCAGGGAACTGAAAGCAGTGCACAGACAAACAGGGATGGTGTCAGAAGGTGACCTTCCCTCCTCTTCAGAGAAAGCTGAAACGGACAGTGGTGATCTGTGACCCTCTCACAGCCGTGACAAAATGCAGTTCTCCAAGAGCCACAAACTTCACTGCTTTTATCAGAAAGTGAAAGTAAAGGTGTTTGGGATCCTAAGATTGTGTGAGGTGAACCATATCTGTCACGGCATCACCATGGGAGCAGGACCCGCCCTGGAGCAGGACCCGGCTTGGCAGCTTTGAAATGCTGTGTTTTATCAGCAGGGCAGAATTTAAAGCCCGGAAACATGATAATATTTGTTAGTGATTAACAATGTTAATCACTCGTAGCAAAGAAGCCCTTTGCCTCTTTCAGGCTCCTTGCAGACACAAGAAAATGAAGCCTCCATTTCACGATGGTGGGCAAACAAAGCTTTATACTTGTTCTCCTGGAAAACAAAGCCGCGTTTTCAGCACTCTGCTTAGAGCTGAACTCTGAAATCCATCTGGTTCCTTACCAGGAAGAGAGGCCGGCTCTTACTTCAGGTTTCCAGCTGGGGAGAAAACCCTTGAAATAAGATAATTTTAAAGGCCAAGACTTTCCACTTTTGCCTGAGATTGGTATGGAAGGCTACCATCTGCCTTACTTCCACCCAGACCAAACCTGAAGCCCCACATTTTATCTGGGGGACAACGGGTTGCACAAAACCAGACGTGCTGTAAGAAGCCTGTGAGAATGCAAAATTCAGCCTTTTTATCCAGCCCTGCTCTAGCTCTGAGACCACCACGTGCCCTTGGCCCCTGTGTGTCCCCAGGCTGCTGCTGGGCTGCCCATGTGGGTGCAGAGCAGGGGACGCAGCCTGGTACTGTGGCTGTAATGTGGTTCAAGATGTTCCACTCACCCTGTGCAGAGTGCCATTACTGGTCTCACTCCTCTCCAAAGACATCCCCAATAAACTCGGAGAGAGCAAATCTGCAAACATTGCCTTAGTTTTTAAATCTCATTATTGATTAAAAAAAAAAAAAAGAGGTAATTTTATTACTTTTATGGTATGTTTTCTGTTATTTGCATAATTGTTCAATGCTAATAAGACAATTAGCAATTCTTACAGCTTAATAATTACCCAGTGATGACTGGCCTATTGTAGCTTAATGAATTTTTTAATTGTTGCTGGGGGTCTTGACGTTCTTCTGTCCAATATCTCCTTCACTTAGAGATGCTGTTCATGCAAACAGGGCAAGGCAAAAGGCAAGACAACACCAGCTACACAGGACAAGCAGAGATGTTATTATTAAGATCTCTTCAATTTAAAAGGAGAAAATACAAACTCTATTTTCTGCCGCTTTAGGGTGGTGTTATTTAAATGCATGGAAAGGCAAAGCAGAGGTTTAAACATCAATCCACCTTAGGCAAATGCTGCCTCTATAGAATCCAGGCTGCTTAGCTGGTGTGGGGCTGGCCTTGACATACACAAAGCTAACAGAAGTCTTAACATTTTTACCTTTCAGTGAATAACTCCTTGACTTAAGTGTGAATCGTGCTGTTTTGAACTGCAGCGTGGCCAGAGGGAAGTTAATTGAGATCAGACAGGGCCAGAACTGTAGCTGTCACCAACTGAGGTCACGGATGAAATTGGCTGAAGAGGATGGCGAGGCACCAGGGAGCAGTTGTAGGTAGTCTCCTCAGCCCACATTTACCCATACACAATAAGTAATGGAGATGGACTTTTCCTCTCTCTTTTTTTTGCACGAAGATTCTTGCATGCTGCTGCTTGCAGAGCAAAGTCTCTCTTTCCTTCCTCTAATTCTAAAGGCTGGCAAAATACTGATGCCTCTGTCCGTGAAAGCCTTTTTGCTAGCAGTTACCTGGAGACCCTCTGCCTCTCCCTGCCTTTCTATTGCCAACAGGCAATAGATTTGCCTCTGAGGTCAGTGCTGGGTCTCTTCCAGTTCCCCATTGTAATCCATTCCCCAGGGGCAGCTGCCACTGAGTCAGCAGCAGGCAAGCAACTCCCCTGTTAGTCACACCCTGCTCTCAGCCAAACCAGCACCACTGCCCCTGCCCTGCAGCACCAGCATGCGTGGGACCACGCTGTTGCCACATCAGGCTCTATCCAGCTCAGCCTCAATAAATTCCTTCCAGCTACCGTGTGCCTGGATGGCTACTCTTGCTTCTGCTATCTGACAGGAGGAGTACTTGCATGTGGTGAGGCTTCGTGCTGGGTGAGTGCAAGGACTTGAAATGAGAGGCACCACCTCCATGCCCTTCCCAAAGGGAAAAAAAGGGAAGTCTTGTGACTCCCAGTCCAAAGTTAGGAAGTGTAATAATCAGTTCAAATAATAGGGATCTTCTCTGCTCCCTCTCATACATTCCTGCTATTGTACTGGTGTACTTTTCCAGTGCTGTTCTTGTGAGTTTCCACTGCGTACTTGATGTACACCTGACTTTCTCAGGATCATGCTCTTGGTATGGATCCTTAGATATGAATGTGGGCTCATATAACATTTCCACCATGGCTAACTCTCCCAAATAGCGGATGCCTTTTTCCATAGCAGTCCATTGCTTCAACCCAGACATCAGATCATCTTCACAGATCTTCTTCCCAGATACGGTTCTACCTCACATCTACTGACATATTTGCATTGGCAGTTGTTGTCCAAGCAGAAAATGGAACAGTGATAGCATCCTTCCAGGTCTCCAAGACTCCACAGGCTGAAACCTAGGGAGTGCCCACCCTTTTCCCTATGAAAGTTGTCTGCTATTGCTACAGCAGACATCCTCTTTCAGAGAAGCATCTCTGAAGCAAAGCGAAAGCCTCCCAGGTCCAAGAAAGCTAAGAGTAAGAGCCATGGTAGGTTCAGTTCTACAGGAGAAGGAACAAGCCAGCCCTGAACCCCCACTCTAGGCAGTGGGGGGCGTGGAAAAAGCCCCACTCAGGGGTGTGCTGGGAGAATCACTATAAAACATATTAATGGTGTTCCTACCCTGTCACCGTCTACCTGTGCTTAGTGGAAGGGCCCTGCAGCCCCTCCTTTGCTCCTCTACCATCTCCATCCAGCAGGCACTCAGACAAGAGCTGCTGCCAGCACGGTATGGTGCAGCCACAGGACGAAGAACAAGCCAGCAGACAGTGTTTGCTTCCCCTAGAGCTGCATGGGATTCCCAGGATATTCTAGGACACCAGCACTGGTTTGGGACTAGGCTTGACACCATCTCTGGCAGACCACAACTCACCTAGGAAGCTTTCAACTGCAGCATCTTGTGGCAGAGAGCATCCAAATGATCTTGCCACTTTAGGGCATGTCCTCTGACAGCCAGACAGCAGCAGCAGCAATTTCCACTGGGTCAGTCTTGTGAGCTCCTCTGGGTTCAGATAGGAACAACGCTGCAAACCTCCTCCTCATTCCTCTTCTGAGTGAGTCAACATCTCTGAAAGATGCAGAACATGGCTCTGGCCCCCAGGAGGAGCCCAGCAGACCTGCTACGGATAACGCTGTCAGCTCAACAGGGATGGGAGGAGAGAAGGTGCTCAGCCAGGCAGAGATGAAAGTTACAGAGTGCTGATTAAAAGGCGGGCGAGTGTCAGAGCATCTGTAATACTGTCGCTAACCATTTCAGAGCTGTCACAGCTGCTAAGGATGGGCTCCCACAGCACTCCTGCCCTGAGCTGTCTCCTCACATCCAGGCACCTCAGCTGCCCCCTCTCCTCTCAGCCATGATCTGGTTTCAGCAGCATGCTTCAAGCCAGGGCAGCCTGCTCAGCTCCACTGCATTCAAGCAGAGGATGATAACAGAGCAAATGCATAGCAGGAACTTTCAATTTAGCAGAATACAGGCAGTGAAACAAATCACAGATGATGCTTTTTCTATTGGGAGATTTGTAGAAATACCTTGCTCTACAGCACAGCTTCTACCCTCTTACAAACTTCTGAATTTGTTTCTTCCTCCCAAAAGAGATGAGCTCTTGATGATAAAGATGCTGTTTCTACCTTCTCCAGCACACCTTGTTCCCCACTGCTCTGCAAAGACTAGCTATCCTGCAGCGAGAGGTGTTTAAACAGTTGTCACCATCCGAGTGACAACTTGGCCTCCAGGCAGCCATCATAGAATTTGAGGCCAGCCACACCATTCCTTTTTACCCATACGTGTTTGTAGTTAAAGCCCTGGAGCAGGATTTCTGGAAAGCCCCATCCAGAGGGAGGCTCTTCAGCAAAGAATCACTACTTTGATTCTGTCTTTGCTGTGATAACAGTCCTGCAACGTTTTTATTTCTCCTTAGTTCAAAGTCCTGTGAAAAGTCCTTTCCCAGCCAGTCCCATAAGTTCCCAGTGGCTGTGGGCACACAGCAGCACCAAGAGAAATACTTCCCTGCTCTGACAAACTGAGCAGTGTTTTAATGATGCCTGATAAGAGACTACAGCGAGAGGAGCCAGTAATCTCACTGGGAACCCTTTAGACAGGCGTTAATCCTGCTGTCATTGAGCCCCTCAGGAAAACCATTTCACTGACTTGATCTTCTTCAGCTGTTCCTCCACATAATTTATATCTAGCTAATTGCCACAGTAGTGACTCTGGATACGAAGCAGATGCTGCTGAGGAAGAAAGCATGTTGCATCCTTAAGCAATAGCTCTAATCTATTTAAAGGCAAGGCGAGGCTACTTAACAGTGGTTGGGAAGTTCATCTCTCTCCCTTTTCTCCTCCAATTCTCTGCAAAGCAAGCAATTCATACAGCATAAGCATTCAGTCATAGCATTTCTTGTTTGTAAGAATGGACAATACTTCTTCATCTTGCCACCCACGAGTTTACAAATGTCTCTCACAAGAGGGAAAGAGACAAATGATGTGAAAGCAAGCCAGTGAATACAGTAAGACTATGAAATGGACAGTGAATTCTCTGCAGCAGAAGGATGGAAGCCACCACCTTTTCTGTTCTCCCATGACAGCTGGCAGTAAACAATCACATCAATAAGCAGACAAGAACTAGGAGAAGAATCACAAGGAGAAACTGGCAGATGCCAAAGAGGATGGGAAAGCTAGAAATAGAAAACTTGTGAAGATATAAAAGGGATGTGAGAACTTGTAACAAATGATTTGGGTCGTTCACATCTGAGTCCGTGCATCAGACACTGCAGGGCTCTGCATACATCTGGCCACAGAGACAGGTCTTTCAGAGAAGCTGTAGCTAGAATAACAAGACAATGAAGAACAGGGAGAGAAGGATGTCAGGCTACACCAATGGCAGCACAAAGCAGAAAGAGGCACAATGGAAACAAAGAATTTTAATTGGAGGAAAAAAAAAACAACTTCACTCCCTCCCCCCCAAAAAAAACCCAAACTATCAAAACATGATATGGTCTCTCCCCCTGCACATATTCACATTTTTTTCCAACATAAAGTGCAGAGACTTCAACTGAAAGGGCCAACACTCCCTTCTGCTCTCCCAGCAGCTCTGCCCTCTTAGAGGAAAAAAAAAAAAGAATACACACCACAAAATAAGTGTCAGCCACTGCCCTAAGACTCCATGACAAAACTGGTCCCTGTTTGGCACAATATTCAGGAGATTTTTTCCCCACAGTAATGGCAACTTAGCCAGACAGATCTGTCCTTGCCCCCTCCTGATCTTCATGTGGCCTGTTACATCATCTCTTTGATCCTTCAGGACATTGGTTGAAATACAGTGCCTTCTTACAGGGCCTCAATGCAGCTGTTGTGTCCAGTTCAATTCCACTGAAAGTGAAGCTCCCAGAACCACGTGTTCAGATCGTGGCCTCCATGTGCAGGACCTTCAAGGCCTCAGAGATTTGAGAGCTGGTGTCAATCTGGCTGTACATCCCCACCAGGAAGGCCCTGTGCAGTAACACTGCAGCATGTTCTGTGAAAGAGAGAGACAGCGTGAGGAGTGGCCTGAGAGCAGCAATCTGCCAGTGAACACCTGGATGAATGCTTGTAGCTGTGCAAGAAGTTCCTCCTTCTGTTATGACTGAACAGGGCTTAATTCACCCTGTAATGGCCCTGAGGGTTTGTGATTACGTGAGAGATCACAACTCAGAGAGGAAGATTGTAAAGGAGCAAATCTGTTTTAAGGAAACCTCCCTTATCTCTATGGCAAGTCTCCTCTCTGTGATGCTCAGACCGAAGCTGCTATTGATACAGATGACCTACATGTTTGACAGACTATTCTAGGCAATGCTGACTCTTAGCAACTTCCCAAGGAGGCTACTTTCATAACAGGAGCTCAATTTTGACCTTTGCCCACCAAGCATGCACCCTTGAGGAGGCAGATACTGACTTACCTTGGCAAAGGAGGGTGTACTCAGGCAGGTTCCTCAATGCTGTCTGCACCACCTCAAAGTCTCGGCTGCCAAGGCAGTACATGAAGGTAGGAAGGAAGTCCGCAGCAATGCTGGAAATAAAACATCACAGCATCAGTACAGCCCAGTTCACCATCAAGAGCCACGCACAGTGGGCAGCCAGTGCCCCTCAGTGACTCACAATATCCTGAGTCCCCATGGTCCTCACCTAGGGTTGTTCTGAATGGAGCGTAAAGCCAGGCTAAAGGCCAGATTTCGGCAGGACTCCTCTGATGAGCTCATCAGCTTCTGTAGGTTTGTCTGAGAGAAGATACACAAATAAGGATCACAGGGCCATATAAGGATCAGAACTGTGCAGACTTGCATTACTACCCCTCCAGCATCAATCCAGCAGGTACTGGCTGAGACAGGAAATCCCTCTGTAACAAGGATTATCCTGTTTTGAATGCTTTAAAGCACCCTTCTGTAATCTTATGGTGTATGGGACAGCTGAATTTTCCCTGCATTCCTGTGTGGCTTTTTCAGGGAGCTGTTCTGCTTTCTCCTAGTCCCATTATTGTAAAGGGGACGGAAGGTTACTACTTCCTCAGATATAAACAGAAGTTCAAGGGGATGATGGAACTATTATGCAATGGAGAGAAGACAGTAGGAAGGTACGTACTGCCTGCTGTCAGAAAGCCTAATGGAAAGTGCAGCATCTTAGGGGAAATGTAATACCACCCTCCCCCCAAAAGCAGAGTAAGAAAAGCAATTAAGCAGGCTGTACAACACACTCTAGTGAACAGAATCTTTGACTTTCAGTGGCATTTAGAGATGTCACACTCACAGCAAAAAAGGAAAGAATTTCTGGCCTCCGTCTGGACATCTCATCAATGTCTGTCAGCACCTCCAAAATGTCTGGTGGAAGACACACATTAAAAGGAATGACTGAAATTCACTGATTCAGCAAAGGACCTACAAACCCAGCCTCCCAACCGGTCAAGTTTTACTACTTGCACACAGAGCTAGAGTAATAAAGACAGTTATTGAAAAAGGAAGGATGAGAACAGGCAGCTCACTTGCTAGATCAACATATCTCAAACTGCCCAAGCAGGGGTCACCACAGTCATGACATGGGCAGGGGAAGGAGTGGAGTAGGGCATAATGTTTCAACTCCAGAGTACTTTTTTCTTCACCAAGTTTCTAAGGTGGAAAGACAACTGTCACCCCAATACCACAACTTATGTCTGATATGAACACTGGACACTTGTGATTTCAGCACACTTTAGGAGAAGCAGCATGTTGTTGCCATATGCCAGGTTAATGTGATTTTCCTTTGTGAAGGTCATCTGGGATTTCAAACAAAATCATGCTTCTAATCAGTTTGGTATTTTTATTGTATTAAATAAAATGGCACTCCTATCAGTACTCCAGAGCAGAGTCACTGGATCAGAGCTGGCTGAATGTGGACTGTAACACTCCATGAGTTACTCATGCAAATTCCCAGAGCACCTTCAAGATACCAACAAGAGGCAGTTGCAGCACTGCTGTACTAAGTGACACAGCATCATAGGAAGCCTCTGTCACAGAACCACAGAAAATTATGGACAAGTCATCCAAAACAAAACTACATCCTAACTGCTGGAGACTTCTAGGAAACAAACCTGTAGCTGACAGCTGAGGAACAGCGTTGGCACATGTAGCATTTCTCCTATGTTCTTGCACTTACCCTCAACTGTTTGGCCTCGAGAGAGCCTCTTCATGTATGGGGCCATTTCAGCTGGTGTGAGAGGAGTGAAGAGAGAGACGCTGACAAGGGGGAGTGAGCCAGCTGCTGCTTCATCTGGTACAGAATGAGAACAGGTCACTTTTGACTCTCTACACAGTTTCAACAGGGAGACAAATCCAATGTTCTCTACCAGCCATCAGCTGAGCAGCAATGCTTCCCAGCTCTCACAGCCTCCTGTCTCACTGCAACTCCTTTACATCAGCAAGGGCTGCCAGAAAACAAACCTTCCTAACACTATTTTATACTGAATAGTTATCACACACAAGTTGCAAAGAGAGAGGAGAATGTACCTAGGGTCTCCTGCCAGGTTGATCCTGAAGTGAGGCTTTGGAAGATAAAATCCACAGTAATGAAAATCACTCTAAAAGCTTTTCTTCTGCACCAGCAGTGGTACCACTGACAGCAAAACAAACCAACCCATTCCAGATACTGATTTCAAACAGCTGAGCATACGAATGCCATTCCCCATTCTAAATACCTTTCACTAGGAGTAAGAGAAACATTGCATATAGCACACAAAAACATCTGCACTCCATGAAGCACTGCAGGTTTGCCAGCTAGATTTACTCTTGCATCCTAGTCAGACTCACCATCCTTCTCTTCTTCAGAGCCTCTGTCCAAGATGCTGCTCTTACTAGGCAGACTCAGCCCAGCCAGGAGGGACTTCAGCATTGCTAGGTCACTGTTGTCTGATGACAGGTCACTAGTGGAACAGATGGCATGTTTAAATAGAAGTAAAGGCATGAGGACAACTAACAGCACATAAATTAAACATGGTAGAAACAGTTTCTCAGAAGCAAGATTTTTCCCAGTGTTAACTACAGGGGTTGCTCCAAAATTAACGCCTTCCATTTTATTAGGTTGGCCTACAATATCACAGATGGATGTTAGTGGTAAGGTAGCAGAGGCTGAACTTTCTGCCAGTTTTCTGTTACATGTTGTTGCTGTGTGACAGATGACAGTAGAGGGGCAGTTTGACAAAATGGCATCTGACATGGAAGTGCAGATGAAGCAAAAGGGGAGAAGCTGAATTTCTCCACGTGGAAAGAACAGCACCCATTAATTGATGATTTCTGAACATTTATGGAGACCAAATAGTGGATGTGAGCACAGTGAGACGGTGTGTGGAAATAAATAGGAAGCATAACTTTCAGAGTGACCTATTAGAACTCAAATAAGTTTGTCCCTGTATCTGCAGCTGTGATCCTGCTGTTATTGCTCCAGGTAAAGACTCTGCTGCTGGCTCTCCAGAAATAACTGCAGAGCACTACAGTACATTATCTGGGCATTTAATTCGTTATGTGAGTTCAGATTACCACCCAACTTTGTCAGGTTCTGTTTTCACCTATAAAAAGGGAGATGCTGTTCATATCAATAGACATTTAAGCAAGCAAGGGTGAAAAAGTGCCACATTAACCAACTGTTGTCACATTATCTTGCTGTCCCCTGCCTGATTATCTCATGGCACCCTGCCTGAGCAAGCTCTCCATGAACTAACCCATGGGGTAAGTGGACTAAGAAAGCTTACTGTAGAGGATCCGAGTGCTTCTGCAAGAAGGAGACAGCTGCTTGTGCGTTGCACGTGATGTACTTCTGGATAAACTGGACATATTTGCTGATGAAGGCAGCCAGGTGTCGTGAGGATTTCCTGTAGTTCTGAGAAAGGGTAGGGATGATGAGTTAACAAAAACAGCAATGATTCATTGCTCCATCCTGCACCTCTGCGACCCAGGAATTAGATTACTGATCGCTGGCCTCCCCCATTATAATCTCTCCAAGGTACTCTATATATCTTTTGGCTCTTCAGATACACGAAGGTTCTCCCTTCGTATAGCAGAATGTTGGGCTGGCCCTGTGTTACATTAGCTTCTCCCTCTAGTGGCTGGCAGCCCGCACACAACGTGCAGCGAGGACTTTGCCTACCAGCAGCAGACGGATGAAGGAGAGCAGACAGTCCCATAGTGCCGCCTGGTGCTCATTCTGGAAGACCTGTGGCTGAAGCAGCTCCAGGATCCCCAGGACGTGTATGAAGAAGGTCAAGTGATTCTGCTGCCTGAACTCCTGGAAATTGAGGTGAACACGGCCATGTAGCAGAGCTGCAATCATCGGCAAGTGTCTGAAACACCAAACAGAAGAACATCCAGCTCTAGTCTCTTCCTAAATAGAATTACATGTTGTTACATCCCAGTGGCTTTAAGTGTCCCTCAAACTCTCCCAGGGTTTTGGGTTTGACCCCAGTATCCATGGAATCAGCAGTCACCATTTCCCACCCATTTTCTGTTCTGTAGGCTGCAATTCTACAAGGATTGTTTCCTGACAAACAAGCCAAAAACAGTGCTGCTTCCTTATAAAAGATATGGCTTTGCTGCCCTTTCTTGTAGGTTTCATAAACGAACACAGATTCCGCACAGTCTACGTGACTGTGCCAAGCCTGCCCCCCACTTCTATGGCAAAGGTTGATGCTTTTCAGTAAACTCAGTCTCATGGATGGTGAAAGGAGAGAGTTGTACCTGAGAAGGAGGATAGGATGAGCCACAGCTAGCTTCCTGCATGCCATGTTGGCATCCCACACGCGGCTTTCTGATGACTTGGAGTCACTGGTGTCTGCAAGGAGGTTAATGAATCTGTGAACCAGGGCATCAAGCTAGAAAGAAAAGTAGTGAGTAAACAGTTAAGTTTAAAACACCACAAGCCTGTAGCTTTTCAGCAGCATTTCTCAAATACTTTCCAACTACAGATGAGGTTAACAGAAATTATTCCCAGGTAGAACCTGCAAGCAGATGCAGCATTCCAGCTGGCATAGGATCTGAAGTCCACAGCCCCTACAGACATCAAAGCAGGATCAGACGCCTGCACACTTGCGCTTTACAGAAGCCTTTGGCACACAGAAATTTATATAATCAGAGCTTAAAGTATTTGATAGAGAGACAATGAAAAATAAATCATACCTAAACTTTGCTCCTGAGTGTGAAGGCTCACTGAGGGAAGGGGCAACTGAAGAGTGAGCTTAAGAAACCAAAATGACAGAACCAACACTCTCCAGTTCTCTCCTTTTAGTCTGAGCATCAACACAGCATTCACTCTAGGTGCACACTTGGAAAAAGAGGCTTTTCTGCGATTCACTGTTTACCTTGCAAGTGCTGCTGTCTCTGGCTCCTTCACTGGTGAGAAGCATCTCAGGCAGAGGCACAAGTTGCTCGGGTAGTTGCAGGTATATCTGAAGCAGAAGGTCCTGGCAGCATTTTCCCACAGAGCTGGAAGAAAAAGGGAGAGGCGAGCCTCTGGTTACTGCTTTAGCTCAACCAGCAGACATCACAGACCCATCAGATTATTAAAAGATTTCTTGTATATGTGATAAACAACTCTGCACAGTAGTCACCACTAATCTGAACAGTGTTTATTCAGTCTGTGTTTCTTTCTGAACTACTCTCGAAACATGCACAGTCCACAGGGATCCATGATCTGCAGGAATCCACCATGAGGCCGTTTCCAGTGCTGGAGTTAAGAAAATTGGTTACATAGTTACCCCTGGATATAGGAAAGGAAAGCCTGGCTTCCATCTCCAGTGAGCAGAATTCCTCTATGTAGTACTCATGGTCATCAACATCTCAAAAAAGTCATGCAACTATTCAGACTAGCCTGTTTCTCAATTAGCACACCTGCCTGAGATGCATTACCATGCAATAGCAACTGAAATTACTAGGCATCTTTTCTATTACCATAAATGAAGTTAAAATTAGGTCAATTTGCTCCACTGACACAAAGACACTATCTTCTGCTTTCCCAACAGTGCTAACACAGCTGCTAGAAAACAATCATAATGATCAGCACAGTTTGCATTATAAGCAATGATTCAGGCATGAGTAGACAAGAAATTCTACATTAGAAACTGGTAATTAAGAACAACAACTGACTTATGAGAAGAAAAAAAAAGTAGTGTTGAACATTTTATGCCAAAATTCCTGAAAGAAAACATGCCCTGCAATTTCACTTTTAAGGTGACCTTCTTGGTTCTAGTAACACTTCAGAGTGACATTTTATTCTCCTAAAATGTCTGAGAAGAAAACGTGTGGGAAGCACTTGTTATATGGGCTCTAGAACGCTTACTAATGAAGACATGCTGTCAAGTCTCATCATTACCTGGCTGCCTGTGCCCAAGTAACTACAATTAGAGTAGGCAGTGCTTTCCATTTGCGACCCCCACCTGCTACCCCATTGCTGGATGCAGCTGGTCAAATACTCTGTTACTTTTTTCATGCTCTCAAGGTCCCCATGAGAACAACTGAGCAACAGAGGCAGTCGAGACTGGATGAGTGTGCAGGAAGCCTCTTCTGTGTTCTGGTATCTGGTTTCTGCTTCAGCCAGGATCAGCTCCACCATGCTGATCAATTCTGATGCCTTTAGATGGAGCACAAATTCCTCACGGCGCTTCTGCAATGCAGAACACAAAATTAATCCCAGCTGAATCCCTAGATCCTTAGTTCTAGTCACACTTCCCCCAGACAGACAGGAGCATCTCTTAAGATGAGACTTAAGTAATGCGAAAACTCAAAGAGAGATTAAACTGCCTTTTCATGGCAAAGTGGGAATTATCCCACGCTGGGTTTTAGCTTGCTCATTGTTGTAGCCTTTTCACTAGATCTTTAATAGATATTGTAGCAACTCTGCAGGAGCTGCAGAGGAAATGTCAAGGGGGCAAACTTATGTGCGCTCAAATGAGCTTTTTGAACCCCAAATTGCCATTGTAATATATAATAGAGTAGAGCAGCTAAGCAACCAGCTGAGGTACAGGCAGCAAATTTGGCACACTGCATCTGTATCACTCCAGTTGCCTCTTGGCCATGACAAGTCATGCAATATGAAAGTATCACCTCTCACTCCATCCAGACAGGAAACTTGGAAGAACTGAGCCACTACCTGAGGAGTTCTTTGGTCCCTTCCCTGCCAGATCCGAGGGATATGAATACAGGCCCACAAGAAATCCAACGAAGCAGTTGGATCAAACCTGCCAGAAGACAAAAGAAGACAGATTTGCAATTAGAGTCAACGCAGCCCTCAGGCAGCATGCAAACACATGGTACTGTCTCTAAACATCACAAGTACTGTGAAGGAAAAACATCTGCAAAATGTAAAAATAGGATCCATTAAGTCCCAAGAAGGGGCTTGGTTCTGTTCCCAGATTATGACTAAATATTTGTTGCAGTAAGCACAACACAGGTATGGTGCCCAACAAATGGCATTCAGCAGCAGTACAGTGGCTGCAGAGTCATACACCACAAGGCCAAAAGTCTGTCACAAACATAAACAGTTGATACAAGAAGATCAGTGATCTTCATGTTGCAGTGTGCAGAACATCCTGCCTGCTATCCTGGATTGCAGAAATTAAATTGTTAGTGAGCAAATCAATAAAGAAATTGCAGGAAACAAATATTGCTAGCTTTAGAAATACTGTTAGTTTAATCACACCCTGCCTCGCTACTTACTAGCTGTTAGAGCATTCTGGTCTACAAGTGTAAGAAATTTAAGCAAGATACTACTACTACTACAATAAAATTCCAGTATCTGAAAGCAACATACAGGAGCTGAGAGCTAGGGTGCTCCCAAGATCAGAACTGGGCTAGAGAAAGACTGGTAATGGAGTTTAGTACAACCAATGGATCCAGCAGAGCCTGCCCATTGGTTTGCTATCCAAGCCATCTTTCAATCCCCATGTTCATGAAGATTATCAACAAGGGCAATGCTAGATGGATTACCTAAATGATTAGTATTTCCTATTTAAAACACGGCCAAATCTTTATGTGCTCTTTCCATCAAACAGCAGGTAATATTTAAATCAAGGTACACAAATCAGCATGACTGAAATCAGCATCCTTCTCACAAAGCCTGTTTTTGGCTGAGCTACATCTCTTGGCACACGCACCGTGGAACTCAGCAGCTCTTGTTCACAGCTTCTGATTGTTCTCTCTCAGACAGCAAATTGCCCAACTCAAAACTCTGCTAGGCTCAGAAAAAACCACCACTAAGACTCACCTCTGCTCTCGGTTTCTGCAAAGCAGAAGCTTGATGCACTGGTGCAGCGTAGTCCAGCTGGACTGATGAGTGAGAAGAGCCAAGAGATACGGGCGGAAGGAGGGCACCTGGGATCCTGCCTGAAAGGACCAAAAATTGAGATGTATAAACAGATTCTTGCTGTGAGGTGGATACAAGAGACAATGATGGCAATCCAAGCAAGCAGACAGCACGTAAGAGAACACGTGGATTGAGGATTTGAACTGCAGTACTGTTTAAAACATGGCAGAAGTCATGACATTCAGCTTTAGCCTTACCTTTGTCATAGCACTTCTGGGCAGGCTACTTAATTGTCTTCAAAAATACACATGAAAACACAGAGTGCTAGGCTATTATTATTAGGCTATTATGGGACTACATTGTGTCTATAATACTCTTTGAAGTCCTGAAAAGAACAGGGCTGAAGAAACACAGAGATAAAATGAATATGTGCCTCATACTGCAGAAGGATACACCAGAATCTCTACCTTAGTCAGACTGTGCTGCTCTCAAACAGGTATAGTGGCAAACATGTGGCAAAACATAAAACTCCCCCATAACCCTTTTTCAAGGTGTAGGTCAGCACCCCATAAAAGTGGTTTTAGCACAGCAGTCACTCTACCCAACAACTCTTACCTTGTTCCAGGAGAACAGTAGTTTCTGCTGGAGATCAGGGCAGCTGCTGATCACCTCTGGGTCCAACATCTCCAGCCAGTCATTCAAAAGGCCAGAGGATGGTCCCAGCCAAGCAGTTTCAGTACTGAAGAGAAAACAAAGCCAGTATCAGAGATGATGCCAGGAAACCAGACCTCCCATTGAGTTCCCACCGTTGTGTAGTCTCACCTGCAACTATCCAGCTCTTTCTTCACTGTTGTCTCTTCCTTGTCCTGGAGCAACAAGGAGCTCACCACAGCAATTGGTTTCATGGCAGGAAATCTGGCAGTGGTCTCAACAGTAGCTGAGAAGAGGACTGTGAGGAGTTCCTCCAGGTACGGAGAGTGAGTTTCAATCAGGCCCTGAAGGACTAGCAGAGGTAAAAAGATGTTGCTAACCTCAATGTGTGGTCAAAGCTATGAAACATTCTAAGTGTCTCATGAAGGCAATCAACCAGTCCAGAATTCTCCAGAGAATGGCTCAGTAAGGAAGAGAGAAACCACTTCTATCTGGAATAGCAGACTTCTATTTCTTATTAGGTTAGCAAAAACTGACAGTTTGCTGTAAGCCAACTCCAGTCCTAGGTCACAGTTTACAAACCCACATACCAGCACAGGGAAAGGAGGTGATATAAGATAGGCCACATTTAGATCAGTTTGCATTTTCCTGCTTCCCATTGCCTATATATGAGGTAATCCCTTTCTATGCTGGAATTCCAACCTGCTGCTGCAATAGAAAGGAGAGCAGGAAGACAATCATACCTTTGCTGATGAGCTCTGGCTCCACGTTACCCTTCTCTCCCGATTTCAGGGTTGCAATAATGGCACGTACTGTGGAGCTGATCAAGTCAGGGTCATGACGGAAAGTCAGAGCTTCTGTGAGGTGCAAGAAACCACCTCGAACTGCAAAGAAATTACAGCATTGAGGGACAAGCAACAACAGGTCTCTCTTCTACAGAGGCACCAAGTTGTAGTGGCACACAACTACTCAAACATACACACCCACAGCATCCCACTGTCATTCTACTCCCTCCACAGCTCTTTACAGCTCTCAGGGACAATGTGGATTGAATGAATCTTGTCCTCTCAGGGACAAAGTGGATTAAGAGAATACTCTATAACCACAAACTCATTTCCCTGATGAAGCTCTTAGTGATAGTCTCCTCCCAACAGATGGCAGATGACAATAACTACAAGTCATGACGTGACCTTGTTGCATGAGCATTCTTGCATGCTCATCTTCCAGGTCTACAGCTAGCATGGAATTTCTTAACTGAGCAAATGGAAGTTTCCCCTGAGAAATCTGCTCTGCTTACTGAGATGCTAACAAACATCTACTGCAAGCTAGCTTTGTTTCTGTCCCTTTCTTAACCCACTTGGTCCACTCAGAACCCCACAAGCTGCACAAAGCTGGTACCGTCACTGATCCTGTGCCTTGAGGAGTACTGCACAGCAAAACCCTTCAGCTGAGCACGCAGAGGACCATCTTCCACTGCAGGGCTGTCCAACCACTGCAGCATCTGCATGAGGACTTTGAAGAAGAGGGAGGAGAAGGCAGTGTCTTGTGGCATGCAGCGCTGGGGAGAGCAGCAAAAGACACCTCCTTACACACACTTCAAGAATAAAACAAAGATAGCAGAAGGGGCAGACAGTAGCACATACTGCCATGAATACATAGAGTACACCAATTCTGTTGGATCATACCTCACTGAAATCAAGGCAGCAGCTTCTAATGTAGAAATGCAAGGCAGAAAACATCAGTCACAAATAAAATACCTCTCCAAGCATAATTAAGGGTAGCTTTGTGCCTTTTTCCATCATGAAACAAATGAGATATTTTACTGGTAACTCTTAGCCTGCCCTGGAGTTCTCTTTAAGGAATTACAGACTTCCTTCCATAAACTGTCTGCAGATGATCTGGCTTATAAGACGTGCGTGCTACACAACAGCACAGACTGGAGATTCCAAAACAGGGGACTCACAGCTGCAAACTCACAGTGCCACAGTTACTATATTGCTTCAGGTTCACCTAGCCCTGAAGGCCCAACTCTCAGCAGTGCTAGGCTAACATGGCCAATGTGCATTCAGCTGTCTTATGTTCAGACAACCTAAGTCCCGTTGTATTATGCTCCCAGGCTGTGTTTTTAGCATTTCACAGGTAGAAAATCTGCACACAACAGAGTAGATGCACAGCAGACTTAGTTTGCTTCCCAGCCTACTTTGTTCAATGCTACGAAGATTCTTGTCCAACACCACTCACCTGATACTGGTACAGCTGGCGCATCAGTGGGCAGGAGATGAAGTGGTTACGATGCATAGCCATCACCAGTGCACCACTGTGTGGTGAGTTCATCAGTGCAGCTACTGCCTGCAGAAGTTGTGCTGTGATCCCAGACACCTGTGTGTTTCCCTGGCGGATTTGAGCCAGCTCCTGCCCCAGGGCCTGCTGTAATGCCAGGGCAAGTGGGCGCAGGTTTGAATTCTGCCATCGTGGGTCTGGATTTAGTGGGAAAAGCTGGTAGGATGCAGAACAGAATATGTCTATGAAAGCAAATGAAAGGACTTTCCATACCATAAAGTACCCCGAGGCAGAGGATCAACCTACCTTGTATGATCATACTGACTGTGAACCAACTAGAACCTTTAATACAGCTTTTTCAATATTCTAGTGCTTGGTACAGGAACAGCATCTATGCAACACCAACCTGACTGTCAACACTGAACCATGGGGGAAATCACTGCACTACCCAAATGCAGGCGATCAACTTGTCCAATTAATTCCCTGAAGGTTTGTTTTGAAGTCAGAGAGAGGAAGGTTCTGCTAGCAGACATGCCAAAGCACAAAAGCTGTTTACATATAGCTTTGTTGCCAAGGCCCTGTGAGCATTTCACAAATCCTCCATGCACTGTTGAGACGAAAGGCACTATACACAGAACAAACAAGAAGCAGAGATGTAACATGCTAGTAGGCACTGACAGTATTAGGCATGATCAAAAGCCACATCACGTTCAGACTACATGAAAAAACAAGTCCATCCAACATCAACTCCGCCAGACTGTAACAGCACAGCCTTACTCTATGCAGGGCTTTCCTATTTCCTGCCTACAAACACTGCAGGAAGAATGGAGCAAATAAACAATACGGATTTTGCAAAAGTGCTGCAGGAAAGGATGTGATGGACAACCAGCTTGAGGCTATACCAGTACCTGCAGGAAGATGCCTGCTAGATCATCTTCTGGGCCCAGAACCCGAACCTGACTTAAGGCCCGGATTCGGCTCTGGCCTTGATTGCTCTCAGGGCTAGATTTTGACTTTGCAGTCTCAGCACTATCTGCAGTTAGAATAAAAGAAAAGAAAGAAGAATATTGTTATGATAAGAAGCATCTGGAGCCCCAGTACTGAGTCATCTTCAGCTTCACTGTCTCTAAGTACTGAGAAATCCAGTAGCTTTTCCCTCAAGGCAAAGCAATACCTACTTTTCTGTACTACTCAGAACAAATAACTATAGAAAAACTCCAATAATACTGGAATTCCTCCCTCAAGCAGCAGAGAAAAGACATTTGAAAGACAACTTGGATATTCTGAAGTTTAAGCTATCCTGGACAGTACCTCGGCGGGCTGGTAAGGAGGCTGTGAGCAGGGAGTGGAAAGTCTGGCCTCCTGTTGCTCCTCTTTCGTGCTGAACCTCCACAAGGTGAGCCATGTAGTCTGAAAAAAAGACAAGATATGAATACGTTACTTTTTCCTCTTTAGTAAAGCAGTGCAGAATTGGTTGCTGTTTGTGTAGCTACCACAGTGAAGACAAAATGCAGCAAAGTTCATTTGGACTTCGTAACCACAATGCAAATGAGCCCTATTTCTTTTACAGTTTAGCCTCCAGACTATTTATAGACTTCACACAATCCAGTTCAGAAAAACCCTTCTCTTCTATGGGAAATACAGTCAAGGACCATCTAGAAAGAACTAGGGAGGTCTCTACAGAGACAACGAGCCACCAAAGCAGCTGGCACAGAATCCAGTGAACTAGTTTGGATTTTACACAAGGAAGTCACAGGATGTACTCACAATGACTGTTTAAGACAAAGTAAAATGTCTAGTTAATCTCATACGAAGCTCTTACTCTTGTCCATAATGTTCTGCTCCAGTGTCTGTGGGTCATGAGATACTGCCTGATCCAGGTACTGCAGAAGTTTGCTCATGCTAGAAACTGGGATTCCAAAAGACTGAACAAAGAGAAGCAGCTGCTGCGGCTCCAGGTCCTGCAGGGCTGAAATAAAAAACCACCAAGTTCTCAGACCACCAAATTGCTTATAGATGGTCACCTTTATTACCCAGTTTTGTACTTTTGGCTGGACCAAGCAACACATTAATGACAGGACTGCAGAGAGCCTAAAGCCAGAAGTCTGACAGCTGCCTACATTGCTCTCTGCAAATCACTGCCTTCTTACTGCATCTTTCAGTTAATTCACTCACTGACTAATTTGATCTTCTGTTTAATTTGATCAAAACCTCAGGAACTCAATCATCCATATTAAAAAAAGCTTCCACCCTATCTGTTGATGGCTGCAGGCAGGAATTATTGAATAATTCAATCACTGACTATAGAGAGCTGTCATTTAATTAGTAAGAAAGGGACAAAGCTCTGAACACCAGAAAGAAAGACAGCACTGATAAGCTGTGCAAGGACAGAAGCAACGACAGATATAGCTTACATTCTTCAGCCACTGCTCTCCACATTGCAAGCACACCACATCCTATGGAAGCAAAGCTGTGCCTGTTGTCTGATGATTGCCTTCTTGAATTTGAGCTGAATTGTAACAATGTAGATAGTATCCAAATAACAGTTACCTATTTCCTTTAAAGTACACAGAAAACACAGAAGCTGTACAAGCTCTCCCCGCTTTAGAAGTAATAGTCACCACCCATAAAAGCCATCACTCAGCTGCATACAAGAGCAGCTCACTGCAAGGTCTGCCCTGATAAAAGCATCTGTGTAGCACAGTTGGACGCACAGAAAAACTGAGCAAAAAAGACTACTTTCCCTACAAGAGGGTCTGAAACACCAGCAAATATCCCACCAGCTCACCTGCATCCACGAGCCGCGGGACCTCAGAGCGGATCATGCGCAGCTTTAGCCAGTCAGGGAGCAGCAGGGCCTCCTCTGAGGTGTCAACCAGAAAAGCAGTAGGAAGGGGCTTTTTCTCCGGGAACCATATATCCAATAATGTGTAAAAATCACCATCCCCTGCTTAAGAGCAGACACAAAAATCTTTCTTATGAACATAAGGACCTAGCATATTCTATCCTTCTCTGTACAAATCAACCCACCAAAACATTTCCTTGTTCAAAGGCTAGAAACAACTTAGGCATAAACACTATCAAATAGAAATGTGACCTATGTATTTGAGTGCCCAGTTCTCATCCCACAATAATCCATGAGGTCTTTGTTTAGCAGGGAGGGACACACCATTTCAATATTTTCTGCTCTCTGCAGAAGGCAGCAAATAAGCCTGGAAATCCTTCATTCAGTGCAGCAATATCTATTACAATACCACAACTGTCAGCAAATGTTGCAAAGGACAACTCTGGGTAGAATTAGCACTGACCTAACCTGTTACACACATAGAGGCTCTCTGTACAGTCCACCATCCCTTGAACAAATCTGAATATAGTTACTAACCTTGGGGTGGCCCTAGTGTTAGGAGAATAACCATGGCATGCACCACTAGGATATGCATAGTGGCTGTTTCACCACTAGTCCAACGAAGGAATACCTGATCCTGTGACTCCGACTGAAAAAAAAAGGAGAAAAACAAACAGATGAGCTATGATGAGGAAACAACAGAAAATGAGTACTGTGAGAAGCAGGTGAAAGGAGACCATAAGAACGGACAAGTCTATTCAGACCAAAGTTCAATCTAGCTCCAGTATCTTCAACAGTGGCAAAAGAAGATAAAGAAGGAAAACAAAGTGATTTTTATGTACACACACACACACAAGCACTTGGTTTTGATACTATATCTACCTCCAACTATTCTCAGATCAGGAAATTTTTGAACCAGACACAGCTTCTACATTTTCAGCAGCCCACATGGGCATACTTTCTGTTAACTCAACATTCTTCTATCTGCCTAGGAAAGGTAGGGAGGAACTCACCCATCTGTACACCTCCTCGCCTTCTTTACTCTGGCGCATGCATTTGATGTAGCGAGAAAAGATGGAGAGAAGAGCAACAAGAACTGCATCTGACTCAGCACAGTATGAGAGCTTGGAGAAGAGGTGAGACATGATGGTAGAGCGCTCCACTATGAGCCGGGCTACATCCTGCAAGAGAAAAAACATCTGTGAGGTCTTTACAAAAGTAACACAGATAGGACCTCCTGCCTTACTATGCCACATCCTCCAGTTTCCATCACCAGCCCAGTTAACATGATTCTGGAGACCAACACATACAGTCAAGACAAGAATCATCAAATTAGGAAGACCAAGCGATTTGCACGCATCTTGTGAAAACTTAGTGTCCCAAGCTGTAGCACAGATACTTTCTAATGCATCCCATGAAAGGGAGCATTTACCAGTCTTTACATAGTAAGAACAGTGTTTCTCTAAACATTTAGCAACACCCACATATTTAAAAGGATCTACAAAAAGCAGAAAGAGCCTTTGAATCTCTAGATCCATGCAACTGAGTCTCCAGAAGACTGTTACAAAGGATGTTGATCAGTGGACTTACAAAGCAATGAAAAAAGCACCCAGAGTGAGAACAATTAATAACTATTGTATATCAGCCAACCATCCCAAAATCACCAGACTTGAACAAGAAAAAAAATGAGTCAGAAATTCAATTTCAGTTACAGAAGAGTGAATATCCCACCACTGAGGTTCCTGACTTTCCACTCTCTCTCCAGATACATGCAGGCTTAACACCTGCTTAGTTGAGACGTTGCCAGATGGTAATATTTCCTTCAAATCACTATCTGCTCTTACATTTCCCATACTATCTGAGATGGGCTGCTAAACTGGAGATTGTGACTCTGATTTTCTGTTTGAATATGAAACTGAACACACAAGTTGCCCTCAATCACATATCCAGAAACTACGCAGTTATCAATTTCACATGCTCCCAAAAACCCCATCCCACTGGTACAGCAAGCTACCACTGCCCTGGGCAACAAGTTCAACATATCAGGCCTTCCTGTGCAATCCCTCTGTCTTTGCAACCCTGTCTCTCACCAGAGCGAGGTCATTATGCTGTCCCTGCTCCTCCACGGGGGCGTGCTGGGAGAGGTACACCAGGTAAGCACTGATGGTCTGGGGATCTGTCTCCATATGGATGGCCTAGAATGACACAGTTCTCATTAGAGATCAGGAAGCCATGAAAATAAGCACCAGCAGAAAGTATGCTCTTTTGCAAGAATATAAAACTGACAATATCACAGCCACAGTTTGCTCAGATCTGTTTTAGCATGAGTAGGATAAAGAATCATTTGCCCAGGAGCTAGTCACTTATCCCTTCCAGGTAACACTTACCTGCTGCAAGGCAACAGCTGTTGTTGCTCTAACACTGTCAAATAGTGGCAGTCTTGGGAGGTCTCTCAGTAGCCACTGATAACCCTGCAGCAGTTCAGAATCACCAGAGTCTTCTTCCATGGGGTGATCTTTCTCTTCTCCATCCCGCAGTCCTCCTTCTGATAGCACCAAAGACAAGCCCTGCAGAAATCACATAAACACAGCCTGTGCGTATGAGGCCACAGCTGGACCCACCAGTTTCATACTAGTGAATAGAACAGAAACACGCTTCAGACATCAGGGAGTGATCCAACTGCCATGCACACAACCTACAACATATAACTTGTCTGCTTGACAGCTACCCTGCTTAAAGTTTCAGTCCTCTGTAAGCATAATATTCAACTCTGCAATTCTGCCTGCCTTGACTATGCTCTAGAGCACCAGGCATTTACTAATTTACATTCCCCATGGAAAACAGCTGCTGCCAATTACTCCTTGTACTTCACAATCTGCTGAGTCTACACCTGAACTTCACAGGAAACAGCAAAATCCAGCTTTATCTTAAAAAGGTACTACTTGGCTGTTGGACAGAGAAGATTCTGAGCAGCAGGAAGCAGAAGTGCATTTGATGGGGCCTGGAGACTGAGATGAGTTAGCAAAGAAGGATGATACAAAATACTGCTCTCAACCCTCAGCTTCTGATAAGCTCAAGTTGAAAAGATTTTTCTTTTGCTCACCTTCATGGCCAGGACCCGGGAAGCCACCTGGGAGGAACTCAGGCGTCGCAGGAAATAGTCAAGCACCTCACAGGTTGTCTGTTCATCTGCTTTGGGACCCAAAAGCAAGTCTTGCAACCGTCCAAGCAGCTGCCTTTGTTTCTGTTGTCTCTGTGGAGCGAGAAGTTGGTCTTTCCAGTGAAAAAAATCCAGGATACGCTGAAAGCAGGTAACAGAACTGAGCTCCAGAGACCACTCACCTGGCGTTTCTTGGCACGCTGCTCTTTACTCTCACCCTCCTCTTCTTCTTCACCTGAAGTTGACTCATCAGCAGCATCATGAAGCAAGAATTCACAAAGGCACTGCACAGGTAAGACATCCAAGGAGCCCTCACTGGACTGAACCAGATCTGCCAGCCATGGCATTGATTGCGATGAAGCCTATGAAGCAGGAGAATGACAATGCAGGATCAGCAGAACATTGATGCAGCACTAATCATTTCATTCCTGAGCAATAAACCACCTTCTCTCACACCATACTCAGCTCCCTCCTGTCCCTCACTCTGCTTAAGCTTTAGAGAGAAGAGATCAGATCCTAACTTTGCCAATCCATCAGTGGAGCTTACCTGTCTTTGAATGATGTTGAGAAGAAAGTCAGGATGACGACTCCGACACAGGAGGTGGCCCAAGCGAAGAGACTGGTTCAGGCTTTTCACCTGCTCCAGGACATGCGGTGGAGGCCTGCGTGGAGGGCCTCTGCCAAAGAAACAAGAAGTTAATCACAGACAAGGCACACTTTCATTGTGGTGATCAACCAGTTCAGCAGTGCATGAAGGCTACATACAATTTGCAACACATATCCTATGTGTCCTACCCCCACCAACCTCCTTATTAGCAGCAGGAGTTCCCGACCAGGATTAACTGGAATTTCCCAATACCAACAGACTAGAGTACAAGGGTACTCACTGAGGGTCCAGACTTGTCAGCTGGGATAGCAGGAGGCTGCTGCTCTCCGTTATGGTTTGTTTTGTGGATGCGGCAGCCAGATGACCCTCAAATGCAAGAATCTCCTGTTTTTCCCTCTGGGAGATTTGAAGCTCACGATTAATCATCTCTGTGCGTGTCTCCTCATCCGTCAAGGTACATTGAGGATAGGAATAATTACTGAGAAAACAAGCAAAAAAAAAACAGTTATCTTGCCCCATTTAAAATTTATGAAACAAGCAATGTCCCTGTGTTATTAGCTCTATTAAAGAAAACACACACACAAAAAAAGGCAGCTTCCCAACAGTGCCAGGGAGACTGAGAACCTTTCAGCAAATTTACATCACAGTCACCCCTTGCTGGTTATATTCTCCTGGGGGAAAACTCCTTTCCCACTCAAACAGCAGCACTACTGCCAGCTCCACTAAAAAGGAAGAAGCCAATAGACATGAGCTGAACTCATAAATACACAATTTATAGAGGGATCTAGACATACTAACTTCGTCATGACCATTTCCATGAGCATCTTCAGAGAGGGGTACTCCTCCCATGCAGCCAGACCTACAGCACAGAAGAAAAAGGTATTCAGGAAACCAGGAACAAGTCAGAGCTTTTACAGAGATTCTATCACAATCCAAGTCATGGAGAAGACAAGCTTACTTTGAACATCCCACCGCATTCAGGGCACAGACACTGACCCCAGACTCATTCCAGTCCAAACCCCCATACTTTTTATTTTTGCACACACATAAGGAGCATGCAGCACAGCACAACTTGCCAGTTTTTGTAGCAGAACTGGTACCCTGAAAGATGTTCACACTCACCAATGTTTTCAGGATTGAATGCAGCCACTACAAGAAGGAGAGGCCAGGCCTTCCAGTACAGGGTAGAAATAGCTAGATTTGGAGGCTGGTACCTACAAAAGCCATCAACAGACACAAGCAGCTTGGTTACTGGAAGCCACTACAAAACTGTTCTACTTAATCATACACTGTTTGGATTTAGTAACACCAGTTCAGTAGTTTTCAGAAAAAAAAAAACCTCTTGCAAGTGTGACAGCAGAGTTCAGCTGCAGATTTCTAAAGCAGAAAGACCAGAGTTCTTGCAAAGAAAAGTCCATTCCATGACTCGGAACTATCTCTGCCTAGGAGAAATTCTCATCAGAACACAACAGTGAAAAGATTTCTCTGGGATTTCATTACAAAAAATTTTAACTGGAAAAAGCATCCTGAAGTCTATGAACTAGGACTGCCAGTCATAAAGTGAAAATGAACTAGATCACACTGAGATTATCTATGTGATAAACCTTACCCTGGGGGTAACTGAATATTTTCTGGGTGGTGGTAAGTGCACAGATTTAAGACAGCATCAATCAGCTGGATTCTTTCTACCCTGAGGACCTCAACATCTGGGGAGAGGAAAAGACAAAGCAAGTTATTGACCAGTCTACCTTGCTGAAAGTCTTTCAAGAAAACCAACAAAGCAAAAAAAAATCATTTCAAGAAACTATGTCATTGTGGTCTTGTTCTCATATTACAGGATTAAAAAAACACAACTCAAAAAGCAGCAACACGTAAAACAAGCCATAAGGATACTGAGACATAAATGAGAAGACCACAGAACACATAGGCTAATTTCTTTAACTTCCAATGTTTTCACTTCTGAATGGCCTAAAAATTTCTGTTCATTTTATTGTCTGGATTAAGGACTGAATTGAATTTAGAAATGGTAGCTCAAATCTCTGGGTGGCAAATCACAGCCTCTCATCCTCAACAAAACCAGTACTTCCCAGACACCCCACTGACTGATGATTAATAATGGGCAGAAACCGTAGGAGAAAATAAGAACCTTGTCCACTGAGAAAGCAACAGCAATATACATCTGGCTCTGAGCCAAATGCTTTGCCATCAAGATTAAAACATGCTCTGAGTGATGCGAAGGCTCTTCGGAATATGGTAGGAGCTGCCTCAGCTCTGAGCGGTGCTAAGCAGACACAGACAGAAGGAACCACTTGCTGGCTGAAGCTCTGTACAATCTTACCATCTGCTTGCACAGCTGCAGCACGCTTCACCAAGTGGTCGGCAAGTTCCATGGCATCCGCAGGGCCAAGAGGAAGGTCCCGTGACAAACCAATCACAAGGATCCGCATCAGCGTGTCTTCAAGGATGGGCACCTCGGAGCACAGGCGAAGGAAGAAGCTGCATGAGACAAGAGACAATCAATCATGCTTCTCTTGACAGCAGCACGAGGATTGCTGAAATCCTCCACAGACCCTACAGCTCACCTGAGCAGAAAATAAAGCACGGTTTAGCTTCCAACCATTTTCCTAGTCACCAGGTCCAAATGCAACTATCTGAAACAAATTGCTTTCATTGCTTTGTACCTCTGCACTTCAGCCTGTGCGAGTCTGAGCTCCCTAACATTACACCAGTACAAGCCATACAGTACAGGGCTGTCCTTCTCACCATTACAGCATTAAGACACAGGACAGCTTGCCACAGGGAAAAAGAATCAAGGAAGAAGAACAGACAGAGACTGGAGCAACAGTCGCCAATTTTAGGCAGCATAACAGATGATGAAAAAGCAAGCACAGTTTCAAGTGTTTCCAACACATAAAGAAGCATCAGAAAACACCAGTTCCTTTGCCTCTAGTTACAGTAGCTCTGCCTCTGTACCCAGCTACAGATGGAGCATACACTCACTTGCGGTCGCTCTCAGGGGGCCAGTTGTCCCACTTGTAGTAGGTCTCCGGCTGTTCTGTGAAAAGCACCTTGTGGAGGCTGTCAGAATGAAGAGGACAGTAAATATAATCCATGTGAGTCTCAAGAACACAATCAACAGTTCATTTTCCACAATGAAAAAACATCAGATGGATAACAAGGGGTCCACAGTAATCATTTGTGATAAGATAACTTGGTTCCACAAAGAATTTCCAAAGGACACATGCAAGGGCCTTTACAACTTGCCATATGCTTTTGGAAAAGGGACTGGATATGCACAGTAGGTTCCCGAGTAACTCTCTTACCAGTGCACATAGTCCTTTGGAGCCAGCTTGCTGATAGATGGAACAACTGTATGAAGCCACCAGACAGCATCTCGTTGGATAGCAGCAATTTGGTTCTGGAAAGAGCGCAGCACTTCCAAGTCTGAAAGACATCCAGATTACAAAACTACACACATACAAGAATGCTATCCAGAACAAAGCAGGACATGGCAGACATTTTAAGACCAGGCAGTAACCAATGCTCTGAACATTAAGTAAACTGGAAAGAAGTCAGAGTCTTTAGCATCCCAACTCTGACAGCACACATGCTTCATCTTCTGATGCATACTGCAACAAAATCCCAGAACGTAGTACAGATGAATGAAGGCCATGAGAAGACATCTCAGCAGTCACTTCAGTGCTATCTCAAAAGCTCTGCCACCTCAGAAACATGTACTTGGTAATCCTTACTGCTGCTCCTCCAAACATGATCTTGTCCCACAACAGGCACCCATCTATTCAGCCAACATGCAAATGCCACATCTACATACAATTCTGTTGGCCGTGGGATAACAGCATGCAGCCCCATACCTCTATTCAGAACAATGGCATACACTTCTTTCTAATTCTAGCTGTAATACTCACTCAGCACTGCCTGGAGATATCTAACAAAATACCCATCTTCAGAAGGAATCTAGGTTTTTATACTTACTCTTTTTCTCTCCTTTGTCCCAGGCAATTCCAGCCTCTTTCACCTGGGCTGTGATACCAAGCATCATGGAGACAGCTAGAAGATCTGTTATGTGAATGACAAACCGCTCCTGAAAACAAAAGCGAACCAAATTACAGCCATCTTCTGAAGTGTTTCATCATAAAAAGATGAAGTCATGACTGTCTGGAAATGGAATATGGAAGATCTGCTATGAATTGCAAGAGACAATACTGAGTCACCCAAATAATAAGGGAAAAAGAAATATCTGTCAGGAAAAACAAACAAATAAACCAAACAGATACAGAAAAGCCCAGCACACCCCTGGTACCATCCAGCAATACACGGAGCAAACAAAGGGCTACCTTGAATTCCATTTCTGCATATTGGGCCTCCTTTCGTTCCTGCATAAGACCCAGGCAGAAGGCCTGGAAGTTGATTTCATGTTTTGTTTGTTTGATGATCTCTCGCAGCAGTGCCCGTGAAGCCCGCAGGTAGTCATCCTTAGTAGTCAAAAGATCCTGGAACACCATTGCTAGATACTGAGGGAAAATAAAACTTTCAGTGCACTGTAATTATCAGCACTTACAAAACAAAAAGCATGTTGTTTGTCATTCAGACACCAGTGAGCTATAATATGCGTCTCCAATGAAATTTCATTACCATAAGTTTGGTCACTCTGAATGTATGAGCATCTTCAGGCTCCCATACATTTATTCATAACAAGTTAAACAAGGTGATTTCAAAACAGTATGATACGTTCTGCACAGCTGTCTGTGGGAAGATTTCATTTGAGCCACAGTTCAGCTAAAACTCTCAGGCAGGGATCTGGGCCCACCAGTAGTCACACAAGACACTACACCTACCTTTGGTGCTTGCTCTGAGCTGTGCTGAAGAACAGTATACAGGATCTGCATGTTATTGGGATTTCTTGCATTTGAAAGTTCATTGAAAATCACAAACTTAATCGTAGTTCCCAGGTTATCCCTATGTGCATTCAGCAGCTCTCTGCAAGGGAAGAGCAAAGGTTTGTAAGCTGAGACTTCAGTTAGATTCATGTTCTGATTTTTCTTGAAGTGTTTAATACACACAAAAATAAAGGAGATGCAGCAGCAGGTATGTTCAGAGATGCTAAAGGATTACTGAAGGGTTTCCATACTAATGAAATTAATATGAATGTGACACAATCTCCCATGGCCAAAGCCAATATTTAATAAATCTATCCAGAGGCAAGGCCCTGGACATATCTTCCAGATGGAGTCACTCACTCACCTGACACATAGCATGTAGTGGTTGAGAAGGACCTTTGGCTTGAGACGAATTTTGATCAGGTTGGAGATAACTTCCATGTCCTCTGAGCTGTGAGTGTTGCAGTTCATACAAACAGACATCAGCAAGTCCTGTGCTGGCTTGGTCAACTGCAGAGGAAGAACAGGAAAACTACAGCCACTGGCCAACACAGAACAGAAATGTAACTCGCCTTACTGGCTGAATTTCAGACCAGGTCCAAAAAATTCGAGGTCCAGAAGTCTCCATCCTTACCTTTGGATTCTGCAGCCACATCTCCAGCCTTTGCACAGCCATCTGTCGCACCTCTTTGTAGCCACAAGTTGCTGTCAGCAGACGAAGGAGGTTTCTGGACACGTTATCCATGGGCTGGCGCCGGTTGAGTTGGTCCCGCAGCATGTCCAGAACATATTCCTCCACACTCTCTGCAAGGTCATCATACCTGGGCCATACAAACTGCATTTTATTCACTTTCTCCCAAGCCAGCTCTGTCACGCTTCACTGTGTCCAGAGATCAGCATTCTTTCTTGTTTATGATAAAGACTACAAAAACAAATCTACTCATTTCTTCTGATGTTCAACATTCTCTAGCAAACGTCATGGGACAGCTCATGCAGAGAAAGAGCTCTCTGCCACAGTACTTCAGGAGTGGGTGAGCACAGACAGATCTGTCACATGGCTGCACCAGGAAAGGAAAGCGTTTTACCTGGGCATGAGCTGGCCCTCCTGTTCTGGGCTCATTTTCTCTTCTGCAATCAGCAGCTCACTCTGGCTGTCTTCCTCCTCTGTCATGGAAGGGTGCGGGCTACTTCCTATGAGAGATCAGCACAAAGCACACATCATGAGACAACTCTCTCCACCACTTATTACTCACACATCACATACAAGCGCATTATTCGAGTCTTTCACTGCTTGCCATCAAAATGAAGGGCAGCAAAGGGAAAAGAGATGCCAGAAACTCAGTATCTGCTCTAGAGGACTCCATCAAGTAACGCACTGTTCACATCTGTTTGTAAGCCCTTGCTACTATTTTTTAAACATCCACTTACCAGCACTAATGTCCCCACCACTACGACCAACTTCCCCATGCAAGAGCATGCTCTTAGGAGGCATCTTTGTGTTAAAAGCTGTTTGGATGTTATCCACAAATGTCTTGCAGTGAGGGCTGTCCACCCAGATGCGCTCTCCAAGGGAGTCCTCAATGTAAACCTACAGGAAAGAAAGCAGCAGAGGACACAAACCACAGTCAGACTTTTTCATACAGCTTACCCACCACTGCCTCAGCCCAAAAAAACCACCCTTTGTTCAACAACCTTGACAAAGATCTCTGGCCAGTTCTCATCCTCTTCGTAAGCTGCCATGAGAAGGTTGCAGGCCAAGACAGACACAAGGCTATTCCCTTTAGCTTTGAAATTAATAGAGGCATCTCTTCGGAGCAGGCTACACAATGCCTGGAAAATTATATTAAAAAAAAGAACAAACAAAATTTAAATTACGTACCCAAAAATCATATAGAAAAGCTTTAGAAAAAAAGCTACAAATCTCAGTAACTTGCCACAGAACTGTAGTAGTTACAAAGATATGCTAACTACTTTCCAGCCAGACAGCAGCTACAATTATACTTGCGATGTGGCAGGAACCCCAGAATATACTTCAGAAACATACAGTAAGATGCTTCAGGAAGTCCAGGAGTCCCCATGTGACACAGCTCTCACCTCGATAACTCCTTCAGTGGCAAATATATTTGGTTTGATTTTTGCCAGGTACATGAGGCTCAGGTACAGCGTGGTATCAGGTTTGGCTCGGTTCATTTTCAGCTGCTTGGCTGCTCCACACAGCACCCCCTCAATGCGGTCATCGTTACCTTCCGCCTCTGCTGCCTCAATTTCATCCAGCAGCACCGTGGGGACAACTGCAACAACCAACACACAGGCACCAGTTTTTACCCTCATGCAAAACAACCTGCCTTGACATGCTGCCAGGATCAGCCCCCAGGAAAGCAAAACATCAAATACTGTGCTCAGTTTTGGGCCATCCCTTCCCTCCCTTTGCAGGTGGGATGTGACAGGACTCCTAATACAAGAGGCCCTGGAGCATGTATGAAAAAGGGCAAGGAAGCTGTGAAGGGTCTGAAACACAAGTCTTGAAGGGAGAGGCCGAGGGAACTGGAATTGTTCACTCTGAAGAAGGCTCTCTATAATCACAGAATGGCCAGGGTTGGAAAGGACCTCAAGGATCATGAATCTCCAACCCTCCTGCCACAGGCAGGGTCACCAACCTCCCCATTTAATACCAGACCAGGCTGCCCAGAGCCCCATCCAACCTGGCCTTGAACACCTGCAGCTGTTCCAGCACCTCACCACTCTCTCTGTAAAGAACTTGAAACAGTGACTTTGGCCCCCTATCCAGGAGGGGAAAGCCTTAAGGACAGCACAGAAAGGCACCACACGGGCTAAGAGAAAGGCTTCCGGCAAACTGAACCCCAAGACAAGGCTGTGCCCCGCTGTGACGGCACACAGCAGCCCTTACCTTCGATGGGGATGACGGACGGCTCCTTGATGGAGGGCGAGATGGCCCGCTTCTCCGCCACGGCCGCCTCGGCCAGGCGTCCCAGGGCGCTGAGGGGCGGCGTGGCAGACAGCTTGGGCCGCTTGCTCAGCCCGCCCAGCCCCGCGGGGCCCGACAGCGCGGCGGCCGCGTCCCGTTTGCGCTCCGAGGGCAGCCCGGCGGGCGCCGGCTTCAGCAGGGTGACGGCGGCCTTGCCATCGCCGCCCTGCCCCTTGGAGCCCAGCGCGATGAAGTCTCCCGGCGGCGGGTGAGCTGCAACGGACGACAACCGTGATGGGGACCGCGACGGCAAGCGGGACGGCCCCCGCCCCGGCCTCTCGGGCGCGGCCTCAGACTCACCGGAGGGCTTGGGAGCGGCGCTGGGCCGCCGCACGGCCGCCGCCTTCGGTCGGTTCATGGTGCCGCACGGCGCGGACCCCGACACCGGCACACCGCCCCCGCGGCCCGGAAGCGGAAGTTCCCCCCCCCGGCCCTGCCCTAAAGGCGGAAGTGAAGCGTGCGCTCCCGCCGCCGAGGCGGTATCAGCGAGCGGCCCCTCCCGCCCCGCCCTGGGTGAGCAGAGACCGCGCCCCCTGGCGGTGGGAGGTCGCGGAGCGGGGGAGGTTGGGGGACGGTGAGAGGCGCCTCCCTGCGGGCTGGAGTGGAACTGCAGTTCTGAGGTCATGGGGGATCGGGGACGGGGGTGGGAATTGGATCGTTTGGGGAACAGGGGGACGCGGTGGAGAATAAAGGGGAATTGTGGGACATAAGGGTGAATTGGGGAACACAAGGGATCGGGGAGCATGGGGGAGAATTGTGGGATGTGTGAGGACAGAAGGACAACCAGACACCAAGCTCTCCGCGTGCCTTTATTGCAGATGGGGCTGTGGGCGCACACCCCTGACCGCACAGTGATGACACAGCACGGAGCCCCATCCCATCCCCACATCCCCTGCCCCCATCTGCAGCAGAGGGTGATGACAGATGACAGTCCCTGGCGCTGTGCTACCATCCTGGTCCAAGGGCCAGAGCAGGGATGTGCACAGTAGGTCATGGCAAGGCAGGGCAGCCCCGTGCCCCCCCAGCTCACAGCCACTGCAGGGAGAAGCCCTGGCTGAGCCTGATGCCGAGGCCGCTGACGGTGAGGACCTGCAGGACATGAGGGGACAGCATGGCTGAGCTCCTTATACAATGACCTCAACCCTCCACACAGCACAAGAGCACCATCCTTACCCTCCTGCCCCCCACCAATGAGGGCTGGGAGAGGAGGCATGGGCACCCCCAGGGCAGAGCACGCCAACACAAAGCCATACCTGGTTGTCCAGGTAGGAGAAGGGCTTCTCCTGCCCATCTAGGAGGACCTTGCTGGGCGGCTCCTGCACTCCATAGAAGCTCACTGCATCAATGGTGACATAGGTGGCCTCGGTGCTGGCATGGAGGACGTTGGAGGTGAAGATGTTCTGCAGAAGGGGATGGTGTGAGCATGAGGTGTCCTGGATGCCCCTCTGCCTTCCCCACCATGTCCCACCTCTGTGGCATTGAACACCAGGTAGGAGTAGTTGCCCCTCTCGAAGGTGTCCAGGCTCTCGCCGTCATCCCAGAAGAGGTCCCCCCAGGCAGTGGTATGTGGGGACAGGGCCACAATGAGACGCAGCGGGTTCCCTCTGGTGGCCTTGCTGGTGGTCGCAGGTTTCTGGATTTCAAAGGAAGCTTTGAGGCTGTGTGCCCAGTATGGGGCAGGGAAGGTTATGACATGCTGAGGACCGAGGAGGGACACATCGTGGAGCAGGAGACTCCTCTGAGACCGTCCCCAGCCCAGGGAGGTGGCAGTAGGGAGCTCACCTGTGTGGGCAGGATGGAACCCTCCCGGAGATGGAGGTTGAGGTGGTCCAGAGGGGCTGACAGCTTCAACATCTCCCCACTGCTGTTCACAGAGGAGCCCTGGAAGGGGGCAAAGGACAAAGGGGGGTCAGGGACACAGTGATGGGCTCAGGCGTGGGACCAGGAAACAGCTCCTCAGTTAGCAAGCCCCACAGCTGGTGATGCTCCAACACTTCGGCATCCCCTGAGAGCCTCGTCCAAATCATCCAAAACCTGAATGTGAGTGCCATAGTGCTCCTCACCGTGTAGAAGTCGTACCACACGCCTTGGGGGAAATAGCCCAGCACCGAGTCTGCTCCTGGCTCCAGCACTGGAGTCACCAGCAAGCTCTGGCCCCACAGGAACTGCCTGTCCAACCCATATGTGGTCACATCCCAGGGGAACCTGCAGTGGGATGGAGACAAAGCTGCCATCAGCTTCTCCTTCACCACCCAACCACAGCCAGCATCTCACCAGCTCCCATCAGGGTGCTCTTACTCAAAGAACAAAGGTCGGGCGACGGTTTCCCCTTGCAGGTGGGCACGGTGGAAAAGCGTGTAGAGGAAGGGCAGGAGGGAGTAGCGGGTGAGCAGTACATCCTTCATGGCTGTCCTCGCCAAGGGGCTGAAAGCCGTGGGGTCCTGGGCCTGGAGGATACACAAATGAGAGTCAGCAAATGCCCCATCCTCACCCAAATCTCCATCTCTATGGAGCAAATCTGCCTGCATCCCCCTGCATTCTACCTTCTACATCCCACATCTCACACTCTAAATCCAGCATCCTGTATCCAACATCCCAAATCCCACATCTGGCATCCCATATCCCCCATCCTGCCCAAGACCTTCTCGTTCTGGGTGTTGTGGTTGCGGGAGAAGGGGTAGAAGGCCCCGAGCTGCATCCAGCGGGTGCACAGCTCCTCCGAGGTGCTGCCGGAGAAGCCGCAGATGTCAGCCCCCACCAGGGGGATCCCAAACAGGCTGAAGCTCAGCATCCCTGCAGACAGGTGGGCGGAGATGCTCAGCAGAGTATGGGGAGTTTTGCGGTCTCCACCACCTCTCAAATGTAGGATGAAAGAAAATCCCAGCAGGGCTGAGGTGCTCTCTGGGGAAGGACGGGGCTGTGAGACCATACCACCCACCTGGGATGGAGTAATACATGTCCTTCCATTGGCTCCGGTTGTCACCCAGCCAGTGTCCCGAGTACCGGCCCTGGCTGGGGAAGGTGGAGCGGGAGATGACAAAGGGACGCTTTCCTCGGATCTGGATCAAGGCACTGCAAGGCAATGGGGAGACCCAGGAGCAGGAGGTGAGAGCTGCCCTGAGGAGCCTCCTTATCCCTTAAATGTCTACAGACAGCTCTGGGAGTATGAGTAGCATAGTCCCTGGGCTTGGAACAGGACCAGCTTTATCCTCCCTCCTCTCCTCATTCCTCTGGGCAAGGCTGTGAGCAGCCACAGCATCTCCCTTTGGCTCAGGCACTCAAACCCCACTTCTTTTCCTACACTGACGTGCCTGAGCAGCACGGTTTCACCCATCCTATCCCCAGGGTGCTCAGGTACCTCGCCGTCGCTTCGGCTTCCTTCAGCCCGTAGAGGTTGTGCAGGTTGTAGTGCACCGAGGCGTTCTGCTTCGCTGAGGCACACACCGTCTTGGCGGACAGGGAATTGCCCAGCACAGCTGCCGGGAGGGACAGCCACCATTGGCATTCGGTGGAGAGGGTGAGGGGCACAAAGCCACCCATGCTGCAAATTGAGCTCCCACAGCAACTCCCACCCCGTGCCCCAGTACAGCCACAAGCGTGCAATGCTCGGGTATGGAGATTGGCGCATGAAAGCGGGGATGGACAGACACGTTCAGGGTACGGAACAAAGATGTGATGTTTTGGAAGAATGGTTTTCCTCCACAGCACTCAGTTTTCAGCATCATGAGAGCACGTGGTACCTACCAGCGCAGCCTGCATCTCACCGCCCTCCTTACCCGGCGTGTACGGGGGGCTGTCGAGCTCTCCGGGTGGGCAGCCCTCTTCAGACCCATCCATGAAGTTGGATGGCTCATTCATGTCCTACGAAAACCACAGAGCAGTGTGAAGGGGGAGCTGTTAGGGATTAGTGATGTCTAAAGGCGGCACAAGAGGGGTGTGCTGGAACCCACAGGCTTCCTCCCACACCACCAGAACCATTGAGCCCCTTTGCCCAGCACACACAGATGGTTACATATGCAGAGTGGTGTCCTGCCAAAACGCAATGAAACCAGAAAAGCAGCACTCGGGCAATGGCTGTTGCTCCCAGGAGCAGAGAGATGGCACCAGCCAACAGGGAGCACTTACAATCCAGAGGCCATCGAAGGGCACATGGGTGTGGAAGCGCTGCAGGTTCTCCAGCCACCACTGGTGTGTGTCTGTGTTGGAGAAGTCGGGGAAGGCAGTGTAGCCAGGCCAGACCTGCAGGGAAGCCACAGAGCAGTGGTTCAGCAGGGCAGAACGCTAAGAGGAAGGGATACCTTGAGGCTGTGAGCATGCTGAAGGACCCAGGGCTAAAACAGGCAATAAAACCAATGGTAAAATCCAGGCTGACTGTTCAAGGGCTGGATGCTGTGTGTGCAGCATCCCCCCCAAGCATCTCAGGGTGAGTTGGAGAGCAGTCTGTCTGCATGTGCCAGTGATGGGGAAGAGCTGTGATTTCTCTGTGTTTCACCTCACTCCAGGGATTATAGTGTTGGAATTACAGAGTTGGGTCACTTTTCTCCTTTGTTTTAGACTGTTAAAAGTTTCAGTAGGAGAGAGAGAGCCAGGAGGAGCAAGTGGCTGTGAATGGGTAACAAACTGGCTGTGGGTCTGGAGTAGATTGCAGGCACTTGAGCATCACAGGCAACCTCTTCCCACCTCAAAAACAGGAAGGGAGAGGATCAGATGATCGGCCTCAGGCAGAACCACCAACCCCACTGCACTCATATGACTGCCCGGGTGCCTCTGCCGGGACAGGAGCTGGCTCTGGAGGCGGGTGGAGATGCCACAAGGTGAAATGTGGAAAACTGAGAGCAGGACCGGACCCTGGCAATCAGCCACCTGCCTTCTCCTCCAGCAGGAGTGAAGAAATCTCAGCCTGACTCCTGCAAAGCCCCCAGGATTTCCCCCAGTTCCTCACCTGCCCAATCAGTGGCTGCCCCTGGGTGGTGTTTAGGAACAAACCGCGTCTCAAGCCTTCATCGAAAGGCCAGTAGGAGCCACGTGGGCTGGTGCTGCTGATGCCAGGGTCCTGGGGATGGAGCAGAGTCAGTATCTCTCGGCCCCTTCCCCTACAATGCCAGTGTGATTCAGAGAGCACAGTCAAGGCAGGGTCAGTCAAAGCCCAGACATGGCGACTGTTTCAACCAAGAGGAACAGAAACTTGCTTCAACACTTCCAGGCTCATTTTCTAAAATGTCACTTCTGCAAGTCCCGAGGACCCGTTATGGGGTTTTGGGGTGGGGGGGGATAAATATAAGAAATCATGAACTTACGCAAGAAGCATCAGGTCACAGCTTGGGCTACTAAGGGGACTTCAATCTGTCTGGGGCAACCCAACATCCCCTCCCAGGGTCCGTTTGCACCCCAGGAGCCCCAGCCCTTGCTGCCCACAATGAGCAGAACCACATCCCATTTCCTGGCAGTGGGACATCACCGCGGGGTCACAAGAGCTCAGCACTGGTGGGGAAGTGGGGATTCCTGTGTCGAGCACCCACGAGTTGAACCCAGACTTGGTCACAGTCCCTCTGCGCATGAGGACGAGGAGCCCACCTCCCTGTGCTCCCGCAGCAGATGGGAGCATAGTGCAATAACCTGGCCCATATCTCAGCACTCCCTGCCCTTACAGGGGATTTCCAATGGCAGATTGCACGCTGACAAAAATCCCCAGTCCTGGAGCTGGCTAAGACCATCCAGGCAACGGAGGGGGCCATGAGCTGCCCCCAGTCCCTTGTCCCCAGTGTCCTTGCAGCCACCAAGCCCAGCTCTGGGGAGTGACAGCCCTGAGCATGAGTGAGGCAAGTACCAAGATCATCACGTAGTGTTGCCCGTGCTTGTGGAGATCTTCCACCAGTGAGGGGAGAGAGGCAAATTTCTGGGGATCGAAGGTGAAGTCCCGGTATCCATCCATGTAATCAATGTCGTTCCATTGCGCATCCTGTGGGGAATGGGCTCAGAGCAGGCAGCAACACACAGCCCCCATCCCTCCTTCCTTCCTTGGGGTACCTGTGGGATCTGGAAGTTCCTCATGGCCCTTGCAGTCTGCCAGGTCTCATTGCTGGAGCCGTAGCCCCAGCGGCAGAGGTGGAAGCCGAGTGCCCAGAGTGGCGGCATGGCTGGGAAACCTGCAGTGTGTGTCCAAAAGCAACGTCAGCATGGCAAAGGGATGGGAGAGGAAGGGGGTGGAAGAGGAAAAGAAAAGGGGAGATGGAGTATGGGGTGACCAGATGGTGTTCTTGAAAGGATGGGGATGGGGTGATGCAGGCACAGAGACAAAGGGAAGAGCTCTTAATGGTGTGTGTGCTTACCTATCACCTCCTGGTACTGCTGGATGACCATGTTGGGGTCAGGCCCCAGGAAGATGTAGAAGTCCAGCACACCTCCAATGGTCCTCCAAGTCAGGCCCGGGGCAGGCTGCAGGGCCACCTCTTCGCACAGTGGGGAAAAAAGCACAATGAGACCTGGGGAGCATCCCAGCATGGGGCCAGGCAGCACCACCATGATGCAGGAAAGGAGAAATCCCTGTGGGTGCCCAGGGCTTACACCATCACAGGCTGGGCAGATCACTGGTTCATACATGGAGAAAGCTCTCTATGAAGACACTCTTCAAGTTGAAAGCTGTACCCTCTGTTGGCCCCCACTTAAAAACCAAACGCATGCCTTCCTCCAGTGCACACGAGTCAGGATGATCTCGGGTTTTTCACATGGCTGAGCCCTCAAACCTCAGCTGTGTGATGCGTTTCCCTGTGCTCTGCCCCACGCTCACACTGGGAAGCAGAACTGCATTGAAGCTGAGCACAGCTGGAGCCCTGCTCTGAGCAGCATGGTCCCAGATGGCTACTGGGGGGGGAGGGGGGGGGAACGGGTGACTGCCAGTGCCATCCTGGCAAAGCAGGACCCTGTGGGGCTACCAGCAGGAGGGTGCTGCAGGGCACAGGTGGCACAGCTGGGGACAGCTGGGGACAGCACGGGCAGCATCCCTGTCTGGGCAGAAATCGCACACCCTGACAGCCTCAGGGCAAGGCTGCTTTGGGCAGATGGGAAATGGGCTCAGAGCTGCATGTGAAGGACTCGCTTTTCTGACAGCAATTCAGCAGCTGGGCGTGTGGTTAAACTGCTCGGCAGTTGCTAAAGAGCCTCGCTTCAGCCAGGAAACAGATGGCTCAGCTCAATAACGGAGCCATCGGACCACATCTTTTCCCTTTTATGGCTTCCTCTTGCCCCAAGATCCCGAATCAACGCCACACACCTACCCATGGCATTGCTGTTGAGGAGGAAAACCCCGTGGGCATCGCCGCCCTCCTCCATCAGCAGGTAGAAGGGGTGAGCACCGTACAGGTTGAAGGATTCCTGCAAGCAGGGATTGCCTGGTGAGAGAGCAGCTCCCGGGCAGAGCAGCTCAGCTCAGAGCCATGAGACTTGGGCTAACCAATGTTCCCAAGTCACATCAGCTGCCACCACCCAGCCAAGCATTTGTCACCCCATGCAGGGCATGGCAGGGAGGTGAGGACAGTTTTGGAGCTGGCAGCCACAGGAGAGCTGCTTCTCCCTTGGACACCGCTGAGCTGTGCCCAGGGCAGCCACACCACAACCTGCTGCACGGACCAGAAAAGCGCTCAGGGCCATCAGGACGCATATTTTGCAATTGCACTGAAATCCTCCCCGTGACCACTCCCTGCCCCAGGGGTACCGTGGGGGCCACATCACGGGCCCAGAGGGTGAGGGTGTTCCAGTCGAGGCTGTGCAGCAGCGTGCTGCGGTGCTCCCCCAACCCATACAGGAACCTGGAGGGCAGCGTGGTGGAGATCTGCAGGAACTGATCGGCGAAGATCAGGGGAGCCACGGTGGTGTTGAGCCTGCGGGGTGACACAGTGAGAGAGAAGGTCACCAGGGGATGGTAATCCCCTCACAGTGACATGCCCTTCCCTCTAGAAGCATCTTGATGGCAGCAAAGCAGTGCATCCCATCCCATTTCCAGTCCTGTTAGGGCAGACTGGGGTCTGGGCACATCCTGACCCCAACCAGCCCAACCCGGCACAGCCATTCATTTGACACCAGCAGTTTCCACTCCAGTTATAATTAACCACTGAGGCGATGCAGCCGGGGAGTTCTCTGCCTGCCCTTGCTGATAAGCAGCTCCTCAGGAAAAGACAGACCACAGGGCCCAAAATGGGAGGGAGGAGGAGAGGATCTGGGGGAGAGCTGGGACACCCTGCCCTATGCTGAGCACTGCAGCTCCCTGTGACTCAGCACGGGCAAAGCCACGGGGAAGACCAGAAGCACCATAGTGAATCCACTGATGTTTCTTTCCCCAAAAACCTGAACCTGGCACTTGCTGGGGAGTTCCCACACCATAGACACAGCTCTCTGGAGAACCCCAAAAGCAAGGCCAAGCAGGCAGAGCTGCGGCCCTTTGCTGGTCCTTTCCCCAGGCCACTGGGTCCATCCCTGGGGATGGACACACTTGGGACCCGCATCCCAGGGCTGTGCCTCACTCAAGACACAGTTTGGAGCTGCTCCATGACACCAGTGGGGATTTGGGGTACTGCACTGGTTTGGGAATATGACCCCACCCAGTCCTGCATGGCCAGAAAGCCACGTGCTGCTGCGTCCCCGTGTGAGCACCAGAGTTTGCAGCAAAGATGAAAGCAATGATAACTAATGGATTGAGATGGATAGGTGTGTTTTTCCCTAAGGAAAGCCCTCAGAGAGACATGCTGAATCCCACTGAGGGAAGGACAGATAGAGAAGGTGGGCTCTTACAGCACTGTCCCTGTCCCTTGGCGCCGCAGCAGCACCCCAAAGGGGTCCTGGGAGAATTCCAGGCTGTAGATGGGGTTTTCTGCTCTCTTCATCGCTCGGGGAACTTCCAGGGGCACCTCATACCGGGGCTTGGCTGCATCAGTTATCTGCAAAGGGGAGAAAGGACACTATGAATACCAGCAAAACAGGAGGACAAAGGGCTGGAGAAGCTCACTGAAGACACACGGATTCACGCCAGAAGCAAAGCAGCTGCCAGCCTCTCTCTAAGCAAGGGATGTCACCTACAGACGTGGGACAGAGTGCAGAGCTCTGGAAGAGAGCTGGAGGCAAGCTCACCTTGATGCGTAGCCGTGTGTTTGTCTGGAACTCCACATCCATCCTCAGCACCTGGATGTCCTTAGGGTAATAGGCCTTCTCCCTGCGCACCAGCAGCCCCGTCATGCCCAGCGTCGTCTGGTTGAGGCTCTGCACCACATAGCTGGGGAAGTTGGGTGGGTAGAAGCACCAGGGCACCCCCCGCTTGCCCCCCACTGCAGGGAGGGTCTCGATGAAGCAGCACCCCCGGCTCTCGCACAGCTCCTGGGTCACCACCACGCTCCTCTCGGGGTAGCAGTCATAGCGGTGGCTCTCAGGGACCAGATGGCATTGGAAAGGTGGTGCAGGGCCATGCCAGCCCCTGGACACTTGTCGCAGCACCCAGACGGTGATGGTGCTCAGCAGCACAGCGGTGATCAGCAGCCCGCTGCCCACCCACCATGGGGCCAGCTTGCTGCGGCCAGCAGGTGTTGGGGTGGTCGCATTCTCCTCCTCCTCCTCCTCCTCCTGGCTCAATACCAGCTGTGGCACCGCTGCCCTCAGCTTCTGGTACGACCTCATTGTCCTGGGGCTGGAGCGAGGCGAGAGAGATGAAGAGTGCATGGTTATGGGAAGTGGCCAGGGGAAGTTCATGCAAGGCTTCCCTGTGCCTGATGCAGAGCTTTCTGCATTGGTTGAGATGTGCTCTGCAAACTTACGGCACTGAGGATGGCTTTGCCTGGAGCTGCCCATGCCCAACCCCACTACAGTATAGAGGCAGCCATGAGGCTCTGCTGCAGCCCCAAGGACCACCAGACCGAACTCCACATGCTCTGGGTCTGGGGTGGTGGCAGTGTTCCTGCAAAGAGTTTTGCCCAGGTCTGAATTGTATGGGCTGTAACATTTCCAGTAGATGACAAGCAAAAGCGAGCCCCTACCCACCCACTGGGGCAGTCACAATGCTGGGAGCCGTGAGGTGCGGAGCATCCTCTGCTCTGAGCATCCTCTGCTCGTGCCCAAAGCCCTGAGTCAGACCTTTCAGCCTAGGGAGAGCTGGACAGCAGGGACTATGCCGTCAGTGTTTGCCTCCCACTGGTAACATGATTTTAGAAACTTCTCAGGCAAACGTCTTCCAGACTGCAAGCGAAGCAGAGCCCCCGCTCCTGCTGCCTGCAGGGCGCAATCTCAGAGCTATAAACAAGGACGCAACTTTCTCCTCCCCACCTCCAGCCAAAGCACCCAGACCTCACTCCCCTAATCTGCACAAGCTCAGCGCGGTGCCTCTCGCTGCAGAACGGATTTTATCCCCATCGCCCCCCCCCCGGCCCTGCACCAAAATGGCTCACCCCGCTCAGCACCCATCCCGTGCCATGGGGCTGCTGGTGGGGATGGGACGCAGCGGATACCCTCACACCCTTCATGCAGACCCGACCAACTCGGCACATCGATCCCAACCTCCTCGACATGCCACCTGCCCGGCCACGCATGCTCGTGCCAGGCCACCCCGACGCAGCAATGGCCTTTCGGGCAGAGGGCGCAGAGCCAGCCCTGCCAAAAAGTGCAAGGACGGATGCGGAGCCCCAGCCCAGCACGGGGGGCACAACCCAGGCCATGCCAGGCGCTTACATACACGTGTCTCCTCTTGATACTGTGGCTGCGGGCGGCAGTGCGGGCAGCACGGGCTCGGGTCTCCCAGCACCGCAGCCCTGCCTGCTCCGCCGTAAAACTCCGAGCAATCGCCCAGCGCCTACCGCTCCTCTCTAATAGCAGCGCCTGCTATCGCGCCTCTCAGCTGACTTCTCAGCCGCGCTCTCGTCTGGTTTGCTTCGCTGTGCATTTTTATTGCGTCTGTATATATCGATAGATCCACGCTCAATGCTGCTCCAAAGCCCCGTGGTGGAGAATACGGGAGATGAATGATTCGTTTTCAATTTTCCTATGTATACATTGGGTCTCAAGACTCTGCACATTCACATTTCCACTCTCCCCTCTTCAGGATCAGAGTGCTTCAGCCCAAGCTGAGGGTGGAAGAGATGCCTGTGCTGAGCACTCCATGGTGCCTGACCTGTTCTGAGCACACAGCAGGAGGGTTGCCCCACAGCTCCCCACACCCCCAAAGCAAGGCCCCTTTTGTCCCCTTATTTTTCACCAAGTGCACTTTCTGCCATGTGCTCAGACTCCCCTGGTTAAGGAGTGTGTGTGTGTGTGCATGCTCCCAGCCAGGTTTGCACTCTCAGGGGATCAGAGCCACTCGTTTGCTGCTGAAGGCCACTGCAGTCTAAAGGTCAGCAGCAAAGGACAACAGACCTTTGGAGCAAAGCTGCTTTCTCCGGGAATGAAAACAAAAATCCAGATCTGTTGTGAATGGCCAATTCACCCAGAAGCTGAATTTCAACAACCCCCCTCCCAAGCTGTACACTTGTTCAATCCCATCCTTGCAAAGCCAGGGGAGAATGTCCCACTTTGGGTCACCACAGAAGGTGAGACCATACATAAGACACAGCCACCAACTGAGGGAGAAACCCTGGATGCAACCAGGAACCTCCATGGCCCCACCACCACCCACAGAGCACAGCAGGGTGGGTAGCCGCAGTGGGGACACTGGTGGCCACGGGTCTCCTGTCCTTTGTTTGTGAGCTGGAAAGGGAGATGAGGATACAAAACACATCCAGAGCTCAGCAAGGAGCACAGGGCTGGCTCGGACCTGCCCTTGAACCCTGAGCCCAGCACGACTCAACCAGAGGGCCAGATTTTAACCAGAGTCTGCAAATAGGGGAGAGGTGAAGCCAGCAGCACTACAGCTCCGTGCCATTGCCTGGAAGCTTTAACCAACTTTGTTAGCTCAGTCCCAGCACAGGGGGTTTCCAACAGCCAACTTTCACACAGAATCACACAGAATTGCCAGGGTTGGAAGGGACCTCAAGGATCATGAATCTCCAACCCCCCTGCCACATGCAGGGCCACCAACCATCCCACCTAATGCTAGACCAGGCTGCCCCACTCTCTCCTGCTGTGCCCTACGTGGGGCTCCCCACGTTGTGCAAAAGGAGCGGCGAAAGGTGAAACCTTACGCAAAGTCTGACAGCGGCCCTCAGCTGTGGCTATTTGAGGAGGTTTGGCCCTGAGGCTGGAAAACACAAACTGCAAGGAGCCAGTGCCGGCTTCGCAATGCAGCCGCAAATAGCCCTGCACATGAACGCAATGGGAGTCCAGTTTCGACGGAGGTTGTTGGCTTTGCTCAGCCACCTGTGTTGACCTCGCATTGCAACAGGGGAGGGTCAGGTTGGATCTTAGGAGAAGTTTCTTCTCAGAAGGAGCGGTGATGCAATAGCACTGCTGCACAGGGAGCGGCAGGGCCGATGCTCTTGGAGGTGTTGTAAAGCGTGGCATGAGGGACACGGTTTGGTGCCCACGGTGGGGATGGGCTGTGGTCGGGCTTGGTGATCTTTGAGGTCTTTCCCAACCCTAATGACATTCCGATTTTCTGATCTTTGGGCCATTTTTCTTTCTGTTGGATGTTACGGTGATTTGAAACGCCATCGGGACGGCGCTGCGGGCACGGCAGCTCCCCAGAGAGAACTGGTGCGGAGCGGTGCGGCTCAGGCTCACTGCGAACGGAGGCCCGGCCAGGAGCCGCCCCGGAGGCATCACGGCCGCCTCGCTCCGACCCCGCAGCCCCGCGCCCGCCGCCCGACCGCCCGACACGCGGGGCGCGGCGCTACGCAGCGCGGCAGCGAGCGAGGAGGCGTGGCCTCGTGACGTCACCCACCCCCCTTCCCTTCACCATCCATGAATGAACCGCGTGGGCGGGGCCGGCGGTGACGCGGCGGAGCGGCCGGGGCGGAGCGAGGCGGGGCGGGCCGGGGGTGACGCGCGCGGTGACGCGCCATGCCGGAAGCGGCGGGGGCGCTGGTTGGTCGGCGGCGCGGCGGGGGGGAGGGGGCCGCCCCGCGCTTGTTGTTGTCCGCGGGACTGGCGCGCAGGGAGGCAGCGAGCCCCAGCAGCGCCCCCGCCGCCGCCCCCCGCCGCACGCCGCCGCCCCCTCCGCCCCGGGCGCGCGCGCGCTCCCGCCGGCACGCAGGTGAGCACCGGGCGCGGGCACGGCGGCGGGGTGGGGCCGGGGGGTGGGGGGGCCGCGCGGCTCTGCCTCCGCCGCCACTCGCGATCGGGGAAGGAGGGGGGGGAGGGGGCTGGGTATGAAGGTATTGCGAGGCTGGGGAGGGGGGAACCGGCGCGGCGCGGCCCCGCCGTGCCCGTTCGGTGCCGTCCGGGCGGGGTCGCGCCCGCGGAGACTGAGCGGAAAGTGCTGAGTCACCACCGCGCCGGCACGTGGGGCCGCCGCCCCGCGCGGGCCGCGCAGCACCGGGCCCGGCGGCACGTGGCGGGGGGAGGTGCGGGTCCTCCCCGCTCCCCTCCGCCGAAAGAAAGTTACCGCGAGTCGGGGCCGCGGAGCACGCGCTCAGTGCCGCGTTTTGATCCGCGAACGCCGCTTAAAATAGAGCGGGCTCAACCTGTTGTGGTGACGGCGGGCGGTTGGAAATACCGCGCAGTGCCGCGCCTGGAGGCTGGCAGCGCGAGCCGGCCCTCAGGCCTGGCCACGCGCAGCGCTGCGGGGATCCGTGCGGGGATCCGTGACCGCAGCGTCCTCCTCGTGTGACCCGCCGTTGCGCGGGACGGCTGGGGGTTTTATTATGATGGTGATGATAATGATGATGATGTGTTGTTATTGCTCAGAAACGGGGCTGGGGGAAAACCCGTTCCGAGCTCTTCGTGGAGATGGGGAGGATGAGAGCCGGAGAGCAGCGTGGGGCCGCCGGGGAGGGGAACCGAGAGCAGAGCTGCAGGAGTGCCGCCCTCCTCCCGCTCCTCTCCCGCGGGGCTGTCCCAGAGCTCCGCCAAAAGCAGGCCACCAGGTCCCGAATTGGGAACGGGCCCGTTGGGCAGCGCTGTCACAGAAAGCTACAGGGCCTCTATATTGCTGTCACCTGCCCCTGCCTTCTGAGCGCAGCCGGCAGCCCGAGCAGGGCTGGGAACGGGCACAGCCGTCGGGAGGGATGTGCTGGAGGGCAGCTCTGTGCCATCGCTGCCATCAATGCCATCCATGCACCCCGGCACTCTGCTGCATTCATTACCTGGCAGTGTCCGCTCGCAGCGCTGCGTGTCGGTGTTTTTCCCTCTCCTTCCGCGTCCCCCAGCACAGCACAGCACAGCTCCTTCCCCGCGCAGTCACTTCCTCGCTGTGATGGACGCTGCTGCTGCCCAATGGCGCTGCGCAGGGCCGGCAGGCAGCACAGTTAACTCTGCCTGCACCTGACGGGGTGCTGGGCGCTAATTAATTGTCGTCGCAATCACCACGAGGATGGGGCACGGCGGCTCTCCATAGCTGGCGGCTCATCTTGGCACATTACATGTCTATACCTATGCTGGTGCAAACTCACGCCTCTCTTCGGAGGCGTTTCTGAGCCAGGTGGCCAATTGTCAGCTTTTTGCTCTCCCCTCATTCTGCTTAGTTGTGTTTCATCCCATTCCCGTGCTCCCTCGGCAATCTGTTGCAGCTCGCAGTTGGGTTGGTGCCGTGCGTGTGCCTTCCGAAAGGGAAAGCTCAGAGCTGCACAATATGCCCCGTGTGTTGGGAAGTGATTAATGGCGTGGAATGCGCTGTGAAACTGGGCGGTGTGAGAGTGGGCAGCGTGAGGCTCTCGCTGTGTTTGGGCAGCAGGAGGGGACAGCTGGGAGCTCTGGCTCGGCAGCACTTGGGGGCTGCTGGCTGAGCTGGCCGTGCTGTAAACATCCAGCTGTGAAGTGCTCGAGCGGCGCGAGCGCTTTCAATTCTCAGGAAGTCTCCAGCTCAGCGCCCTGTCGAGATGAGCCGGCAGTTTCCACTTCTGTCTGAGCTATTGTTTCAGGCTATCTTCAAACCCAAGCAGAGAGCCTTCCAAGCATGAAGCAAGCTCAAAGCCATGCAGCTCCACGGCCATAAACACGAGGGCTGGGGGAGAGGCGGGAGCCGTCCCACTGCTGCTGAGCTCCCGAGCAGTGGGATAACAGGCATAGCAAATCCCTGCTCTGTGCTGCAGCAGGACCTGAATGCCACGCTGCTTGCAGCAGGTGAAGGTGTTCAGCCTGCTGGCTGGCCATGGCATGGGGACACTGGGGATTCTGACCTGTCCTTCATTGCTCTTTGTATGGGTGAGCTGGCTGCTGCTTGCAGGCTCAGCTTGCCTGAGCTAGCGATGCTGAGATGTGACTCTGGTTTAGCTCTGCCGCTGCCCCCTGTATGATGGAAAAAGTGCTGCATCCTGTGGTTGGTGAACACCAGCTCTGTCTGTTGCATACCTGTCCCCTTTGGCCACCTCCTCCCCGAGGTCCCAGTTGTGATGTGGTGCAGTGTGCTGTGCCCTCCTGGTGCTCTGCTCGCTGACCGCAGGCTCTGCAGCATCTGACGAGGCTGTTTACCCAACCACCAAGGGCTGTCTGATCTCCGTCCAGGCTTCCCCAGAGAGCGCCTCATAGCGCCGTGTTCTGGCAGCTCTCGCCTTTGCTCTGAAGGTTCGTGAAGCTCCTCTCTGCTGCTGGATGCTGGTTCCGATCCATAAGGGAAATGGAAAGCTGGCCAGCTGGGCGAGGGCTGTGCGGAGCTCCTCTAGAACAGTAAACAGTGACTCACCCCTCCGTGTGTCTTCTCTCTGTTCATGTCAAATATATTGCCTTGCATATGCTCCTGCTGTCTGATTCACACCCAGAGTGCAGCCCTCCCCTCTCTCCTTACAAATGAATGACAAGCATCAGTCTGTCCTATAAGAGTGCATGAAGGCTGTCGGAGTGGGGAAAGGGTTGAAGGCTGAGGGATGGGGCTGTGTGGCACACTGGTCCGCATGGTGCCATGGAGGTGCGGAGATGAGAACTGGAGTTGCCTTCGCCTGTTGGCTCTGGAGGTGCCCTCAGTAAACGCCATTGGAGCTGAGCATAACTTGGGGGTAAACCTGATATTTGGGTGACTTGCTGGAGCAGCTGCCTAGGAATCTGGTCCCAGCATTTGGGAATGAGAGGAGTATTCCCACATAACTCAGCTCTGCAGTGAGATTCGATGGCGGAGATCCCTGCTGCTGCTGCTTGAGCACTTTGCTGTTTTTCTGCCCTCTGGAAGTTGTTGCTGGCCCAGCTGAAGGTGAGGGCTGCGTGTTTTCAGCTTGCTGTGCTTGTCTCAGGATGGAAGCTAAACACCAGCAGGGCTGCCTGCCAGGCCCTCGTGTTCTGGCCAGGCTTTTCGTGCGGCGCAGAAAGAGCTTTAAAACTGGAGTTCATCCTCAGTCGTTGGGTGTCGGCATTGACTTTATGGTAATCCCTCAGTGCGTAACGCGCCGTGAGAGCCCCGTAGCGTGGAAAGTCTGAAGTTGCACTCTGGCATGTTTCCTTTCTCCTTAATTGTGAACCTCACATGGTTCTCTCTGCCTCTGCTCTGCCTCTGCTCTGCCTCGGCTTTCTGCTGCCTTCCCCTTCAGAGCACTGCAATCACGAGGTGCTCTGAGCTGAGACCCTCAGCACTGAGATGTTGGGGTGCCTCATTTCTGGGAGATGCTGCCAATGGCACAGGAGTCTGAGAGAGGGCGAGGGCGTTGGCAAGGCTGCTGATGGATAACTTTATTGCAGAATTACAAGGGCTCTTTATGTAACCCACAGTCAAAACACTGGCTGTGGATCCAAAGCCTTTGCACGTACCGTTGGTGTATTACTACTCACTGCTTTATTTATGTAGAGTCCTAAGTGTGTCACGCTGCTTACAGGATAAAGATGTAATGCAGTCCTTGTTCCAAAAAGCTGAGCTCCTAAATTGAGACATGATGCAGCAAATGCAATTAAGGAAAGATGAGCAGCAATAGGGTAAAGACTAAAAGGGTTGTAATAATCAAATTGCAGGGGGTGTCCCAGCAGACCCCAAAGCAGCGTGGTTGGGGGACACCACCCAGTGTCTGTGGGATGATTGGCTGTTACCTGGGGCTTTTGCCTCATAACTCTGGGGATGCCTTGTCACTGGGAGCTGAACAATGCAGGTGGTACCTGTGGGCACAGTTTGGTCAGTGCAGAGATGTGGTTCAGTGCCAGGACCTGAGGGAGTGGTGCAGAGCTGCCAGGGGAGGGACAGCTGGGGATTGGGGAAGGGTGGCGGGCACAGCCTGAGCTGCCGGAGCTGAGGAGCACTGGGACTGCTGTCAGCCATAGGGGTTGGGTTTGGGATTGGGTTTGAGAGGCCCTGTGTGGAGCTGGGAGTTGGACTCAGTGATCCATGTGGGTTCCTACGGCTTGGTACATCCCCTGCTTCCGTGGCTCGCCCAAGGTGATGTGGTGCCAGGAGCACACCAGCAGCTCCACCAGCCGCAGGCGGCAGGCGCTCCCGTCCATGTTTGAAGAGAGCCATTCCCCGCCGTGCCCACCCGCCTTCCAGCCCCGCTGCCAGCAGCAGCTCTGGCACGTGGCACAGCACGGTGACGGGTCTTTCCGGAGTGCCGTGCAGGACGAGGCGCAGGACGAGGCCTCGCTCTGCAGTGCTGCTCTGATGTCACGGGGTGACAGGTGGCAGAATGGCCGCCCCAGCACGGGGCTCCCACCTCTGCCCGCTTCTGTTCCACGGTGCGCCGCACGTCTCCATCGCCTCACGCCCCATTCAGTTTTTCCGTCGGCGCTTTGAAGCCCCGCTGGGTGCAGATCAAAGGCCGTTCTGTGCAGCCGCCCCACTTCAGCCTGCCCGCCCGCTCAGCCTTCCCTTTTCCGGCCGCACCGCGCACCCCATCCTTGTAGGGCCGGGGGGCGGCGAGGGAGGGGGGGGATACCGAGGGGAGGAAGAGTTCCTGATGCTGTGGGAATGCGAGCTGTGCTCTGTAAACAGCTGGTGACTCACTGCATAACTATGGCACCAAGTGCCTGCGCGGCGTGCAGGGAGGGGGCTGCCGGCCGCTTCCTTTACGCACTGGCAGCGCTCGGCTCCCCTCGGCCGTCCGAGCTTTTCCTTCCTCCTCCGTGCCTGCCTGGACATAGGGGTGGGCGGCGGAGGGGAAGCGATGAGGAGGAGGAGGAGGACGGGCAGAGGGCAGCGCTGAGGTCTGAAGGCAAAGCCTGGTGGAGGTCAGTGAGGTGCCAGACGATGCAGGGGTCTGTGGGGCCTGCGGGGATTGGTGCCGTACGGAGGGGCTGCTGGAGCCGTGTGCGGGGAGGAGAGCAGAGCAGGGCTCGGGGAGGTGCTGTGTGCCGGTTGCTCCGAGCTCCATTCATCGCAGAGCGGGGCTGGGGGACGTGGCTGTCCTCGGCCCTCTGGCAGATGTGCGACACTGGGCTGTCTGGTGCTGAAAAAGAGAGGAGGAACCGAAATGCACGCCCCGACAGCCGGGGTGGTGTCCTGCAGCCTCACTGCCCACCTTGGAACCCCGCTCCCTCCGCCCCCCGTTCACGGCTATGAATGAGTTTGTTTACTCTCCGCCGACTTGGTGATGTCTTTGCACAGACATGACCTGAAGTCATTATTGCTTTTGGGCTTCTCTGTTGCCATGACGACTGTCTCGGGGTTGGCTACTTTCCCAAGGTCACCATGGCAACTATCAGACGGGAATCATGCTTGGGATGCTTTGGCTGGATTTTTCATGAATGATTAGGATGTGTGACACGACGCAGACGTGAAAATGGGGAGGGTTTGGGCCCGGCTGGGTAGGGGTGGGGAGAGGGGGAGAGAGAAGGAGAGGAGGACTCCGGCAGACAGACGCGGTGCCGCCGGCTGCGCAGCCCTCGGAGCCGCGCGTCGGGGCGGACCGGCGCGGCGTGGAGCCCTGCCGGCTGGGAGAGACGGGCGGAGGCGGTGATGGTGGAGCGGCTGAGCCCGCCCCTCCCGGGGTAGGTACCCCGGTACCTGCTGTGCGCCGTGCCGTAGGGTGATGGTTTTAGGGGAGGACGTTGCTGAGCTGCGGCTGGGTGTTGTCCTCGGCTAAGGTGAGCGTGAAGGGCAGCGTCTTGGCGGAGGATGCTGTCGGTGGACACGCGCCCGCCTCGCCAGACAGCATCAGGCTGCTGGGCTGTGAGCATCGTCAGGCAGCGGGAGAGCCGAGCTGCTGCCGTGCTTTGTCATCACGGGGGGCTTTTGTTTCTCGTGTTTGGGTTTTCTGGGAGCGCTGGGTGGGGACGGTGCTGGGAGCAGGTGATGAACCAGGCAGCTTATTTCTGTCTTGCTGATTCAGTGTCAAGCTGGGTTAATAAGCATCGAAATGAGAATGGAGTTGTTGTCTTGTGGCTTTTCGGTGCCTTTTATGAGCAGAGTTAACTCTTCAATCAGTCCCTAATAGGGCGTCCGGAGTGTCTGGATGCCTCTGGAGGGAGGTGAGCCAGCGGGGCCTGGGCAGTGCATGGCTGCCTGCACAGCTGCGGCGTGAGCCACGTCCTTCCCTCCCTGCCCTGTCCTCGCTGTGCTTAAAAACAAAACATAAGGGCTTGAGCATTAAGCAGCAACGTGACTATCAGTACAGATCTTTCCTTCTTACACCTATATGGGGTGGACTGATCTCTGAATCCTTCCTTGTGTGGTTTTATTTCCTTTGGTGGGGTTTTGGAGTTGGGGTTCTGGACTGCTATTCTGTTAACCTACCTTCACGTCTGAGATTTGTCTAACCCAAAAATCTTGTTTTGTGTTTTCCAGTTGCAATTTCTGAGCGGTTTTGTCCAGAAGACTGTGCTCAGGTTATGACGACTAATCCCAAACCGAACAAGGCATTAAAGGTAGGGGAGAGGCCGTGCTGGGGATGCTGGGTGTTGGGGCAGGCTGCCGCAGAGCCGTGCTCCACGTGGTGACTGTCGTACGTGGCATGCCTCTTCTTTTCTTCTTCTGGGAGGCTCCCACAAATGGGCACTAATATAATTTCCTATTATCTACAGAGAAGTTCTTAGGGAGATAGGTAGAAGAACGTTGGTTGTGCTTAGAAGTCTGAGTTCTCTGCGAGAGCGTAGGGTCAGATCGGCCCATCTGCTGCCCCAGAGACCTCTGGCCATTGGCAGCATCCTGAAAGCAGTGCTCCAGGCCTGACAGTGCAGCACTTCTGCTCTCAGTGTAAAGATGCACTGAGGAGAGGAAGCTCCCACCTGTTTTCTCACAGATCCAGCAGACAGTAAAAGCTTTGGGTATAGCTGCTGTATGGTGGACCACATGTGCATTGTTCATTCTCTGCTGTAGTTTTTCTTGTGTCCTGGCTCTTCGTTCCAGGTATCTGCAGTCTGTGAAGAAGCAGAATAATAGTGTCTGAAATGTTCTGAAAATAGCTGTGGTAGCAAACGTGCTTCAGAGCACGAGCCCTTGGTATTTCCATGTGTGCCTTCAGAGTCAGGACAACCAAGTCAGACCAAGTGAAGCCAAGCAGGCTTGGTTTTGTCCAACACTCAGATGAGCAGCCTTCAATGAAAAGCCACAAAATGTGGAATGAAACCCTGCACACAAGTGGCTATTCTGCTTGTGAGACTACTGCACTAGTGTCCCAGCACGGTGCTGATAAAAGGTGTCCCCTTTAGGGTTCAGTGTGAATTCCTGACAAAGGAACACGGAAACCTTCTGTGTTCTTTTATTTCCTTAAAAATCTCACTGTTCGGTTCAAAGTGAGTTTCACACAGAGGGTGGTGAGGCACTGGAACAGGTTGCCCAAGGAGGCTGTGGATGCCCCATCCCTGGAGGCATTCAAGGCCAGGCTGGATGTGGCTCTGGGCAGCCTGGTCTGCTGGTTGGTGACCCTGCACATAGCAGGGGGCTGGAACTGGATGAGCACTGAGGTCTTTTTCAACCCAGGCCATTCTATGCTCCTGCACTCCTATAAGGCTCACTGCTCTCCTTGACTTGAGAGGGTGACCCGAACCCAGATGGAAGCAGTGCTTGCATCTCAGCCATGTGTCACGCCACCGTGGCAGCGTCTGAGCAGAGCACAAGCTCTCTGAGGTGCTTTGGGGCATTTCCAGTAGGGTGCTGAGGGGAAACCTCTGCCATCCCCAGCAGCCTGTCCTGCAGGGCCGCCGCTACCCCTGTGCCGTTGGTGTTTGCAGGTAAAGGAGGAGTCGGGAGAGAATGCCCCAGTGCTGAGCGATGATGAACTCGTGTCAATGTCCGTACGGGAGCTGAACCAGCACCTGCGGGGTCTCACCAAAGAGGAGGTCATCCGTCTGAAGCAGCGGAGGCGCACGCTGAAGAACCGGGGCTACGCCGCCAGCTGCCGCATCAAGCGCGTGACTCAGAAAGAGGAGCTGGAGAGGCAGCGGGTTGAGCTGCAGCAAGAGGTGGAGAAGCTGGCCAGAGAAAACAGCAGCATGAAGCTAGAGCTGGACGCCTTGCGCTCCAAGTACGAAGCACTCCAGACCTTTGCTCGTACTGTGGCGCGAGGGCCTATTACCCCGACCAAAGTTGCCACCACCAGTGTCATCACCATTGTGAAATCAGCCGAAATCTCATCCAGTTCCGTGCCGTTCTCAGCAGCGTCCTAGTGCCCTCGGTGGGGGAACTAGCAGCCTTTCAAAGGGGGGGGGAAGAGGCTCTTATGCATTGTTCCGGAGTTCTTGGTCGCGTCAAGAATTGGCATCTTAACAACTCTCTTCCGAAAGTGCAAAAAAAAAAAAAAAAAAAAAAAAAAATTAAATAAATTAAATAAGTAAGGAAGAAAATAGAAAAGAAAAAAATACCTACAAAGGGAACTTAACTGGCTGCTTCTCTCTGGACTCGGTGGCTCCATCAACCCCTCGTGTCCAGGATTTGAGCTCTGTCTGCAGTACAAGTTGCAAGATCTACTTCCTTGTCCCTGCCTCCTTGAGCCCCTCGCAGCCGTTCCAGCTGGGAGAAGATACCCGAGGAGCCTCCAGAGCCTTCGTGAATGATGCTCAAGAGCCAGGAAACAGATGGACCGTAGAAATCATCGTGTGAGATGAATGTATGGAAAAGAGTTTCCTTTAGTGGCATCCTACTCCTTGTCAGAAGGGTCTCCCCTTCCCTCCCCACTTCCATCTGCTGTTTCGAGGGCAGGGAAATAGGCATTTTGGTTTGAATTTCATCCTGCTACGAGTGGATGGGAGTGGGAGGATGATGGAGATTAATGCTTGGGTCTGACCACACCCACTAGGAATAACCTTTTGTTTTCAATCCATGCTGTTAAAATATGGAAAAATATATATTTTACATATTTTAATACGCCTCACTACCTGTGTGGCCTGTGAAAAACTACATTGCAGCCTCCTTTATTCCAAGCCCATGTTTCCCAATAGCTCCTTCCCTAAGGTGTCCTGTGAATTGGGTATATTTATGCAGTGTATTTCTTCCAAATGATCCAGTCTTGAAATAGCGGCTTATTTTATTTTATTTTTTTTCTGGATTCCCTGAAGCTTAAGGGAAGGAGGCGCGGTAGATGCTGTGAAGAGCAGTGTGGTGGGGAGGAGAAGGGGAGAGGAGGAAGAAGAATGCTGGAAGTATTACCGGGTGGAGGCAGAACTGACTGCAAGGCGGAGGGGCTGTTCTGCTGGGATCAGCACTATGAGAAGGGGTTTGTGCAGAAGGTTTGGGAGAGATGTTTTTGAAGCACTGAAGTGTAACTAGAGGGCCATAGCACAGACAGGAGGAATTAGAGCCTCCTCTTTGGTGGAAGCGTTGGTAGGTGAGCAAGGAGCATCCCTGCTGCAGGGCTGGGCTCGCTGGGCTCTGTTTGACCAGGGAAGGGACGTGGGGAGGTGGCTGAGAGCTGCATGAGTCCATTCTGCAGTGTTCAGTCAACCCGTGTGGATGTGACTCTGAAACTTGATGCTTCCTCTTGGGAATGTGTGAACTGCCCCAGGAGATGTGCGGAGGGCAGGATGGAAATCCGTGTGCGTAGGGAATGGAAGAGTTGGGAGCGAGAAGTCGTGCGTGTGGCTCTGAGCAGTGGTTTGGGAGAGGGATTTCTGGCCCGGCGATGGGCAGGAAGTGGGAAGCCAAGAGGAGGAATTCTGCTGTCACACAGCAGCGCTGAAAAGATGAATGTGTCCAGGTCACTGTAAAAAAAAATAGCTATGTTGGTGTTTGTGTGTTCTGTTGTGTTTTATTTTTAATTTTCTGTTTGAAGTAGGAAAGAAAAAGGGACTGTGAGTTTTGCAGGGCAGAGATCTGTGGGATGGACGATGCCTGTTGTCGCGCAGGTGAGAAGAGAATGAGACAGGTGATGGATGAGGTGAGGAGCAGAGCTTAGAGGACTTGGGCTGTGGAACAGAAGCCAGAGATGGCGGGGAGTTCACCAGTGTTTGGGACTGAAAGAGAACTAATCGAGTGCTGCCGCTGTTGCAAAGGAGACAGTATGCTGGCATCCACTGCCCTGCAGGATTTGTTGTTTGGGGGCAGTACGTGTGTAGACTTCCAGTAAAGCCCTCTTTGTCTTTAGAAGAAGTTAGCTTGCTTTTTCTTTTTTTTTTTTTTTCCACCTTGTCATTGGAGTCTCTGGATTCCCCAAGAGGGTTCTTTGTGAAATAGGTTAATGAAGAGAGGAGCTCAGCCTCGGTTCTTGTTCAGTCCTCGACACCTATGCTCATGACCTTATGGAGCTGGGAAGGGGCAGGTGAGCCTCCTCCTGAAGGCTTCTTACCCCTGCCAGAGCCGCGTGTGCCGGAGGGGAGCAGGGAGTTTCCTTCAAGTGATTTTCCAACGCGTAGAGTTTGGATGACACTTAGCGTTACCTCATTTCTCCTCCACTCCCTCCCTATCTCCTAACAGGCAGATTGATGTCCTGTGTATCAGTACCAGTTATTGACTCCCACAGCAGAAGCTGAGGAAGAGAAAAATGTTACTGTCATTTCCTGGTCCTCTCATGTTCTCCAGCTCACAAACATTGGAAACTTTCCCAGACCTTACAGGTGCCTCCGAAAACAGGCAAAATGGAGACTCCTGGCACTGTTGGGGCTTTAAATGGAAACTTTAACAAAAAAAAAGGCCAGTTGACTTGTAAATGCCCAAATGCTTCCAGTCTTTAGAACAGCTCCAGAGCTCCATAACATTCCTGGCTAGATGGGAACACCCTCGGGCTGCCCTTGGCCCCTGCCAGGGAAATCAGACCAGTGGCACGGAGGGGGATGGAGGTTGAACTTTGTTCCGTGGGGGTCTTCTTGCTGTCGAGAAACATATCTTTATGTGGCACTTCCCTTGTGGCCAAGTATTTCTTTTTTTTTTTTTTTTTTTTTTCCAGTTCTTGGAAGGGTGCCAAAGGCTTGTCCAAGTGATTGCTAGTTTGGTGCTGGTAGGCACTTCAATCTCTGGTCACTCGATTAAGAACAAGAGGCCTGGGTGTTGTTAAAGCTGTTGATACCATAGCCATGGTAGGTAATCCATATTGGATATCCATAAGGACCACGTGGAAATATTTAAAGAGAGAGAAATATATATATAAATATATAATTATATACATTTTATCGTACAGATTTTTCGTAAAAAAAGAAAAAAAAAAAGATAATTTTTTTTCCAAGTTTGATACTGTAAATCTTTATTAAAAGAAATCGCCGGTCCAGGGCTCCCTCCCTGGGTGGTGACCTGGAGGGGAATGAAATGTCCTGGCTAAACTTCCACAGAGGGATCAGAATTGCAAGGTAACGTGGAGGGAGGAATGACCCGAAAGCTGTTGACCACCATGGAGACCCAACTCCTCCACCCTCCGCCCCGGAGGGCCCTCCAGCTTGGGGTTGTCGCATTGCATTCCTCTGGGGTTTGGTTTGTTTCCGTTTGTTATTTTTTTGTTGTTGTTATTCTGTTTTGTTTCTCTCCGTCCTGCCCTTGCAAGCCTGACACCCAGGGTGAGCGTGGCGTGGGGAGCCGGCTGCTGCCGCGGGGTCACCGGGTGCCTCCCTGCCGCGTCAATTCGCTGCGGTATTTGGATGCTGGGCTCCTTCTCTGCCCCTCCTTGTTCCCCAAGGTGCAGGGGCACCGAGGCCGAGTGCTGGGATCCTCTCCCCCGGGCCTTTCTTCCCCCTGAGCAGCACGATGTGGGTACCTTGGGATGCTGGAAACAGCCCGACGCATCCACCCGGGTACCTCGGGGCAGCGCCGGGAGGGACATCCTTGGTCTCTTAGGTGTCTTTGCTGAGCTCTCCAGTGGCAGTGGGGAAACCTTTCCCTCCGGGGCACCTTCAGACCCCCCCCCACAGCAAGTCGGCATCTCAGCTCTCGCCCAGCTCTGCCATCTGACGGAGGAGACCGCGGTGCCCCGGCTGCCAGCGCAGCAGGGCTGGGCTGCGGCACGGCTCGGACCCGGGGAGGAGGAGAAAGTGGCATTTATTTTATTTTATTTCTTCCTCTCTCGAATCATTTAAACTTTGTCGTCATGATTGTTTTTATTTAAAACAAAGAAACAAACAAAAAGGAGAAAAAAAACACAAAACAAAAACAAAAAAAAAAACGAAAAACTTTTGTAACGTGGATTTGTTTTCCTTCGTCTGTATTTCAGTCTGCTGGGGTGTTTCCGTAGATGGTGGATACTTGCTTTCATTTTTTTAATGATAGAAGTCTTCTGTTTTAAGTTGTTTTTTTTTTTTTTTTTATCACCAGCTCATTCTATCCTCTGTGGTTACTCAGTAATTTCATTTCAATATTTATTTTTGTGCTGCTTTTTTATTATAAAATAAATTATTGATATACCAAGCAATGTGGATTCCTGTTTGTAAGGCGAGTAGCCCTGTGTATGTGTCCATTACTTTCTCTTGACAGCCACAACGTAATTTATTGCTGTAAATTTAGCTGCAGTGACTGGTTTTTTTGTACCTTTCCAATAAAGCATTTTCTGGTTTCAGACTTGCCCTGGTGTATGGTCAGCGTTTTGGAGCTCACATTGATTTTCAGGGGCGTTTTCCTTGCTCATCACCTGAGCAGCTGGCTGCAGTGGTTTTGGGATGCAGGCTGAGTGTTGATGCTCCAGCACGTGGCTGAGTTCAACCACCTTCCAGCCCCTCTGTGCTGCTGTTCCCATGCGTTTGGGCCGTGCTCTGGTCCAAGCTGCTGCTCCCACAGGGCTCACGCTTATCGTGTTTCCTGGTGTGTGTTTGTGCTCTCTGCCCAGAGCACGTGGGAGCTGCCGCGGTGGCGGTGCTGGGAGCGCCCCGTGGGACTTGGCTTGGAGACCTTGTGCTGTGAAACAGGTCACGGTGCTGGAGGGAGCCGCTCCCCTCGCCGTGGAGTTATGAAATAATCCTTCAGTGCTTCCTGTGCAACTGCTGGTGAATAAACAGCTTTAACTCCTTCGATTGATATTTCATCGTTCTCTTTTTCCCTATCGGTTCATCCAAGCTATAAAGCAATGGGAGAGCTGGGAGCCACCTGGGCTTTGATCCCCTACCATGGGCAGCCCTTGTTTTTAGGGGCAGCTAAAGGGGGAAACGTGCCCTGCGCTGGGCCAAGGCAGCGTGTCGCATGGATGTGGCCAATGACAGAAGTGGGGCAGTGTATGGCTGAGCAGTGGGACGGTGATGTGCGGTGGTCACTGGGTGCTACAGGTGGGGCTGGCTGCCTCCTCACCCAGCTCCTGGGCATGGAGTAGGGGATGCAGGGCCAGCATCGTTCTGCAGGCTTGGGTGCCTCACAGCTGGTTTGGTGCTTTTTTTTTTTTCTTCCATGTTTTGCTTGTGAGAAAGACCTGTTTAACATATAATACAGTAATCAGGACTTGACATAAATAGGCAGTTGTTACCGTCTGCAGTGGGAATTGCACCTGCTGGCAAGAGCAATGAATGCAGCCCATTATGTGCTGGAGTTGATCATTTGTTCAGTGAAGTACAGCCGCGCTTCTTGCTGTGTTCTTATGCCAGTCTGCATCCCGTGAGCACGCTGCCAGATGCCCCATCATCACCTCGCAGTCTGTCCTCACCAGGGGGTGAAGCAGCCTCCGTCCCCGCAGCTGCGGCACAGAGGGGCTCAGAAGATGGAGTTGTTTGCTGAGATGTAGCCCTGCTTTCCTATCAGGCTTGTGCCCATGTCAAGCCTTGTTGGTGGCAGCTCCCTGGATGTGCCAATTGCTTGGCTCTTGTTTACAGGCCGGCTGACACAAAACAAGGCGACCTCACGGGCTGGGCAGGTACAGGCAGCAGATCTGCAGAGCGGAGAGCTTACAAGACTGGCTCAGCCATAGCCTGCCTGTGTTGACTCCACGTTTCCAGCATGATAAGATACTTCTGATAATAACACATAGATTTGTGTTGTTGCTACTGGGCTTGGCTCGGCTGCAGAGGACCCAGCAGCTCGGAACTGCTGCATCCACAGCTTTGGAGGAGGTGCAGTGCACGGGGGGGACAAACTCCACAAGCAGGGAGGGAGATGAGCGCGAGCCCTGTGGGAACGTCGGAGTGTGGAGGATGCTGTGTGTGCAGGTATTTCTGCTGGGCCAGCACCAAGGGGCAGGGAGGACGTGCAGCTTAAGAGCATCAGCATTAGAGCAGGAGCGGGCAGAGTGTGGGCTCTGCTCGCTGAGCTAAGTGAAAACGCTCATTCAGCCCATGGTAGAAATTGCTGTTTATTAGAAAAAAAAAAAAAGAAAACCATAAATAATTTCCTCTTGCAATTTACACTTTGCAGCTCGAGAGCAGGGAATAAAACAACACTAGGAGCTGTAAAACAGCTATAAGCCTCACCCGTAGGCTTGTTTGCCATGTGACTGCAAATCAAAGGCTCCAGACTTGCCCTTGTCCTTCCACTGCCCAGCTCCCACCCCAACCAACAGCTAGCTGGTGCCCAAAGAAGTTCCCTAAGGGATCATCTGATTAACAGCAGGGGAACAGAAATAGGAGAAAATAAAACTGGAGAGGAAGTTTAGCAGAAGGACAGAGAAAATCTGTCGGGCTCAGCCCCACGTGCCTTCTCAGAGCCTAGGCAGGGTGATGGATTTGTGGGATGCTGTGGTGCTTTGGGAAGTGGCTCACACAGCCCTCATGCTGCTGAGCCCCACAGGGCCTCCAGCGTCCGCTGATTCTGGTCTTGCAGCACTTGCTTCTTGCATGCAGGGTAGGAACAGGGGATGGAGAGGAGTTAGGAGGAACAGACAGTTCCCAGTCGGTGCATTCCTACCACCACCAGTCACAGTCTGGTTCCCTAATAATGGCTCTGATAAGAAAGCTGGAATCCCTTTTAACTCCTGATCTGCTTGCAGATAAATGGGTTCAGATATAAACAAGCTCCTCTGTCACTGCAGCTTTCGGGAATGCAGCTGCAGGACCGTGCGGTGAGGTCCAGGAGAGGTCCCACTGCTCATCCCAGGAGATCTGGTCCGGCAGCTGCAACCCCATCTGGAGGCCAAGGAGGATGAGCTGCTCTTCTTCCTGGTAAAGGGCTCCTGCACAACTCTGTGGGCTTTTTGAGGGGAAGTAGAGAGGAAAACATAAAAATAAGGCATGATGTCTTTCAAATGTTACCAGGTTTTGAGGTGAATTGAAGTCACCTTCCTGCACTGCTTTTCTCCACAGGGCCCTGGAGATCATTTTTTACCCAAATCAGGAGAAACTGGAGCAGAACTGTGCTGAGAAAAGCATTTTTGTCAGGCCTCGGTGCTGTTTGCAGGTGAGAGCAGGGTGAGGAGGCCAGTCTGTCCAACGGCACAGGGGTGGTCCTGGCTCACTGGGAACCCAGCAGGGGTCTGGGCACAGGGCTGGCACCCAGACTGGCAGTGAAGCAAACAGCACAGTCCCTAACACCTCGGAGACGAGTCAGAAGCTGGCACTACTTTAACCTTTCCCTGGTTATTGCATCTTCCCTTTTAGGGACTGGCTTTATGAGTAGAGTTCCTGGCTCTCCTCCTTCCAGCATGCCAACATGACCAGGTTGTCACAGCCTCAAGAGTCCCCCCTTCCTTGCATTTAAGCCTCTCCAATGCCTGTGTCCCCTCGGATAACTTCTACAGCTCCTCATCCGACAGGATCAGCACTCTCTTCTCGATGTTTTTGCTCTTCTTGCCTCCTGCTCCCTCTGCCCTGCAGGCCACGTGCCCGTTCTCGCCTGGCGCCTTGCGCTCTGCCTCCTGCATGGCCTGCTGGGTGTACTGCTGGTAGGTGGGCGAGAAGTTGTGGATGGCATCCTGCACAATGTCCTGTGGGCTCATCGTCTCCTTCAGTCCGCTCGAGATGCTCTGCATCGGGGCAACGTTTGCTGAAAAACAGAGCAGGAGGTGATGGGGCATCAGATGGCCAATAGCCCGAGTGCTTTAAGACTGCAGTGATGTATTTCCCTAGAAATTCAAGATCGTGGCCTCACCGTGGACCACGTCTCACTGTGGGACAAGGGAGCTTACAGTGGTGAGCACCAAGGACGAGGAAGGCAAATCCAGCCCTATGTTTCAAAGAGGGTGGATCCTCTCCAGCAGTGTGTGCTGTAATACCAAAATCCCCTAATTCTGCCTATCCACATCGAGGTATCTTCTCCTGTCACAAACAGTTGAGGGAGAAGAAACTCATGGAGCACAGGAGGAGGCTCCTTTACTGTTTTTTACCATCCCATCATAGTGCTACAAGAGGTTGTCCTTTCCCTACCCACTGGTGAAAGAAGGCAGAAGAGAGGAACAGTTACCTGTTGAGTTTTCTTTCTTCTCTCTGTACACCTGGCAGCTAAAAGCATAGCGCAGAGCAATGGAAGCAAAGAGCATCTCAATGCAGATGATGAAGTTCTGGTATCCAGCAGCCACTGTCCCAGCTCCCACCTCCTTCCCGTCAATGATCTGAACTTCGGGGATCACCCCGCATTTCTCTAGGATTGCCAGCAGTGTCCCTGTGCAGGGAAAGGGAGAGGGATCAGCTCCTGATCACCCCCCTGGGCCGCATGGTGCTGCAATAAGGCTGGGACTCACCTTGCCAGAAGGAGAGGAAGATGACAGCCTTGATGGTGATAAACTTGAGGACCGGCTCAAAAGGGCGCAGCAGGTCCATGGTGGCGAAGTAGAAGAGGAAGAGGGCATAAAGAGCCAGGCTGACAGAGAAGTTGTAGATGATGGTGATGTAGAGATAGCCGCTTCGGACACTGCGGGGGGAGAGCAAGCTGCTGAGCGAGCACAGCTAGGGGCAAAGAGGGAAGGAGGGGAACAGGGGGCTGTGGGGCATGTGCATGGCTGTGCCATGGGGGCAGCCCAGCCCAGCCCAACTGAGGAAGGGTGATGGGGGAAACAGAGGCTTTCACTTTTGTATTTTGGCCCTCTGATGGAGCAGAGACCATCCAGCCCCCTTCCCCCAGAAGATGCCCTCCTCCCAGTCCCACCCAGCATCCTCACTTGAAGTCCCCGTCGTGGTACTTCCCAAACGCCTGCAGGATGATGGTGACAATTGCCATGAGGGGTTTCACAATGCAGAACTGAAGCGTGGCCTGCACAGGGGGGAAACACCATGAACAGGACAGTAGCGACCTCCTGTCCCCGCAGCCCCATCACAGCCAACTCTTTGTTGCTGGGATGAAGGAGCAAGTGCTTCTCCATTGCAGGAATGATCTGAACCAGCAGACAGGAGGGAGCAAGGCTATGCACCCTGAGTGCTCCCAAAAATCAGCATAGCCACACCGAGAAGGGGGTGGCTCAGGGCCAGAATGGTGCCTCCAGCCTGCAGCGCAGCACTGGGCAGTCAGGGAGCCGGTCAGCCAACCTGAGACTAGGCAGAGATAAAAATCTCAGCGCTGCAGTGGGAGGGGACCCTGACTCAGCAGTGAGTCAGAGCAAGGACAGCAAGCGCAGCGCCCTGCTGCTGGCCAGGTGCCGACAGAGAGAAAAATAATGAGCATCTGGGTGAGATTTGCCTTTAGGTAAGGGACCCACTGCAACACAGCCCCAGGTGCCCCCATCCCTTGCTGCGGAGGGGAGTTGCAGTGCTTCCCACTGGGTACCCACCTGCTTGCAGAAGCGCAGGAACCCAATGGAGTAGGACATGCCCTGAAGGCAGCAGGTCCCGTACAAGCAGCTAGACCTGGAAGCAGAAGCCAAGGAGATGCTGCTGGGCAACAGGATGGGGAAAACAGGCAGAGGGCTGAGGAGTTGGTGGTGTGCCAACACTTACGCAATGGGTTTCCCTCGGATCTCAGTCATGATGGTGCTTTCCCCACCGAGGTACTCAAAGCACAGGCTCAGGAAGCTGTAGATCACGAAAGCTGGCAAGGAAAAGGCAGACATGGTTAGCAGGGCTGGTGGTAGAGATTGAGAGGGCCTTACATTTAACCTCCCTTCCTGCTCAGTTGTCTCCTCATCCACCCAGCATGTTATCAGGGTTTGGGACAATGTTGTGGGTACGTAGAAGGTCATCAGCAAGTTGAATCCACCTGAGCCAGATGCACTGTGCCACGTCTACAGAGTGAATGTGTTTTGCTGCAGACACAGCAGCTCCACCGTGCACAAACAATCCCTGCATGCAGAGAATGTGGTGGGCATAGGATGTACTGGCAGCGCCCAAGAATGCACATCTGAGCATGTGCAGGAGGAGGGTGATGGCCAAAGACCTTCATAGAAGGACATTAAACTCAACTCGCAAGCTCTCTCTGCAGCTCAAAACATCCCAACTGCCTGATTTCAGGTAAGTCTGCCTTTTTCTTTGGAAAAACTGTTTTTCTACCTCAAAGGTAGGCAGAAATCCTTTCCCCTGGGATTGTGGCCAGATGCTGGGCTCTCAGAGCCTGCAGGTGCCCCATGGCCCTCCTCTTCCTGCTGCAGATGGAGCAGGAAAGGGGAAAGCTCCAAATGATAGTGGGGAGAGCTGAAAGCAAAAACAATGGAGATCCGGCACTGCGTGCAAGCCAGGATGCTCCAGAGACACAAGGCAGAGGAGGAAAGCCCTGCTCTGCTGTTAGCATCCCTGCTGACGTAGCTGCCCTGTGCTCACCCTCATAGCAGTCACGCACTGAGTCGAAGTAGACATAGTACTGGTGGCTGCCAAGGAGCAGGAGGCTGAGCCACGAGTCAAAGGCATAGATGGGCACGATGAAAAGGATGCGGATGATGTAGCGCTGCTCCTTGGGGATGGTGTAGTTCCTCAGGTGCATGTAGATCTGTAAAGGAGAGCATGCTTTTGTGCATAGCTGTGGCTAGGACTGATGAGTCTGGGCTTAATTTAGTGCTCTGAGGCAGTAGCTCACTCTGGGGCAGCCCCAGCACTGTGGGTCTGTGCAGCATCGCAGAATGTGCCTACTGATGGGGTGCTGCAAGGCTGCGTGCCCAAAGGCACAGCTATGCAGTGCTAGATGAGCTCCCACTGAGTGCTGCCTTGTGCCTCTCCCAGCTCCAGCAGCCACAGGGTAAAGTCCACCCTCCCGATGCAGAGATTTCCCCTCCACCAGCTGCAGAGGAAACACCCACCTGGAGGTAAGGATTTGCAGTGAGATGGTGGGAAACAATGGTTTTGCCCCGGCACCAACCCAGAGCTGTGACTCCATCCTGTCCATACCTGGTGGAAGGTGACGATGAGCGCCGACCACACGAAGATGCCGGAGATGACCCGTGCTGTTGTTGTGGTCAGGAAGAGCTGCTGGCCATCCTGGGAGTCGTTGTGGGCAGCTGTGAGCAGGGTTAGGGCTGGGGATGGGGTGGCGGAGGCCAGCCTGGCAGCTGTGCCCGGCCCTGGGGAGCTGGGTGCCGCAGGAGAGGGCCAAGCACGGGTGGCATTACTCATCTGTGGGAGGGAGAGGCATGGGGAGTGACGTGGGATGGAGGTGAACTGGTGAGGGGGAAGGTCTCAGCAAGTTTCCCAGCCCACAAATCTCTGGTGAGCTTTTCTCCTCCCCACACCTTTTCCAGCGTGACCCTCACCCAAGCCAGCCTATTCTCCATGGTCAGGGCTGCTTCTCTCAGCAGGAAAATGCAAATGTTCACAAGCAGACCCTTGTGTCCGCAAGGAGGTGTCCCTAGTCCCCATATCCCCCAAAACACACACTTCTTCCTCCCAGTCTCTGTTTTTTTCATAGGTCACCATCCCTTGGGAAACTAAAAGATCTGCCCACACTTGCTCTCAGGTATTCACACCTGTGGCTCAGGGCCTCTCCCACTGGGCACCAGAGACTTAAGCATTAATATCACCTCCTTCCATGATTAAAACCATCCCCTTATCAACAAGCTGTCAGGATACTGACATTTCTATGGACCATGTGTGCACATCATTATCTTGGGAGTCCAGAGAACACTGAGGTCCTTGTGGTCCACCACCACGTTTGGCTTCTTTCCTTCTGAGTGACCTGCTAGTGGCCAGCTCCAGGGTTCATCAGAAGAAGGAGGTTTGGCATCACCCAGGGCGTTCAGCCAGGCAGCAAACCTCAGCCATCTCAAGGTCCTGGTGTGCCAGCCCAGGCAGCATCCCAGGCAGCAGCACGGGGTTTGGGGGATGCTGGAGCACTCCTGCATCTCTGCAGGATCCTCGTGGGCAGCTCTGCCCTCCTCAAAGACTCTCACCCCAGCATTCCCAGCACAGAGCACTCTGCAGCTCAGCCAGCAAGGACCAAACTAATAATACACTCTTATTTATAGGGCAGCTTCATATCTCAAGGCCAACAGATGCACGGACTGCCATGTTTGGCCTCTCTTTGAGCTATCTATGGAAACCTGCTTTTTCCACACGTATAACAACAGCAGTTAAAAAAAAAAAAAAAAAAAAGCAGCAAGCAGAGCTCTAATGATGTAGACACTCCTCAGCACATTGTTAAAAAACAAAGATTTTAGCTGCTGGGTAACTATCGCCCAGAGGAAAACCTGTAAGTACAGACTGGTGAGAGGCAAGAAAACATCTGCCGGAGATAAGCATGGTAGGGGACAACCTTGATCCACTCAAACACAGCAAACAACCCAAAGCCCAGCTCGCCTGGCGGCTCCCTCTCCACAAAACCCAACCTCTAGGGGAGGAAACGCGGCTGGTGTCAGATCAGCAGCCCTAAAAATACCTCCCCCAAACCCCTCCCGCTGTCTGTAAGTGGAGATGCCCAGTGCTGGGTGCTGCGGGTGGCCGGGTCCCAGGGTGTACCTGCAGCTGCAGTGGGCTCTCAGGGCAGCAGGAGCAGAGGGTTTTCCTTTGTGCAGCTGTCGTCACCCTGCCCAGGCCGGCAGGAAGCAGGATCCCGGGGAGGGATCTGTTCTTTGGACAGCCCTTGTAAACATTAACAGGAGGCTGGGGAGAGCTGGCGGTACAGGCAGGAGGGAGGAAGCCGTGTTGGCACCCTTCCGTGGCAAGACCCTTCCCCATAGCCTGTTTTGGGGATGCCCAATGTTAGGTTTGGCAGTTTTCACTCTGCTTAAGCTTTGTGCTAGGGAAGAGCACGATCTGGCTTGCTCCGTGGGACATGGCAGAGAGCTGTGTTCAGCTCCAGACCCATTTATTCTGCCTTCAGCCCGGCGCCGTGCCACAGATGCTTGGCCCAAGCTGTCTCAGCTCCTATTAGCTTTCACAGCCCGGCTGTGCAGCAAGCAGCGCGGCACCAGCGGCCTTCCTGGCAGGCTCTCTTGCATTGTAAAACTCTTAACGCGTCGCAGCAAGTCATTAAAAACAAAAGCCTCAGTGCCACTCAGAGACAGGGCTCCCAGCTCCAGAGGTAACCAGATCCCGGCCGTGCAAGGTAGCCGGGCAACTCAATGCAGCCAAGGGCCCATTTGCTTCCAAAACAAAGGCAGCCAGGAGGTGCGAGGGTAATTTTAGCCCCAAAACTCAGCTCGACAGGATGGCACATCCCAACAGGCAGCTCTCAGACATGGGGCAGACACCTGCTGTGCTCCGACTGCCTGGATGCTGGAGGTGCTCAGTGAAAGCTGAGCCGAAAACCATGGACAGTGCACTGGGTTTGGGCAGGCTGTCTGCGGGATCGCTCTGTCCAGGCCACGCTGCTGCTGAGGGGAGATGGCTGACCTGCACCCAGGGATGGGAGCGGCCAGACTGTGTCCTGCCAGCACCAGGCACTCCTTTCCTGCTGATCGCATCCAGATAAAGCCCGGCTCGGGGCTGTTTATGAGCAGCCTATCTATACCACCCCCACACCAGGAGGAAGCACCTATAGCACATAACCAAGGCAGAGCAGCACCCAGCCCTCTGTCAAGCCCGTATCACAGGCTTTGCCCCACCACCCACAGGTGTACGGGGCCAACCTCTGCCCTGCTGGCCGAACCCCACCCGGGCACCGTGCCCCGATCCCGAGGCCCCACTCACCCTGCGGGGCTCCTCCAGTTGCAGGCCGTGGCTGCGTCCCGCTGTGCACCTGCCTCCGCATCCCCTGCGCCCTCCTCCAGCACAGACTCCTCCTCCGGGCACCTTCCCAGCAGGACACCGCCAGCCCTTCTCCCTCACTGCACCCCAAGGGGCTCAGCACCAGCCCTCTGTGCCCTCCCCATAGCAGCTGGGGCAGCAGGTAGGGTTTTACCTCCTGCAGAAAAGCTGCCAAACGTACCTTTCCAGTCTGCCTCGTTTTGCACTCACGCCCGGAAAGCAAACAGGGCTGGAAGGCTCCGGAGCTGCTGCCCTGCGTTTGTGGTGAGCACTGCCTGGGTGGCAAAAGCAGTTCTTGTTGCGATTGAGAATTAATTCCTCCTGGAGGATAGCGATGACTAAAAGGCAGACATCTGGTTGTACAAGCAGCCAGGCTGGGGAGGCTGTTTTTTTGGGGCAGGCCTTCCCTTGTTTTACTGCAGAACAGAGCAAAACTTGAAGGACCAGCTGCTCGTGGTCTGACTTATCGCCTGCAGAAAGGCAGCCAGATGAGATGTTGTGGCTCTGAGCATCAAATGGGAGATAGTGCTACGTTTTTTTTTCTTTGCTCACCACCGCGTGCAGACCTGGTTGCAAAAAAGAACAAGCAAAGCATGGTAGTAAACCAGGGTCAGCTTTCAGGTATTGACACATGAGGTTTTCAGGGCACAGAAGCAGTGAGGCAGCATATATCACCACAGTGGAAGATGTGGTTTACATTGAATTTGCCAACTCATATATGGTTTATAAAGTCATGGAGCTAAGGGCATCATAGGAGCAGCAGGAGTCGGGAAACAGACTGCATTTTGGATTGGGAAGAGATCTCCACTAGCAAAGATCAACGTTAACAAATTCCACATGGCTCTCTCAGCCCTCCTAGGCTGAAAAAAAAAAAAAGAAAAAAAGAAGAAATGTAAAAGAGGGAAAATTTGGAGTTCTGACAGATGCAAATCTTTGATTCTTGGAAGCACAGTTTGGAAAATTATTTTTAGATGAAATTTCTGTCAAGGGCAGCTGCAAGCCTGCAGTTTTTGAATGTACTCTTAAAAAAAATGTTTCATTTCTCATTATCCTTTAAAATACTGTAAAAACCATTACTTCAGAGGAAAAAGTCCTTTTGAAATGCATTTTCTGCTTTTGTACTTTTATGGGATTTTTTTTTAGCAACAGTAATGATCCAGCAATAGGATCTGCATGAGGAATGGACAGGCTCTGTGCTGATTCTGCTGACGCTGATGGCTATCAGCACAGCACAGGTCTTCTCTGCCCTGAATCTGAAGGCAAGACCTGGCTTTGGTCAGCTCAATCAAGTTCATAAGTGACAGAAGTGTGAAATAGCTTACTTAAAAATTGACCACTTGGTGCTACCTGTTCCAAGAAGAGGAAAAAACAAACGTGCTTTCCAAGCAAACAGCACAAGTTGGGCTGTTAAGCACTGTGTTAACTCATATGACCTCACATAAGAGCACTTTCTTTCAATGGACTCAGGCAACACCCCACTGTGTAACCTCCAAAGCCCTTCTGTCCCCATGTCTGCTCTGACAGTGCTTCAGGAGAGGGGCAGCTTGTTGCAGGTGGCCCAGAGCAATGCACATGCTGTCTCTCTGAAGTGCTAGTACCACATCTTATGGAAACAACCAATATTTTGCCTTTTTCTCATTAATTTGGGTTCCTTCCTGCCATCCTGACATCACTTTTCATGAAATTGGAACACTGCAATTATCTACCTCTCTTCAAAATGTGACTGAAAATGAAGAGCAGATTCAGAATACATCAGGAGGAAACTGACATAAGGATAAAAGCAGGTATATAGGAGTAATTTCCTTAAAAAAATAAACAAAAATTAAAAAAAAAAAAAAAAAGCAAGCAAAAAAAAATCTTTCCTATTATGCAATTGCTGTTTATTTGTTACAGAGGCTTGCATTTCAATTGAAGTGATTTTTGCAGAGCAAAAAAAAACAACCAACCATGTAAAATTAGATTCATCAATGTTTCTTTTACTCACTCTGCACTGGGTGTTCCCCTTTGCGGTACAGTGTAGCTACAGAGCTTGGCATCCATCACTCCTCGGGCACAAATGCAGAGCTGTGATGTTTCCCAGATATACATCCCTCCCCAGGTGACAAATATAACATTTCTTTTGTATACTGAGGCTATTGTTCTCATCTCATCACCAACTATCTGGACCGCAAACCTGTCAGAGGAACAAAACCCACAACCATTCTACACAGTAGAGAAAAATTCATCACATTCCTAAGCGTGTCCAAAACCAGCACAAAGACATTCCATCATTTTCATTTCTTGTCCTCTCAAAAAAGTGGTGATGAGTCACGGACTCCAGATCATTTCCTTGAATCCAGATGGTACAACTTCACCACACTTGGCAACTTCGGATCACTTCCCGTAGAGCTTGTATTCCTTCCATGGTCTTGTCCTTCAAAGCCATAGCGAGAAGAACAGGTTTGTTCCCAGCTTCCTGAGACACAAATGCCACCAGGTTTTTGGCACAAACGTGGACGAGGGGCTGAAAAGCAAAGGTAAACAGAGGTACATTCGCAGCTGCAAAGCCATCCTGCACGAGTTAGCAGAGGAAGAGCCCTGCTATGACTCCTTCATGGAGCACATCGAGAACCTGTCTGTGCTGGATGCTGAGCGTTAGTTTGCTGAGCAGTTCCAGAGTGATTGGAAACAGACACACAGCCTGGCTGGCCAGCAACGCCAAGCCGTGGTATGGGATAATTTAGAAGGCACTTTCTCAACAGGCTTAAAATAGAAGAGTTTAGACCTGTGAGTGGCAGCCCAACAACCCATCCCAAAACAACTGAACTGGAGCTGCACTGGAGTTCTGCACTGCTTTAGAGTGTTTGGAAAGCTGCTGTTGAGAGTCCTTCTGCAATTCTTCCCACAGCATCAAACATCAACTTACATAAAATGATCAGAATGCCTCTATTCCCATGATAACCAGATTCCCAAGTACCATATTCTTGTTGCTGACCAGACCATGCTCTGCTGACAAACACTGGAAGTAAGCTGTCATGTTTTTCTAAGTCTTAGAGACCTCAAACTGGCATTATACACAGCCTTTGCATGTAAAAACGTTTCTGATTTTAACAGAATCATAAAAACCAGAAATAAATGGTGAGGCTGAAGCAGGGAAGAGAAGGGATATCATCTTCTTAGTGAAGCCTCTTTAAGAAGAATATCCAACTTGCCTAAGTTTTATTGACACTTATAGTTATGCATTTTTTAGAACGCTGAGCTAGCATGACTTTAGCTGCCATGTAGCTTTGAAGCATGTATGGTCTCAAATGGGGATGTTCAAAGCAACAAGCAGGAAGTCAGCAAATTAAACTCTTCTTGAAGTTTAGACTGATTAAGTTGGTCACATGCTTTAAAAACACTGTGTAAAAAAAGCACTTCCTATCTCCAAAATAAAACACAGAAATGGCTCAGAGGTGCCACTGTTCAGAATTAGCAGCCATGTCAACCAGGCAGAGCAAAGCTTCCCCCACCCAGGGAAGGCAGACTTGTTGAGGAATGAGAACTACATGCAGGGGTGGACAGAAAGGGGAACCTACGTGTTGTTACAGCTTTTCTAGTTAAGGTTAGCAAGTAACATCTGACAGCCCAACTCTGTTGGAAAGCCTCATAAACTTGTAGCTCTATAACTTTCTGCTTTAATGCTTGACCAGCTGACACTTTGCAAAACACATTTCCTTCTGCTTTCTCTCCAGCTCTGTGAAACCAGTCGATAAAAACTCATTTTGTTAGAGGAAAACAAATTAAACTTTATCAAGGGCAGGTGTTGGCAGGCGCACAGAGAGAGGGCATCTAAAGTCCACTGTGGGGCTGGCAGAGATGGAGGCTGGGGAGGGGGGGGGAAGAGACTCAAAAAGGAGAAATCATTGAAACAGAAACCCAGGAAAGCTTATCAGAGGTTGTATGTTTGATCTTGCAACACGAGCTGTATCAAATCGTCCATAAACACAGCAAGGCAACCCACCATCAAGCACCAGCCCCACAAAGCTGTCGGAGAACAGATGAACGTGCCCGTTTTTCAGAGGAACCCCTCTTCCTTCAGACCAGATTTTTACATCCATTTCACCGCCGTGCAAACACCGCTCAACGGCCGTGATTCATCAGCTCCCTGGCAACTCGCACGGCCCCACCTACAGCATTTCCCCTTCGCTCGGTGCCGGGGCGCTGCGCATCTGCTCCTACCTCATCCTTGCCCAGCAGCACTTTGGTGCTGAGCGAAGGCCTGCCAACGTTGTCCCCTATGGTGTCGGGGTCCACGTAGACGAGCGTGCCCATCTTGCCGTACTGCGTGACCACCACGAGGATGGAGTTGGAGAACGCGGTGCAAACCACCTCGGTGCGGACCCCGCGGACCGCCTCGTCCCGCCGCTTAGACGTCACGATGGGACTGGCTGCCATCGCTGCGGGAAGCGATCAGACCGCGTCAGATGAAAAGCACGGCACGCGGCTATCAAAAGCCTCCAACCTGTCGTTCATTGGCTTGGCTTTGTTACCGCGGTTGATTCCGGAGCGTAAAAGCACCCAGACGTGCGGGCGAAGAGCAGCTGTGCGGGGGAACCGATGCCCTCACGCGGACACCGCTGCACAGCGCCCGCAGCCCGCGATCCCCTCCCCGGACCGAGCCGAGGCCCCACGCCGCCACCCGGCACCCGGCCCGCCCCGGCGGAAGAGCGCCCGTCCCCTCCTCCCATCCCACCATCCGGCGCGGGCAGATGGCGCCGGGCCGCCATGTTGGGGAGGGGCCGCCATGTTGGGGAGGGGCCGCCATGTTGGGGAGGGGCCGCCATGTTGGGGAGGGGCCGCCCGCAGCCCCGCCGTCCCTCTGCCCGTTTGGCAGCGCTGTGCTGCGGTCGGAGCTCCGTGCCCCTCGCTCATGTCCTGAAGCGAAGGGTGTGTGTTGCGGCCCTCTTGTGCTGCCGTGGGAGATGAGCAAAGTGTGTGTAAAGAAATGCTCGTGCACCGCGAGGATGCTGATTTCTGTTCAATCCACACTTTATTTGCGTGCTTATAACGCTGTGGTTCTGCGTCCCTCCAAAGCAGAGTCACACAGAGCTCACAAAGCTGGGCTTTCTCGGAGGTTTGCAGCCGTGTGGCCTCGTGCACGTGCTGTGGATGACGCCTGTAAAACACAACCCTTTTTTTCCATGCATTCGCTGTTACCATTCCTTACAAAACACCACAGGGAAAGCACCGAGCCTCTAAAAGCAGCCAACTCCTCTTTGGTTCGCTTTACAACCTGTAGCTTCCAGGCGGAGCGCGTCGGCTCTGCGCTGTGTGCTCGGAGGCACCGTCAGAGAGCAGCAGAGCTCCACAGAAAACCCTTCACCGGCTCGGTGGTGGTGGATGCAGGCGGAGCGGCTCCGTGCCTGCTGGCCCTGTGGCAATAGTCTGTTCTGCAGCGCTGCGAACGGTCGGCGCCGCTCTCTTGCTGACCAGCATCACTCGAAGCCGACAGAGGTCATAGCAGCTCCTGTCAGCAAAGCCTCGGCGCTCGTGGAGGAGCGTATTCCCGTCCTGCCTTCTCTGGAGGAAGGTTTTACTTCAGGAAACAGGACCGGATTCTTCCTGCCATCCTCGCCAGCTTCTGTTTTATTCTTTACACGAGGAGAGGAACAGAGACTCCACTCCAGCTCAGATTTCTGTGGAAACGGCTCTGTCCCCTACACTTCACTGATTTCCATTAGTTTGGGAGCAAAGAGTTATTTCAGTTGATTGGAAACCGTTTTGGCGTGGATCAGAGGCAGGGTATATAGCAAACACGTGAAGCTGGCAGCAAAAGGGAGCAGAGCCCTGAATTTTCATCACCAAAAATAAACACATTCAAAAAATAGAGATGGCTGTGAAGGAGAAGGCTGCTATAGCTCAGCTGACCCGGGCAAGGCGTGGAGCTTTGCATGGGCAGGACGTGGGACCTGCCCATGGGTCAGCCTGCTGCTTCCCACCCTGCTCTGCCTCAGAAGGACGTGTGTCTGTGCTTGCACTCTGCCTATCAATAGAGCTTTTCATCCAATGATCCCTAATCACATTGCAAACATTATTAATTTAGCTTCATAAACTCTCTTTTGACACAAGAGGTTATTAATACACCCCATTTTACGATCCGAGGGAAATAAAGAATGAAGGCAGACAGCAGTTCAGAAGCCATCGCATCCTTGGCTGCAAGGATCTCTTCTTCCATTCCCTTGCACTTACAGCTGAGGAAACATAAGTCGTGTATGTCACTGTCTCAATTACTTGCAAAAATCAATGACTGTGCAGCCCAATACTTTGACAAGAAAAACTACCCATAATATTGCAGTTTTAAACCTTTATTATTATTTATTCAAGCAGTTTCTTACCACTCTTTTGTTTTTTTAAATGCTTAAGTGCCTCTGTGTAGTCTGCTTTTTTTTTTTTTTTTTTTTTTTTTTCTTAATGATAATCTCTGCATTTATCTGAAGTGATTTTATAGAATTAATGCGTGAGATCTGCAGAGCATTAGAAATCTTTCCCACTTCTCTTGAAAACTAGACACGGTGTTTCAGGACACCCATTAATAATCCCTGCTCTTGGGAACACCTCGCTATCAAAGTGCTGGGTTGCTTTATTAGTTTACAGGTTATTACTTCTCTAGTTTAGATTTCTCTCTTGTATCTTTTATGATGCAGAATATAGACTGTGAGCTGGAACCTGAGGTGCAGCCAGGCTCTGGTCTGCACATCCAAGCAGAGAAGAAAGAAATTAGTTTGCTCCCCAGTGCAGAAGCTGCTTGGGAATTCCTCTGACTCTCGTTATAAATCAGCTGCATGAAGCAGAGCTGCTGCTCAGGACACTCCTCTGGCCAGCCAATATCCCTGTGCTCCTTTTCCCTGTGTCATCATCACAGCAAGGTTGGGAACATGTGTGTGGTGTGGGGTTAGCGTGCCTTCATGTCAGTGCTCCCATGGACAACAAATAGCATCATTTCTACTTCTAACAGAGCACTCTAGGAGGTTTGCTAGTTTGTAAGTTGTATACACAGCTCTCATTGTATGGGACATGCTCTGTTTTGTTTGTTGCGTGGAAGGCTAAGCCAATCCATCAGGCATTGCAGAACCTCTCTGAGCCGTTTACCTGTTGAGTACACTTTTTCTTTTCCAGTGCAGAATTCAACCTGAAAAAAAGAAAAACAAAAACCACCACCACCAAAAAAAACCACCAAAAAAAACCCCAAAAAACCACAGTCTTCTAACGAAGTATAAACCTAGAGCTGAAAAACAAGTGATGCAGTTTTTGTGTAGTCTGTAGACTGCAGTCAGCTGCACATCCGAGATGCTGGAGGTGGATGCAAGCGTGAGACTGTTGGATCATCCTGTTGTCTTGTTTTCTTGCATTTGCAACTTAGTGAGGAAACAATATGGGAATGTTCATTGGTGTGTGTATAAATAGTGAGTACTCACATATGAGTATTAGCCTATTTGCCTGCAAAAGCTCAGTGTGCAGAGTAGGATTTAAAAACATGTCAGTAAGCTAGCACACACTGGCTGGGCCTGGAAGCATCCAGGTAGCAATGTGACTAAAGCTCTTTGCTTTTTTATTGCTTTTTTTTTTTTTTTTTTCCTTTCAGATTTAGCAAGCTATAAATGGAGTACTCCAGCCCTTATAGGACTTAGTTGTGCTGCCTCATTTGTGTTTTCTGAACTGCCTATGCAGACTGGAGGAGGAGAATTTGAGGTCCAGGAGACTGGGGTGAGCAACGGGCCCCAGTGCAATGGTGCTGGGGGAGAGCTTCAGAAAGGGGCTCCTTCTGAGGCTGCAGGACCTGGGATAAGTCAGATAAGTTGCACTTAGAGAAGAACTTGGAACAGCAGTAGTTTTCATGTACTTGGTACACTGAAAATCAGCGTGTCCTACATTTCTTTGCAAAATTTAGCCAGAGGTGACTTTAGCACCTACTGAAATGATAACGGCATTCTTGAAATGTCCAGAATAGCTCCAGTCTACCTACAGGAGCTCCAGACTGCCTAAAAGACTCTGCATTACATCACACAGATGACCTGGTGCTGTGTAACAATAATCTTACTCTCAATATTTGTCATAACAGCTGCCCAAACTGGGCACTGCAACCAGGGGGGTATGGAGCAGATCACGTCATTGTGATGCAAGATTGAGTTTGAGTACCATTTACATAATTTTCATTTGTCGTATAACAGCCCTACATTGATGATGACCATGACCACATCTGTGCATGGTATCATCCATCAACAGTCCCACCCTGCGAACAGCAGAAGCTTTGCATTACTGGAATGGCTGAAGAAATTATTTCCACGGATCAGTAAAAGCAGCAGTAATTGCCATAAAGCCCACAATGGTTGATGCAGGAGTTTTTTGGTTACTCGTGGTGGTCTGTCAGATGAAAGACAGTGTGCAATAATGGATCGTAAAAATAATAGTAGTGTCACTTCAAAGAACAAAACTCAGAGCACTCTTTGTTCTTAAGAAGGGTGAAAACACAGAAAATAACAGCGTTTCTCTTGCAGGAACAAGAAGAGAATACCAGAGTGTGGTTGTAATACTAATAGTATCATCACTTGTATAAATCACTTAATTGTGACAGCAAATTAAACACTGCTGTTGTCTAGAAATCAGCCATAGTTAAAATGATGTGTCTTTGTGCTCTGCCAGTAATATATTAGCTCCTCTTTCAAGTGGGAAAACAATTAAAAACTTGGTTGAAAAGGGCATATTTTCTCTGTGGCCACTGATCCCTCAACTTCTGGAAAAAATAAAGTGTTTGTAATAGTTGTTCATTATTACACAGTTGAAGGAGGAAAAATCTGTTTTCTCATTATGCTCAAGAAAGTTATGAAATTGGGCTGGGAATATTTGAAAATGAAAGAGGCACATAACCAAATGATTTCAACTTTGACAATATATCATCGTTTGCAGCTCATAATGCCGCTGTTAACTTTGGGAGTTATCTGTCAGTGCACAGAGTGGAAAATGAGAATAAATATTTACTTTTAGTTCTAAATAACAGAATAGGGTGAGGTAGACAGGTCTGATTTGATTTTGAGGGTTGTGTAATAAAAGTTTAAGCATTACGGGAGGCATTCGTTTTGCAGAACTTAATAAGATGGAAACACTGAGGCATCTCCCTTTGAGCCTTGGTCATGCAAACATGATTCTGAGCATCAGGAATTCCTCTGGATGTTGGGATGAAGATGGCTGCACCTAATTTTTAAGCTCTTCACACATTTTGAAGACAGGGATGGTGGAAATGCCTGCTTTCAGGACGCTTCCTCTTTCATAGTGCATTAATTTGTTTTTGTTACCTAGTCAAAACAACAAGACTTAGCACACAAAACATTATAAATGCTGATCTACATTATAAATGCCGATAGAGAAAGGCTAACACATTTTTCGGTCATAAGTGTCAGAGCTTCATGAAGACAAGGCAAAAGAATGCAGGTAGACACCCTTCAGTGGGCTGTGTAAGCTCTTGGATCCCAGTTTTCATCTACCAACAACTTGATTCACTCTCTGGAATAGAGATTTTAAGGATCTGGAAGCCATCCTGAAGGACTGTCGCAAGACTGGATCTACGAGGAATATTGGGAATAAAGAATTTGTGAGGTATAAACATATGCTGCACCAGTTCGCATTTAGAAATCCCTCAGATCCTCGTTATCTCCATCTCATAGCATGTGTAGAAGTCACT